CAAAATAATACTGAAGTGAGGAACCTTACGCGACTCTGAAAAATATCTCGCATTACTAATCACCCCACTTCTAGTTCACTTCTCGTATAGTAGGAAAAGCCTTGCAAAATGCACAGAACACTTGGAACATGAGTTATTCCGTATTTGTCAGAGGGGAGTTTAACGAAAAATTTCAAAGGTAGAATATCATCCTCGAAAAAGCTAAGCTCTCTTCTCAAAAGTATAATAACAATAGCCAATAACACATGCACCGTATGGAAAATTTCACACGAGACTTTCTAACAAAGATAACTCACGTATACCCAACTCATTCACCTTCCTCGTCCCATTAAATTCAATTCCAAAATTTATATAGAATTTCATCATCACGAAAATTCGTGCAGGTACAGAGGTTGTATCCTGAATAAATGATATTTGTAAATTTATATGAAATTTAACGCAGATCATTTTGTACCTATTTTCAAATTACAGATACACATCCCATAGGCATACCTAGTAATGACACTACTTTGATGTATTTTCCCTCTGTCGTATTCCTGTGATGGCATTTCACAGCATAAAACATTCATTTGGACGAAACGAGGCCATTGGTGGACATAACAGCATGAAAATGGAAGGCTATGGAATAGGACTAGGCGCACTGTGGAACTTGCGAATCAAGAGTGCTATTGTTACCCTTGATAGCTAGGTAGGTAATTGGCCCAGGGGGCAATCAACCGCCATTGATTCCTGTGAATCAACCTCTCTTACTCAGTCACTCATTTACTTTCCCTCTGACTCTGTCTCACTCTCAGGTCCACTAACTCTCCCTATGAGGATCACTCAATCTTTATCACATGAGCCGCATGTTTGCTCATTGGCTAACCAAGCGGGGGTTAATATTTCCGTGACTGAATAGCCGCTTCGGAATTCTCGGATCAATCACGTACGCATTGCCAAAAACGGTTTGCAGTTTGACCCCAGTCGTTATCCAATTAGCAAATCCCTCAATGCCTAAAAATGAATATACCGACAAAACTTTTCTTTTTTTTTCTCAACAATTCATGAATTTCCAGGAATTCGAATTTTTCTGTAAAAACAGAAGGAGAAAAGGCTCAGGCTCGAAGAAAAATTCCATCGCGTGACTACAGGAAGGTTCTCATTGGCAGCAATTCAACCGTTCTGCATAATAGAGAGGACGATGAATTTCACAGCGTTAAATATGAACGCTACTGCGTTCCTACATTCCGAAAGATCCTATACGCTGCAACCATTTTGGAATTTCCGAGGGGAATCGCAGCGTTTTGGCAAGCAGGTGTTCCAGGGTATTCGACGTGGTCCTTTGTTCGCAGTTCTACGTCTGGCCCTTTGTCAGCCGATCTACGGTACCTACTCGATTTTAAGTAAACCTATGCCTGCAGCCTAGTATTCACGAAGCGACGTGTCGCGACGGAACGAAGCATGCGGAAGTGGTCGGGGCGTTCAAACGTGAGGGGAAGTGGCGACCCAGTTCGCGCACGTGGGCGCAGTCGATTAAAAGACCGACACAAAGCGAACGATCATGGCTACACGAGCGTTTTTGCACGGTACTCTCTAGACCAATCCTACCTTATACTCCTCTGCTAACTAACAAACTACCTACATAGCGTCGGTACGCTTCATGACGTCCAAACGTCCGTTGACATTCTACAAAACGAAAGGAACAATAAACTCGCCGTACTCATCCTCGAGACGCAATAACAACTTTGTCTTTCATAACGATGATTACTGATGAGGTTGCAGATTGTTAAATAACAAACCATTTTATAGACGAGTTAAAAATTTTCAAGTGAAATTTCACGACTATTATTAACCATCCGTTATTCTCGTTCTCCGAGTGTAAAATGAGTCTTTGCAATAGACAAAAAGCTTGGGCGGCCATGACACATGGAAATTTTACGGACGTCATACACTCACCAAGTTCGAGTACATTCGCGTAGAGGAACCAGAGTAGCCATCTAGCCCACAGAAAAAGTCTTCTTCTTGGTCGCTGATCATTCACTAGGGTAAAGAACATGGCGCATGCGAGGACGAAACGTCTCGAGGAAGCAGCAACCGTTCGCATGACAATACGCGTAGCACTGACTGGCCCACATATTAGTTGGCTTTAGTATATCGCGTTCACATAATGGCCACCGACATATCCCCTACTTTAAGTCGAATGAGTGACGCCACTAGTAATTACGACGGCCCGGATGTCGCACTTGTACTACCCGCAAGTAAATTTTGACGTCATCCAACTGACGATCTGTACCCACGACCTAATCATCAATAGGCATACCGATGCCAACGCCGACGTCGCCGCGCCGTCTGCTCTCACTGAATACGTAATGTGTCACGATACGACGTAGGATTCAAAACATATGTATGCGTAGACATGACTTAGATGTATCTTCCAAATCTGTCACAAAATCGAGAAACATTGGAGAAATAAATTAAATACCTTTTTTTTCCAAACAGGAAATCATTTTTAAACGTCATTGTTCAGTTTTCATCAAACTGATTTAACGATTTTCGTAAGTTTGTAATAATCTAACAATTCTTACGACACAAAATTATATATAGATTCATTATTTTTTTGCCTGCAAATTCACTTACCAGATGGAGTAGAAAAAAGTCTGGGACGTTATAGGTCATAATTAATTTAACTACCAATCATAGATGGGATTAAAGTATTAATTGCTAGAAAAAAAAATCATTGACAAAATCACTAAAGCGATGACAATATTATCTACAGTGATGTAATGACTCCGAAAAGTGTAGGTCGGGCAAAAAATATATAAACCATTCATTGGCAATGGATCAACTAACTGATGTCAAGGTTAAAGGTTCAAACTTACCTCTTTGATCGATACTTCCACTTGAACGTTCAGACACTTCAGAGTCTCTGCCAATTCGCACAGTCAATCTATTCCATGTTAAAAAGTTTCACGGTTGCCACGCCAACCAAACACTGAACGATCACACTGCACTATGCATCGATCCGAATCCAAGTCGCGAACAGTAACCTCAAATGTCGCAGCTGTCCGGTAGCTGTCGAAATAGCCTTTAACGTACCGATTATATATATTAATTCCGTGATCTATCAATTCTATTTAGGAAGAGCCTCTTTCTGTCAAAAATCTGCACCATTACGTTCTTTGAGCACTTAACCTTGTTAACATATCGGATTCTCAACCCCTATGCAAGTAGATCAGGTATCTCAATCCGTCGCGGCAGTTTAACACTGTAATTTAAACTGATCAGTTAAATTTCATGGGTAAAAAGATATCAGTGATAATTAGGTACTTAGAACGTCGCCATTATCTCTATAGAATATACTATTCCGCCCGTAAACGTTTCCTTTGTCATTCGATTATGCTTTTCAACGCTTGAGATAGTGCCTATGTAACGAAGAGGATTCGCAAAAGAATCTCAGTCCCTAAAGTCTTTTTATATTATACTCCATTCATACAACTCGTCATACTGATATCTACGTAGAACATACGAAACGAAGAAGATACTTTGAAAATAGTAATTGTACTGTATATAATTAACAAAAATATAGCCTATTATTTTAGCGGATTAGAAATTATCAATGGAGTGTCGTTTATTAAAATTCTTATGCATCTTGTATACATATCTTTTGAGTTACACCTTTACTCTTAGAGTTCAAGTGTAAACCGATTATACATGAAGAAAGCCAAAGAATTCGCAAAAAAATGTGTCTAAAGCGTATCGAAACACCTATCAAATTACATAGGTGACACGAATACAAGAATCAGTGTAAAAAGCTCGTATTACAAGAGGCCACTGCCTTTAGTCATACAGTTCCTAAGTATCAAAGTAATTTAAAAAAGGAGTCAATATCCTTTGCGTTTTAGCAATTATTGCGCACTTGTAAACTTGAATAGCGATTCGAGTCTATTCGAGTAAAGTCGTGTGTAACCATATTGAATCACTCACTGAAACTGATTCTTCGGTCGATCAATTAAAATCAACAGAATGCTATAAAAATCAGCCGGAATCGGAAATCCGTAAGAAAATTTAAAAGCACCGCGACGGTTACGTCCACACTTCGTGCAGGAAATCCTGTAAAATCACCTCTCAACGTAACGACGACTTTTATACAACTGACGTGCAGCGCCAGACCACAACCTAACAGCCCCAGCCCGGGTCGACGCATGCGTCCCTACCACCCTATGCCCAACCCTGTTTCCCAGCCTGATCATTCATTTCCAATGTCATCCCTTATACTAATCATATCCTGAAAATGTACACCATCCACCCTAAAACACCTTGGCATATCACCTTAGCCGTATAATGGATAGGACATCATTGAATACGGTTTAATATTTCCAATGGTAGTTTATTATTAAATATGAAAATTGAACGTATGTAAAGTTCCTGATACCCTTGATCGTCCAACACTAAATTAGTGGATGACATTTGTGTAATGAATTATTATTTGGATAGAGTACGAGTTTCAATGACGTTATAACACTAAACTTACTTTACTCGACGAGACACGGCCTGATTATTCCGCCAATGGTATTCTAAGATACAGTCAATTGTGCTCCAGAGTACAATGACTCATGTGCATCAGGACCATCTCAAATAATAATGTATTGGGGATGTAAAATACGTACTTAAATTGTTCCCGTGTTCCTATTGTTATTGAACACAACGCAGATATGCGCGACCGACGGAAAAGACATATTATCATATGTAACTGCAAAATACAGAAATGAATGTATTTAGCCATAAGTAATACATGTTGCGCGTAGCTTCAATTAAATGAGATATTTTCTTTGTGAGTTGAATCGTTATAAAAACGTCAGCGTTTTTTTAGTACAGCTCTATAACCGGGGGATATTATTTTAACTGTTAATAAGATTTACTTTATGAGAAGTGATTACCTGTATAGTCACGTATTACTTTCTGCAGTGGTGACTGCTTGAAATAAAAACATAAAAACACAAAGATTTATGGTCTCTAACTCGTAATGGATGAAATATTTTTAATGCATAGAGACTTGAATATACAAAATAGATAAATATGAGTAATAAATCATACCTATGCTGAATATGTTTATTTTTATTTAAACATATGATTGAAGATTGATGTAATTTTTGTAATGAAAGTTGTATACATAAGATATGTATTAAAATAAATACGTCTATTTACAATTTATGTACAAGGCTTCATTTTAACAAATATGTATCTTTTAAGGTAAGTTGTGGAAATTGAACAGCTTGTTCAATCCACTTGGCTATAGTAAGTAATCTTTGTTCATGAAGAAATGGAGCCATAAGTTGAAGAGATATAGGTAGTCCTTTTCTGGAGATTGTTGTTGGTACATTTATAGCTGGTATCCCTGCCATATTAGCTGGTTGCGTACAAAAATCTTGAATGGAACATTGAGTTTGATTATCAGAAGAAGTATATTCTGAATAAAGAGGAGCATCAGAGAGGGTAGTTGGTGTAAGTAGGATATCCACATTGGAATCCCACACGGCATTGAAATCATTTGATATTAATCTGCGCATCTTCATTGCTTTAACGAAATAATCATCATAATTTTCTTGAAGCAAAAAATAATTTCCTGCCAATATTCTACTTCTAACAACATCATTGAAACCTTCGCTTCTACTTTTAGCATAAAGTGCTTCCGTTGAGTAATTTTCATCAGCTCTTAGACCATACTCTATGCCATCGTATCGTGCCATGTTACTGGCAACCTCACACTGATTAAGAATCGAATAACAAACAATGGAATATTTAGTGTGCGGTAGAGAAACAGGAATAACTGTAGCACCAGCTTCTTTCAGATGACATGCGACCTTGTCCCAACACGATTCGACTTCTTCACTTAATCCTGGAACACGATACTCTGTAGGAATACCAATTCTCAATCCTGTAATGTCAACGGACTCAGGTAACTGAAACTGCATATAATCTCTTTGCAACGTAGTTGAATCAAAACTATCTGGTCCAGCTATAGCATTAAGAATTAATAGAACGTCATCTACGTTTCGAGTAATTATTCCAGGCACATCCATTGAATTCACTAATGGTATAAGTCCATGGCGTGATACTAAGCCATAAGTTGGTTTTAAACCAATTAGTCCACAATATGATGCAGGATTTCTAGTAGAACCACCAGTATCAGATCCTATGGCAGCATAACAAGTTCTTGTTGCCACAGCAATTGCTGAACCACCACTGCTACCACCTATATTGAATACCATTTTTTAATATAGAAGTATAAATATTTGGGAAACTTTATGCCTTACCTGCAATGTACCAATCATCTTTTCTGAGTGGTGACATATTTAGACTTGTTTCCTTATGAAAATCATAAACATAATAATTCAAGATATCAGAATTCCATAAATTTTTAGTTGGTCCGTAATAAGAATCTACAGTGCCTGAACCCATAGCAAATTGATCTAGATTTGTTTTTCCAATAAGAATTGCTCCAGCATTTTTTAATCTATTATAAACAGTAGCATCATATTCTGGAATAAAATTGGCTAGCATTGGAGATGCGCATGTAGTACGCTGTCCTTTGGTACAGAAATTATCTTTGATAGCAACAGGAATTCCATCGAGTCTTCCAAAAGATTTTCCCTCATTATGTCTTTTATCTGCATCTTGTGATTGTTTTTCGGCTAGATCACTGGTTATTGTAATGTATGCGTTTAGCGGTTTAATACTTGATGTTAACTTAAGAACAGATTTACAAATCTCAGAAGGCCGTACTTCACCCGAATTAATTTTCTGGCTCACTTGTTTTATAGGTGCTGACAGTATTTTATTCATATTTCTAACAAAATTATTCCTTTACATCGAGCTAATAATGTAAATAACCTCAAACCGGTATATTCAATCTTAACAAGGTTTGGTTATGTTTGCATCCATTATCAACAGTCGATAAAGAGACGAGTTAAATAATGAAAAAAATTCAGTGTAAGAAATAGTGCCACCTACCAAAAATTCAAGATACAAGTCAGTAAAGAAGAAAATGATAATATACATTTTCAACTGCGTTTCAATCTTGAAATCTAATGACGAATTTCTCGAAGTTCAATATATCATGAAATCGGAAAATATTTTGCATGGACTTCATCCAACAGATAGATAATGTTTAATGCTTGCCAGAAACAATAACCAAATGACAAAGTACGAGGAAAGATATGTGGCATAGCCAAGGATAACGGCACCTTCGCAGCTATATTCGACTAGTCGTACGTGTCGAAAAAATCGAGAAAACTGGGCTCCTCGTTGGTCATATTCCCGAGCTTTCCGACAATAGCCCACCAATCTCGAAAGGCGCCGTACAACGTTACAAATTTCTATATAGCATTTTATAGCACATATGTATATTACAACGAGTATAACAAACAAGCGCCAATATCATGCTAGTCACGTTTGTCAGCATGCCCAGAAAACATGAGTGAGAAAATCAACAACCTGTGGACAGATGGCCAAATCCTATTTTGCGAAATCATCAAAACTATGGCATGTATTTGAAAATACAATGTACTCTTTTGTTCTCTCCGTCATTACACAGTTGGATTTTATCAATCTAAGAATAAACATTTTTCACAATCCCAATGAACCTTCTTAAACAGCCATCAACAGATACACCTTGGTACAACTGTAAAATCTTCGACAGCTTTCAATATCCCGTCGAAATGATTTCAGCAGTTATTTGCAGAATTTTGAAAATATGGGTAAACAACGTAAAATCTAACGCACTCTTCCCTATGATGTATGCAGATATATGTATCTAGGTCATTCCAGTATAATTACATACCAGACTGTATTCTAACTGATTGTACTCAGTTTATACTTATAGTTTTAGTATTTAGTATGCTCTTTGCTCGTACATTCGTCTTGACAATTTGCCAGCCTATATATCCCGTGGGCGAATAAAAACATAGGAGTTAAAAATTAGGCACTCTAATATGCGTGTTTAGACGTCGATAGTAAATACTAATTATATCTCCTTTCCCTTTGGGCGATGAATTTTCAATAATGGAAAATTAACAAACATATCGAGCCAGCGAAACATTTATGAGCTTATAATAGCGATGAAATTTTAACGGCGCAGTCACTCTACACGACTTAATATTTATACATCTTCCTGGAGTAATATTCGATAAAACTGATGATACAAACTAATTTATTACAGATATAGAATCAAACTATTGAATATCAAACTCGTGAGTGGCGAGAAATTAGTGGTGGGATTATTTATTCAAGAATTGGCTGTACTAAAACAGTGTCCCTGGAAGGCCTGTAGAATCTCTTGGGGTCTGTAAAATTCGAATAAATCAGTCCCTTGGATCCTCGATATTATCGACATTTCCTAGAATCCCTAAAAATTTCGCGGTATTAATTCATTGCTTATATTTTGAATCTTTACGTCGACGATGCAGACATTTCTTATTGGAAGAATCAAACTTTTCAATTGTTCTACGAAAAATACAGTCAGCCTAATGGCATTTACTGAATTAGAATTACAGATTGTATTTTATTTTTGCCTTTCCTTAAGTAAATAAAGTGAAATAGGATGTGGAATATTCTAATTGAAATGTTAAATCTCTTCTTTTGTTTTTCTATTCATTTATCATTTTCAAGGAAAGCTAAACCAAAATTGTCTAACTGCATGGAAAACGGCAAGTTATTATAAGATTAGCTAATAAACGTTGCTTCCTTCGACTAATTTTATGAATTATGTACTCCAAAAAAGCAAATGAATCTAGAATACTGCGCACTGTCGCATATTGTCAAGTTGCCCGGAAATCGTTGGCAAATTCTGAGAATTCGATGAAGGAATTGGTCCAAACTGGTCCGAGTCGAATGATTTCTTTGCAAAAAAATATGTCCAGTCACGGTACATAAAGTCCTATGCCAAAACCCTGAACAACATGTTGACAAAATACGAGGGCTAGTATACTATATGATTCAAGATAAAATAAAGAATTTAATAAAAATTCGAAAATAATCTGCATCAAATTCTAACTGACCCTCGAGTGATTCTTTACAGTTTAAGTAGAACCGAAAAATCTGCCAATTTCACTAAAGAACTCACGTGCTGGCTCTTCTTAAGATCCATGATACGATCATAAATCCTAAATAATAGATCGAAATCACTATATACGTATACCCATACCTATTTACGCGAAAAAATAATGTTTGCAGGGCAAGCATAAATAGCATCGGTAAAAAACCTGTCAGAACAGCTGGATCGTCTATCAGAGAGACATAAATTTCTTACTTTACAACTTTACTCAACCGGAAGTATGCACAACTTCCGTTGTATCAACCTTTTCTCACGAAAACAGAAATTGCGCGACATATTCAATACGTAAGCATATTCGATAAATCTCTTCGCTATGAGGAACATATGGTCAATTGACCGATTGCCTTAAATTATACTGTTCTAAGATTGACAGATGCGCAAACAAATTCTCTATTAATATGTCAAACGCAGAAATTAGTCCTTGTCATTGAACAGTATGTATCACTGTCTCCTGTTTCTAAAAAATAGAAAACGTCATTCCAACAAATAATTTGTTCCCATTCCAAGCATAGCAAATACCTAAGTCAAACTATTCTAAAGATCGTTATAAATGTCACTCTCATTCCGACGTTTTCGTCCTATAGCAATACAGACGTTACTGGCATTTCCGTAACATTATTTTTCTCGTATAGCTGGCTTCCGAATCGAATAAGCTCCGGAGTCAGCTTTCATTTAGAGCTTTTGGTTTGCGTCGACACCACAGCTCTCCCCTTGGAGCTTTTTGGGTTTATTCCGTAGTCCCAGAATAGCGCAAGCGCAAGCGTACCCTCTGCAGTGCCACAACGGTAACAGTTTTCCTCGTTGCTGCCGCTTCCACAAGGAGCTTGCGATTGGCTGGAATCCATTGGGGGGGAAGCTTGCAACTGAGGCTTCCTTCGGATGCATGATCCTAATGGTGGGGTCGGTTGATTCGGTACCGACGCAACCGCTATATCGTCGGATTCGAATATTACTCCAAGAACAGGGCGCGCCGCGCCAGTACCCGAAACACCGTTTGTCTCTCAAGTTCATCCTTCATCCGACAATCGAGGAGTTTCTTCTTCTTATTCCTTCCTTGATCAGTGTATACCCCGTTAATACCGTACCGCCACGATGGTATGTTCGCTTGATGATGTTGTAAGTTGGTGACCTGGTAAAAAATTCCTATTACATTATTTTTTAAAATTATTTTACTTCATATTTAACTTCAAATCTTGTTACTCACATTACACTTCTAACTAGTCGAGAGTCTCTGCAAGCTCTCTTTTCTTCGTTTTGGGTTTTACTCATATTAATATTCTTTCCCATGGTTTTTTATGTATCACAGATGTTGCTTGCAGATATTGAAAAATTTCATTGATACTCGTATACATTTTATATGTAGTTTACGCAATGTCAGATGTAACTTGCTGCTAAAGATATATTGATATAGATATACAGTTAATTGAACTATAGTACACTATAATATAGTAAACACATTTTAAAGTGTTTTTAACTGTTGTCAATCAAAGTTTCAAGAATTGAATCTGCAGTTCAAGCGAATAAAAAATTTGTTGGGAATATACATGATTGATATTGATATTTGTTTCATTGTTAAAGATGCTGCTCTTTCAAACAGATAGATGTAGATCTCAAAAAAGAATTTTGCTTATATGCTTTTTTAAGACTGTAAATGTATCAACAGGATGAATCCAATTGTCGTTAATTTCTTATTTGTCATACACTAAAAGTGATAGAACATGAAAATTAGTTCTATCTCAATATTTTTTAATGAATAATTATCTTGTTACAAACTTAGTCTAAACTGACGTAAGATATATTACACGGCTTTTGATACACTGTTCTATCTCTCTTGAATAACTCTCGATAAAAAATTAATATAACAAATAAGATAAAATAATAATGAGAAAGTCATAACCCCGCCGTATTCTGTCTATCTAAATAGAATATCTATCTGATCTTAAATATATTTCATGAAACACAAAAAACATTACTCGCCGGAACTTCAATGAACGTAATATCTTTCATCTTAGATGAAATATCTATTCAAAATCATCATAGTACCTAATACATAACGAATCGCAACAGATGTTCCTTTGAGTCTCCATTACAATGACAAGTTGCGAAATAAATCCGGAAATATTTGAATTTGAAGATAAAACCGTTTAATTCGTTGACCAATTTGCTTCTAAACGAGAACTCATGGGATGATAAATCGTTTGAGCTATTAATAACAGCTGCTCCCGTCTGTCTCATCCTGCTTTATTGGCATCAAAGAAAGTTTTCAAGTTCGCCAATTCAAAAATTCTATTCAAGTAATAAACAGTAAATTAATAGAAGCTACGTGTGTTTACAGGCCGACGAACTGCCGCCAGAACAAATTGCAGGTATGCATTATATCAACTCCTAATTATTACAACAAGAAACATCAACGTGCAGTATCTGATGAACGAGTAGTTGAAGATCTAATACTATTTTAACGAGCCAATTTACTTAATTTCTACAATGTAGAACAGTCCCCTGTGTGTAAAACTAATTCTACAGCTCAACCTCAGGACCTATAAGAATGGCAACAACTGGTAGTATTAGACGAGTTGAATTTGGATAAAGCAAAATCCCGTGCACTGGTTTCGCAATACCCCTTTCTACCGTGGTAGTACTAAATATAGAGTCCCCAGCTAGTCCTATCTTTAGTCCTTCGTAGACGGAAAGTCTGTCGAGGAGCGTCTTTTCGCGTAAACCGAACAAAGTTAACACATAGTGTAAGACTTTCGCCCAGCCTCCACGAGGCCACGAGGATATTTTCTTGAGATGCTCGTTAAATTCGAGGTCTTCCCTGTTATCCTCTTCACATCCTCTTTTGCGCCACACGTGTTTTTCGATATGATTTTTTCAGTATAACCACGTCCCTCTCTTCCTCTCTCTCATTCTCTTACTCGTAATACCAATCTTTTGGAGTCTCTCTCTTACACCTCCTTCCCCCCGGTAGTTTATTTACGTTTGATTCGATTAGCGGCAGCTGCTGTCTAAATATAGAGTGGGCATCTTACCCAGGTGATGGAAGGTATCGAGTAACGATTAATCAAACAATCGGCTAGATTGAAAATAGCAAATGCCATTAGAAAATGCTCGTATCCATTTTCATATATTTATTTCTCTTGTCCTCGTGCACCTTTTTCTCCTTATCGTTCATTGCCTTCTCGAAGTGCCTGAAACGAATATTGGCACGTAAAGTAATAGTACTGAAAGGAGGGCACTGGGTGATATAATGAAAAATTTAGACAAATGTCTTACTCCTTGACGATGACGTACGTCGTGACCGAATTCACGGGTTACAGTGGATGTTAAATGAACAGACTTGACTGGTACGAGGATAAGAATGATGATAGTCTGAACGAAAGAGAGCCAAGTAATATCGCCGCCAAAATCACGAAGCAATCTAAGGGCATTAACATTGGATCTAAATCCGAACACATTGGCGTAACAGCTTCTGGTTTGAAAATGAAAAGGCTGCAGATCCTAGACGTAACGCCATTAAATTCTCCGTTCATCGTAAACAGTTTAATGAGCTTGGCTAACCAGTTCTCCAGACATGCCAGAGAACATTATACATTATTACTCAAACACGATTTCTATTGACGGATTTTATATACTTTATGACATGGTATAATAAATTTATCATAAAAGAATTTCTGTTACGTATAGTACTTCGCAAGGCGTTCGACAGCTTCGATCGTGATAAGAGCGGCAGCATCCCCACTGATATGGTATCCGATATTCTTCGACTGATGGGTCAACCCTTTAATAAGAAAATATTGGATGAGCTCATCGATGAAGTAGACGCAGACAGTATGTAATAATATAATTATTAACGTAGAATATAAGTACTGTTCAACTTACGTCATTGGTTACTGGAGACGCTCAAATTATATGGAGAATCTCAGCCAGCTGCTGAGGCAGGAGGTTTACTGGATTATTTTTAACCCATTTAAAGGGTCGTGTATACAAGTTCTCGCACGCGACCAATCGGACCACCTATGTAGAAATCTCGGCGAAATTAACGACATTTTAAATCGTGACACGACCAGAACCCGCCACTCTCTCGTCACTTCAAATTGACAAGGCATTTTTTGAAATGACGTATAGAATCGGGGAGACTCGAGTTCGAGGAGTTCGTCACACTGGCTGCTAAGTTTATCGTTGAGGAAGATGCCGAGGCTCTGGAGAAGGAACTGCGTGAGGCTTTCAGGCTTTATGACAAGGAAGGTGAGGCAACAAAGTTTTAATGTAAAATGTGATATAGTAAAACATGAAAAAAAAATCATACGCAATCTGGCTGTACCACTTGTGGCATCATGGCTTTGTTTCCGTTTTATTGGATGCCGGCCAACGAATCGCGAAACAGTTTACAAACTGCAAGACAAACTAGAGTTTAGCGAGTCCGCCATTATTCTGACGGGAATAATCAGAAGTTCTGAGAACATAGCGGTTAAATTATTAACTGTGTTTATGTAGGTATCGGGGCTAATCCGCGACCTGTATTGTCGGCGCTTGGCCAAGATGATACATGTCTTATATTTTCACTATTTGGAAAGAGCTGTATGGTTATACGGAAGTGTACATATAATAATGTAGGAAATTTGACATTTTCAGGCAACGGATACATCCCGACGACTTGTTTACGCGAGATTCTAAGGGAACTTGATGATCAACTTACGGATGAAGAACTTGATATCATGATTGAAGAAATTGACTCCGATGGTTCCGGCACTGTCGACTTCGATGGTAGGTCTAATAAATTTTTATAGACTGAAATAAGAACGCCTTAAAAAAAAGATCCCTCGCGACATCAGAAACGTTTAGACTAAATGAAACAAGTTTATTTATACGGCCTCCGACGATTCCGAGCAATCTGGCTGCCGTGAACTATTTTTACCTTCCATCCGGAGAAATCCTCGAGATTTATGAAAACAAGGCAATTGCTTGACGGATACTCTTAAATATTTCTTAACCGTTACGTTCACGTGGGGGTACGTGAGATGAGATACGATACGTTAACCAGATTTTATCCAAATCGTCCTGACACTTACTGAACCATGCATTCCCATTCCATCTTTATTTTATCTCGAGTCTGATATTTTTAAAAGGCTCTGCAATTTATATTAATATCTTGGACTTTCCGACATCATAATCGTTATGAAAGTGTTGTACGTTCCAAGTTCAGTATCAAGGACTTGGCATTCCGTAATGTATTCTCCAACTACATGTTACGAAATTCGATATCAGTTATCTGACATCCATGTATCCTCTAAAGCCGTTCTACAAACAGGAGTTTCCACATAATTTATTGACTGTTTATAGACGTGGTTAAATCAACAGATTGCTTCCATTCAACAGTAACCGCAATATCCGATATACGTAATCCATTATCGTTTATTCTCCTCTTACATGTTAATTTGTGTTTTAGAATTCATGGAGATGATGACTGGAGAATAGGCATCCGTCCTGAGGAGCGACCACAACGTCCTAACAAAGACAATCAGTGCAACAGCCACTTCATTCGTTACAATATTCGCCTCATTGATCAAACTATTGGCGACCTCGTTAATGAATTTTTCAGAAATCAATTACTGTCATTTACACTCCTATTCGCTATGGTAGTTTATCATCCACGCCATCTGACACATCAAGGGTTTGCTGATTCATCACGTCCAGTGAGAAAACGAACCCTGGATTAGAATTACTGGGCCAGTAAATTAACAAAATTCGTATGCACACTGTTGGAAGAAACTGTTGCTACGCCCAAGTTATGTATTACATTTATGTGTGCTGAATTTTTTTTCATAAACAGTATTTATTGTTAATAATAAAACTTTTGAAAAATCAAAAACTTATTATTTCAAGATCACTCGAGTGATGTTCCAAGTCGTTTAAATTATATGATTTATTCATATTTTATCTACGATCATATATTGTAGAATTGAGATTCCTTGATAATTGACGTATTTTTACGACTTATAACAGACATCTATTCAGAAAAATATTTATAAGCTGCTAACAACAAATAGACTAGACAATTTTTAAACGGTCACATCGTTATACTAATTTTATGGGAAATTCATTCATCGCTAGTTACAACTTTAAATAGTAGTTACTCATATACGTATGTTAAAGTGCCATTCCGATATGCACAGTGTGCGGACTAGACCGAAGTTTACGAACAAATACAATAATACTTATACCAACCTCGTAGAACGGCTGTTCGAAAGTTAGTCATAGCTTTTTAGATTAATCTACGAGTATGCATAACTTGTTATTTTAAGCATGAAACAGCGTCATCATCGATTAAATTTAGTACACCAATTACGATACTGGACCAAATGAATCTATTAAAAGTCCTACAATGATAATATAGCATTAATGATTCTCATATGAAAACTTTGAAGTGTTTTTGTTTATGAAGATAGAAATTTACATTCTCAATCACTTTTGCCGCAAGCTTCGTAAGTGAAATTAACGAATTCCTCTGTTTATTCTCATAAGAGTAAAAAACTAAGTAGAAAACTAATCATCCAGTAGAGACTGCTGAGATGAAAAAATGTGCAATACGCTCATAGAATTGAGGAGAATATTTGAAAAGAAAATTTGGAGAAAATTTCTCCTTCAATGAACGTCAACTTAAAGATGACACTTGTGCTTTCATGTGTATGTTTAAACGAGTGTCTGCAAATCCTCATCGTCAGAATCTTCGTGGGATGGGGATGACAGTAAATGTCACATCTTGAATAAATGAGGAAATTCGTTGCTGATTTCTCGCACAAGTTGTTGATCGCCCTGACTCTCTGGTGTCTCTTCGCAAAATATCCTATAATAATATATTTGGCTTTATAAAATGGTTTCGTACAACTACAGAAGTCTCATACAGACCTTGTAAAACATTTCAATAGATCTTCTGATCTATGACGGTGTTCGTTGTAGTTGGAACTTCGTACAATACGACGACATAATTCTAGATACTGCCGTCGCTAATAACATTCATATAACTTTTATTTTATACTCAAAGAATTAATGATACGTCATAATTCCATGCTTACCTTATTGCCAGGCGCTATATCAAATAACTGGCGGAGAATGATGTCAATCAAAATTTTAGCGTCGTTTGTGTAAAATAGGGATGCTGTTATTTCATTACTGAATAAATCAATAAATAATTTTAGTACAGAATGTGGTGGCGCTGGTTGATGATCAAATATTCGAACAGGATCTTCTATAATAAAAAATTGGATTTTTCAAAATGTCATATTCTAAGAATGCAATAATTACCTTCTCTATTCAATAAGAGTAAAATCTTCTCGGTGAATGTTTTAGCCACAGATCTCTCTTTCAAAGAATTCAAGACTATGTTTTCCGAGCTTGTGAATTGCAAATTATAAGACAGAATAAGATGCAGAAATAAATCTGGAATCTGATCCTCCATATCAGTATCTGGAGGAGTTTCAATTAAATCTACAAGGAATGATACAAAATCTCCTCCTAATTGTTCTGTAATTTTAAGTATTATTTTTTTAATGAATATATCGTCTGAGTAAAAAACTGTTTCAAATCACAAACCTAAATGCGTAACGGGCATCGGTTCACCCATTGAAAAGATCATTGTCAATAATAAAGAGGAATAATTCAATTTTGGAATATTCCTTGGATTACTTCTCATATCTCTTGCCAATTCCATTGGTAGAATACTGTTTAACATAATTGTTAAAGCTACAGGATCTAAGCTGCACATAACACCAAAAGATTGCAGTAGCAACTGTCTAATAGTCCATCTTGCTTCCATTTGATAGTAATCTATCAGAGTTGTAACACTATTATACTGATCCAGTCTCAATGCATGTCGAGAAACATTTGTATCTGCATTCGTCTTTAACGCACAAAAAATAAAGGCTTAATGTACTAATTACTATTGATACACAAAACGGGTTATACTTACTAATATAGAGGTCAATTCTTTAATATATTCTACAATAATACACTCATCTTCATATAGCATCCAATTTCTCTGCTGTGAATCCTCCTTGCAGGCACTCAATTCCGCAAAAATAACCTTGAGTCTATTTGCATCTAGAGTCTCCTCGATACTCAATTTTGAAGCAGTCAATGGTGCTTTTAATTGAGACAGTACATCGTTCAAACAGCGATTTGCGCTATCAGGTAACAACTGTTTTAATCCTGAGACCACAACCATAACTGCAATTTTTGACAGTTCATAACTAAGTTGGGTATTCTGTCGAACTTGATCTACCAACTGGTAAGCAGCTTTGGAATTAATCTCAGTCAAAGAAGAAGAGGCATTCTTCACAGGTGAACCTTGCATAGGTTGTCGCACATTAGTATGGGAAGGACTTTTACGGATATCAGTAACATCAGGCTGAATTCGTTGAACAGTTTCTGATTGTGACTGACGTGGATATTGTCTGCGTTGATCATTTACTGAACCACGACGATGTTGAGCTACAGGCTCCTGTTCTTTAGAATCTCTTTCACAATAAATACTAGATTGTGCTGTGGTGAATGTAGTATTACTGAGAGTAGACTTTGTATTTCCTTCCTGATTACTATATACATTTCTGGGAGTTATATCTTTATGTGGTCTAGGAACTGCATCAGTATTTGCAAAGTCTGGTGGCATTGGAGCTTGTTTTTTAGTTATTCTACTTAATTCTGCCTGCCTTTTCTTTTCAACAAGTCTCAAAACCAAATCTTGCTTATCCACATTAAGACTACTGTTTTCTTCAAGCTCCTCATCTTTTAATTTTATTATACATTTATCCAGAAAGTCAATTAGAAACTGCGGCTGCACCTAAAGATTCAATTCTGAATTACAAGGAAATATATCAAACATATTAATGGAATATACCTTCACTGTAGTAACGTAATTTGAAGGGATGTATCCAATTTTACCCATGCTGTTTACCACCTGCCACCAGTTTCTCTCTTTTGTATTTGTCTGGTACAGAACAAAGTGATCATTTTCACGGAAACTGAGAGTCTTAGCGAAAGTGGCCTTGAAGTCGTAGGAAGCCTTAAGCATTTCATAATTTTCTGTAAGTGTATGACAAACCATATAGTATTAAATCGATCTTACGATTCCGAGATAATTAACCGGTGATTGATAAATGAAAAGACTCACCTAACCTGATGCAATTGTCTCCCATTATGAATTATTAGAATAATTAAATGATATAGTAACTGGTCAACGCCCAGAAGAAAACTACTTTCAGAGGACTAGAAGGAGATAATCGTTTCACTTTCATTTACGCTCGACATTTTATTTGTTTCCTTTTGTCGCACGAGTAAGAAATAAGTATGAGCCAACGAGGACGACTAGCCCTCTAATGTAGGTAGGGCGGACTGGTATGATTTGAATTTAATATTTGTATTATTAAAAAATTTTTATTGAATTAAAATGAAAATGTAATTATAATAAAAAATGCCTTAGTTTTTTTGAAAAAATGTATTTTTCATAATTATTATTGTACATCTCGGAAAATATCAACAGACTGTTGAAAAACTTATATTAATAATGTAACATATTTATAGTATAATGATGTAAATTGATTCAAATGATTTATGAAGCCTCGAACATTCCTACTCCTAGAAGAAGGTTTCTTCGCGAAAAATGAAGGGTCAGAACTGGTGAATTCTTTGTAGCAAAGGTACGGAGCAAGTATGTTTCTACACATGTTTTCACATCAGGATTATGAGATACGTTTACATCTTCTAGTGTCATTTCTTCCGCAAGTTTCGTAAAGTCCCACAGTTTAAGAGTACAGTCAAGGGATCCTGGAATTTAAAGAAATGCATACAATTCAATGAACTGTATAATAATACTAACAAGTGATTATCTGCAAATTACCTGATACTAAAATGTTACCATCTCTGCTAAATGATAAACAATGCACATTAGCACTATGACTTGATAATGCTGCTACAAGATGCCCATGTGCTAAATCCCAGACAAGGATTCGATGATCAGCCCCTGCTGATGCTAGGAATCTTCCTTCAGCTGAGAATGCCAATGAATAAATTGGACCTTTGTGTCCAGTCATAAGCCGTACTTGGCTACCTGTCACACAGTCCCATAATCTGACAGTCATGTCACTTGAACCAGTTGCTACGTAGTTTGAGTTTGGATGAAACTGTACTACCTTTAATATCGAGAAATTTATTAGTATTGTAACGGTATTTTTTTAGCATTTAATCTTTGGTCCTTTCTAGAATATACTTTATAATGTAAAAAGTAACCCCCAAGAGTAACTCTATCCAGAAATAGTTAAAATGTTTGGTAAAGGAAATGAAAATTAACGTTTAGGCTTACATCGACGTCCGAATAGTGACCAGCAAATATACGTAATGGTTGATGTGAATCCGTAGCCCAAAGTCTTGCAGTTTTGTCATGGGATGCAGTAGCAAAGTAATATCCATGGGGTGAAAATCGTACTGACCATACAGGATATAAATGACCCTTGTAGCAAACAACACAAGTCCACGTATGAAGCGACCACAATCTCACTGCCACATAAAAATCCTTTAATCTTAATTTTCATAACGTCATCAATATTATGTAAGAAAAAGAATTTTATACCTGTTGCATCTTCTGAAGATGAGAGTAAAAGATTTCTATCTGGACTAAAAGATAAGCTGTATATGGGTCCACTATGGCCATACAATGATCTTACTGTTTCTGCAGTCCTGTCATCCATCATTCGTACTAACACGTCTTCTACAAAGATCATTGACTTGTCACCACATTACAGTTGTGAAAGTAATACTTTAGTTCTATCAATCCTCTACAAGTCTAACAAACCTGCTTCTTTATTGATATCTTGCAGTTGATCACCCGTCTTCATGAGCCTTAACTTTTGAGGAACTAAACTCCAGACTTTAATTGCTGAATCGCTGAATCCAACAGCTAACAAACTAGAATCTTCTGCGATTTCCGCTGCTGTTACACTAAATTTTATATTATAAAATACTGTTTGTTTAAGTATTCAATATAAACTTACTTACCCGTGGACAGCGTTCAACAAGGTATAAAAACATATAGAAGGCAAACTATCTGGTCCCAGGACAACTCTTTTCGATGCTTCTCTCAATGCCTTCAATTTCTCTAATTTATCAGCATCTTTACTATTGTAGAAAAATTATGAATTCACATCTGTATTCTTTTTGCGAGCAATATATAAAATAGAAATTAACTAACAGATTTGGCAAAGGCATTCTTCCTACTGGTGGTGCATTTGGATCTGATTTTGTTTTCTTTGAAAAAAGTGGATCTTTCTTTGCTTTCTTTTTCTTTGGTTTGTCACCTTCAGTCCCAGCGGTATCGTCCTCTTCTTCTTCTGCTGGTGGTATACATTGTATGTCTGGCTCCTTCAAAAGACCATAGTAAACCTTTGCCTTATTATCTGAAGGAATTAATTAAAACAATGAATGCACTAATAATTTTACTTTGATTTTATTATGCTGTTATGTTATTAGTTACCTTGTCTTGTAGCTTCTCCAACAATAGCACCTGATGTGGCTTCAATTTGTTGCTTGTTACGTGCAACACCTTCATACATATCAAAGTAAAGATGTTCTTGTATGATATTTAAAAGTACACTGTGTTTCTTTTCTTGTAAGTGTCTCTTCAGTATAGAAAGAGTATCCCGCGACATTCTGATTATAAACTGATTGGATCTGCAGCACAATTATAGTTATTATTAATTACATTTCCAGAACGTAACATTAGTATAAACAAATATTACATACTTAAATGTGTCTGTCAATTCATTTCCTGCCATTTGCTCTCGTTTTGTTACATTAGACAGTTTTTTCAAATCTTCTTGGTAATACTCTTCCAAGTTACCACAAAACTTCTCCATAAGTTGCTTTGCTTCCACGGAATGATTGTTATATACAAGTTCCAGATACATATGTACCAATACAGGATATAATATTGTACCAAGTTCATGCTGTAACAAAATCATGATCATAAACATTGTAAAATATCTATAATAAAGCATACTTCTGACAAACCTTATAAATATCCAAAGAACCCTCAACAAATTTCTTTAATTCACTATAAGCTTTCTCATAAAGTGCTGGATCCCCTTCACTCTTGTACGCAGATAGTACACTATTTACTTCTGATTCTGTTTGCTGATTGTCATCTGCAGTTATATCTGTTAAATTTGCTTCTTTCCTAAACAAGTCCTCTGTGCTCTGTGCAAAGTTAAGAATGTTCAAATAATAGATTGCACTTTTAACATTTTTTCAATTGTTAGTAAATATTGTTGTTTACAATTCATCTTGAGCGTTACGTTTTCCATATATTATTACATTAAAGTACCTTTAAATTATATTTCCGCAACAACTGCAATACAGCAAGAAGAGTGTTCTTATCTCCGTCCATAATTCGTGTACTTCTTTAGTGTGAAAATTTCTTAAAAAACATTTAACACGCTAACTGCCTTTCAACCATAACCCACAACATAACCTTTAATCGGAGAAATCTGCTAATATAGTAGATTTCCGTTACGTAAGTGCGTACAAGACATTAGTGGAGACAAAAGCAGATTTAGTGAGTGTCCCCTCTCTATACGCGTAATCCTTCAGATTATAGACAGCTTTTGTTTAATATTTATAATTTTGTGTTTCGTGCGATAAGAATACTAGTTGAACGGAATTATCAATGGCCATTGATGGCCATCAATAGCCATTGGTTGAAGCGGTAGTGGGGATTGACAGGAATGCGTGAAGCGCTGACATAACGAGTATGCACTTATCGTAAGTTTATTGTATGTATGTACATTCAAGCGTCATTAATCTCCTGGGCCCATAAATCTATTTTTGTCTCTGTCCCACTCATGTAATTTAAATACGCAAACCTAGTCAGTAAATTCAGGCATTAACAACATCTCTGTTACTGATTTGAGCGTACGTCAGCATATGTATATGCATTTCCACAAAGGGGGTGTCCGTTGTGACTGTACCCGTGGCCACCCGTAGCGGCTAGTGACCCAATACATTTTGCATTTACGCCACGGTAAAACAGTGAGCTAACATATCTGAAAATCCAACAGAGCGATTTTTAACGGCAGTTGATAAGCATCGCCGTCGTCCATGTGATCAAGAACTAGTGCGCGAAAGTCGTACCAAGTCCGGGCGCTTGCAAAGTCTCTCGTCTTCAGTCTTGTGAAATCGAAGCGGAAGTGGTGGCTCGCTTGGTGAGAAGAGAGAACTGGAGAGTGAGAGAGTGTAAGAGAGGAAAAACTAAGGGAGGTTATCGCACGAGTATAGTAGAGTCGCTTCAGGGTGATTGATCCCAGTAAACAGGTGCAGTTCGATCGGTGACCGATTAGTTGGCCATTATTGGTGCTGGTACGCGGCTAATAGTGCTCGCGATGTGTGTGCAAATCGTGTCGCGGGTGCGTAAATACGTCTGAATCGTGGGGCGAGGCCCGCACGGTTTCTTCTCGCTCCGGCTGATCTCAACGTGAGACATGAGTGTTTACAACGCCACGGTGGTGGTGGCCGCCGCTGCAGCCGCTGCCGCCGCCGCGACGCCCGACGGCGCCGATGACTGGGTCGAGTTTTGCGACAGACACGCCCGCGCTGCCGCATCGGATTTTGCTAAGGCCTTTTGCACCTACGTCAGCCTCAATTTGCCTGAAAGTGCAAGGGCCACCCTCTCGCATCGTGACTTCCTCAGGAAGTTCGTTGAGACCTTCTGCGACCACTTCGAGAGCGAGTACCTTAGACGGAGTGCTAGGTCTCTTTTCGCATTCTTTATAGTTTTTATTATTTCTGTGTTTATAGTTTTGACATCTGTCGAAAACATTGAAGGTAGGGTTTATCGCGTATGGGATGTCCTGGGATATGTTTCTTCTATTCATGTCTTGTTTTAGTAAGGATTTGTACAATGTTTCTCTGATAACTTATTGTTATAAGATTTATTATGCTACTACTAGAGATTGTATAATTTGGAATATACAGTGCATCACTTATGTTCAACGAATTTCATTTTATGCACAGGTCTCCTTCGTTCTATGACCCAAGACATTCTACAAACAATGACAGAGAAGCCAATTCTTCAAATCAAAATAATAGACCACCAGTACGTGCGTCTTCACATGAAGAATTTAGCGATTACTCCGAACAGGATGGCGAGGCTGTATCTCCAAAACCAGTGCACAAACCATTCTTCCGAAGATTATCATTTAAGGGTCTTAAGAAGGGTAAAGGATTCTTTCACAAGCAGCAGAGCGACGAGGTGAAGCTCTCTCAGAGTGAAATTTACAAGGATAAACATTCTAAGGCAAAACTTTCAAAGATCGTTGTGGAGTGTAGAAAGGAAGGCATAGTGAATTCCCTCATGGGAGAGAATATTGATGGCACACAGAAATGGGAAAAGTCTCGACTAGCACTAATTAAAGCCATAGGTGGTTACATGTTAGAATTTTATTCACCACCAAAAGCAGTAAAACCACGAAGTGGAGTTTTTTGCTCAGCAATCACGGAAGCACGAGAAACAACCGCCCTGGAGATGCCGGACCATGAAAACACATTCGTACTCAAGACTCAAAATATGGAGTTTGTCATAGAAGCTTATGACTCAAACGACATGAGATCTTGGCTGGCAACGATAAAATACTGCATGAGAACCGTGCAGCAATGTTCTGTAGCCACGGGCTCCGGTAATAATGATTCTGGAGTGGGAGATTCCTTAGCTCATGGCTCTTCGTCTTTGAGTACAGAAGGAGATAGGCTAAGGGCGAATTCTACGAGTAAGAATTCTAGGACTGCACATGACCATACAGATGAACAAGGTAATCCACCAGAATTACCTCCAAGACTTCGACTAAGCAGTAATAGCAATCTGGAACTGTGTTCTTCCCAACAAGAAATAGAACAACGTAAGTACCATATACATACTCAACTGCAACAAAATACTTGAATGTTCACAGTGACCTTTCATTTGAAAAAATTTATTCCAGTAACAAGCAACGATGGCGAGTTAGACTTATCTAGCAGTTTACGAGAATATGCATGGTTTCATGGTACACTACCTAGATCCGATGCTGCACAGTTGGTACTACACAATGCTGCAAATGGCCACGGCGTCTTCCTGGTTCGTCAAAGTGAGACGCGAAAGGGAGAATTCGTTCTTACTTTTAATTTTCAAGGAAGAGCAAAGGTAATTAATCATTTCGTTAGGGCATACATTAATATTATAAGACAACAATATCTCTCTTTTGTTTCCCTCTTTGTAACAGCATCTCAGGATGACCCTGAACGATCAAGGTCACTGTCGAGTCCAACATCTCTGCTTTCCGGCAATCTACGATATGCTCGAGCACTTTCGTCAGAATGCCATACCTCTCGAATCTGGTGGCACTGCTGACGTTATGCTGACTGACTACGTAGTGGCGAATCCCGTTTCAAGAACTACTCACCACAACGTGACCGGGGTTGGTTCTCAGCAGCTCCAGGAGAGGAGACCGGCTGCAGCCCCGGAGCCCAGAGAAGTAAGAGTCAGCAGCGGAAGTCTAACCCCTCTTGAGTGAGAGCGAGTGGCCGACTCCCACAGTCTGAAGTCTGATCTACAGACAGTGAGTAGATAAAGAGATAAAGTGATGGCGGCGCCCCCCTTTTATTCGAATCTCGCGTAGAAAATGTACTCAAGACGCACACGATACCCTGATCGAATAATAGGCCCGAGGAATGATTCGACTCTTTGAGGATGATTATCCTAGAAAACGTTTCTCATCATAGACAAGATAATATTAGACTAATCTAGCATAAATTTATAGAAAACTATTAAATTCGTCATCTTTCTTATCATCATCTTCCAGAAGAGTCGATGTGTTCTTAGGTTTCCCTTAGGAATCCGATTTCATTCTAAAGGAGATAATAATCTTTCTGTGTAAATTAGTCAATTAGTACACAGAGAATCACCTAGACAACGGTACCACGGAACATAATCAAAATTTATACTATAAAAAATATGACCGTGGGGGAAGGGTCTCGCTTTTAGAAAAGATATTCTTAAACTTTCTGGTAGCTTTGTCACGTCATTATTCCTCATGAATTTTATCTAAAACTTCACACACACGAAATCCAAGAATGTAGTGATCTAAAATATTTTCAAGAAACACTGGCACTTCTTCAGGTATCCAGAAAATTTAAGAAACTATAGCGAAGGTACCTTCACCGTACAATGAGTTAAAAGAAATGGTCCATCCGTTTACGGAACAGGTTCAGACTCACGGCGGTTCCATAAGAACCCGTGCAGAATCGTTGGAACGACTGGAACAACAGATCAACAATGCGGAACAACAGAGTTCGGCCTCGTCTAGTGGAAGAGCCGTACAGAATGCATACAGCTTCCTTTGACGCTGGATACGAAGTAATTTACCATCGGACTACCATCCGGTTAGTCCCTCAGACTGAATATTCTCCGTACGTCGAACAACACTTGAACATTTATTCGAATGGGTTTACGTAACAGGCTGATCAAAAAATTATCCAAATCGAATGGAACCGAACGCGGTAGCCGGCCGTTCTGTGATAAGGAACGAAATGTTTATTATACTGTTTTATTTATAGTTTTTATTTAAACAGCCACAGTCTCTATTGAGATGCCTCTACCGGTATAATCGGGAGACTCAACTCCTTTCAAATGATCATATATATATATATATTTAAGATGCTTTAATCAAAACGAGAATGTATTTCCTACAGATAGGAACTTTCTCTTTTTGTTCTGTTATCCCCTTTTTTTTTACTTCAAACTCATATCTCTATGCCTCCCTTCTTCTTCAGTTTTTTTATTCAATATTTTTACAGTTCCTGTTCTTTTTATTCCTCTGTCTCCCTTTCCCTCTCGCTCTCTCGCAATCACGTAAGAGGTTTTAATATGTATATATTTTTTCTCGTTTTCTCAGGTATATGTAATTTATCTGTTTGATTAGCCGTTTATGTTTATAATAGGTACCATACTATGTTCCTTAAATGCAATATGACACAGTGTATTGCTGTATCGTTGACTTAGCTCATTCGGAAGATCCTCGTACGTATCTTTAAGGTGACTGAGGAGTGCAAACGCCCATCTTGAATTTCTAATCATGAAAATCATTAATTATTCCGCATGAAAGCACCATGCAAGTAACAGTGCAGCTTGCAAAAATTGACGAGCACGATGTTCGCATAACAATTTATTATTACAATATTTCATTTGAGAAAGTACTTCACAGTCCCCTTGAGCAAAAATCATGTACGATTACGCTTAGCCGTGACTAGTATGTATAACGTGCTACAGATGCTCAACACTTGATCTTCTCCTTTGATTGTAAGACGATAGCGCAACATGTATTTTTATTTTTTTTTTTATTTTTATCCCTACGTTATCACTCAATGTCTTCGTCATCCTTATCGCAGAACTATGTTCGTTCCCCACGTCCGATCCCGGTAAATATTTTCGAAACGGAGATTTCGAGTTTGTGGTCTTTGACGATGGGAGCGACATCGTGCGTGCGCATGCGCAATCTAACCTAAATTTAATGATAGTTTTCCAAGCTTTACTTATTTTATACGATTAGTATTTATTCCATAGATACACGTACTTGCTAAGACGTTGTATCTAGAGATGAGATTTTTTCTGTTTCTCGTTTTCTCTTTTTCATCCACGAAAAGAAAAGTCGGCGCGTGGGAAACCGCAACTTGCCGCGCAATTGTATATTGTATTCCTGACAATCTTTGTGTGCCGATCCTGTCCGATCTCCTAGCTTCTACTTTTTACTACGTATACGGTGCCTTTCGCGTCCCATTTAATTATTCCCGAACAAATTATATAAGCATTACAAATGCCGTGTGCAATAATCAGCGAAGCCGCAACCGATATTTTTAGAGATACATATGTCTGCTGGTTACACGCGACTGGCTGCTATAGTCCAACCTCGCGCGGTCCCCACGCGACGATATTTTACCTTCTTCCTGTCGTTATCTGTAGGCAAAGATACTAGCATAAACGACGGCATGTACTGTCGATTCATTCGAAAGGGTGGATTGTCCAATCCAAATAATATTAATTCAAATGAGTAATTATCTGACTGATTTAATTATATCGAGTGAACTCGAAGGAAGGATTTGTCGCGCGCCTGTATAATTAATATAAAAATTCCCGCGGTAAATCAAGCACGATGGCCTGGAGCGAATTTTCAAATTTCCATACAATTCATGACCTCACGTTTGAATAGTACAGGATATTCACGTAAACCTGTATGTAAATTCTTGACGAAAGTTCAAAACTTCGTAAAAAATTTTTCTTTCGAAAAAAAAAATATCACGATCGCTTAATAAGTTTTCCCAAAGTCGACGTTTTACCCGTCTTCTTTTTTTATTTTAATTTTTTTTTAATATCCTCGGAGAAGAATGAAGCGAAGTCAACACCACACAAGTTTCTTGGCAATTTCTAATTAAAAATAATTTTAAATACAATTTCAATACGTATACGAAAATAACTAAACATTTTCTTTTTCATTTGTAAAAGAGTATCCTTCGCTATTTCTTTTATTGAAGTAGCTACGTTTGTACAGATTTTAATACTGAAGACTGCCCTTTCCTCTGTTATCCTTTTTTTGTTACAAATCTTCATATACTTATTACTACATGCATATACATACATACGAACTATATATCGATAAGCTATTTTCCTAATGAAACAGAATGTGCATTCTATGTTTACTTCGGTTTAAGCCTAGGCGTCGTTACGATTTCTTCCTACGAATGAGAAGTGCATTTTCTTTTTTCCTCTTCTCTTTTTCTATTTCACTTTTTTAGTCTCTCTGCCTCTTCTTTGAATTCAGATTCTTTTAACGTTAACTATTAGTAGAACTTATTGTCAACGGGATATTTATCTAGATTAGAAAAAGCCCTCTTTATTTCTAAAGAACAGCAAGTCACACGTGTAATTGTAACTATCTTGAGTATAATGTGTACAGTACATACATATCGCTCGCGTAGAAGTCTCGATATAATTTCAATTACGCCATGATATCGCTAATGTTTTAATGTTCGGTTCTAAAGGTCTTGCAAACTTCGTTTGGAAGGTAAAATAATAATTGGGAGTCGTAGAAACTTGTATGATATTATAAAGAAAAGCTCCAATTACGAAAAAAAAAAATGAGACGAAAATATCCCGCCGCTTATTATTATTTTATTGATAAATACGATCGTTTTTCAATTGATGTCTAAAAGAAAGAAAACTACGCAACCAGTACATATCTCGTTCGTGAATTATCTCCGGCTTTTCCAGTTTTTATTAAAGCGAAATAGCGTAGGTGACGATGATTGCTTTTACTATCGGTGAGCGATTGAAACGCGATTTCATAGATTATTGATTTTCCTTACGCGTTGCACAAAGAGAAAAAGAGGAGGAAAAAAGGTAAATGAATAAAAAAAAAGAATAATCCTAACCACATTAATGTCCACATATTCGATGAGGAGGATAATCGACCAGTGTGCGAGCTTTGTATTGTTTTTAATGCCGAAGTGTAACGAATTGATTCCATCGTTATGTGTTCTTCGATGCTGTCACGGAGTGTATAACTCAACGAGTATACTAAAACTAAGTACCAGAAAAAAAAGATTTATGTACAGTACCATCTAGTCTAAATAAATTAAGCTCTTAACAAATCAACGGCCAAGGAACGTTTATTTTATTACTTTATAATCTTGTTTAATTTAGGAAGATACATGGTATACGCATATCAACTGCAAATTCTTTTATTCGACATCTATAACGGGTGATATCTGTAACATAATTTTGGAAACTTCAAAATTAAAAAAGATAATGTTCAAGAAATTTATTGCTATCATACTTACGTAGTATTCAACGTAGCAGGTTTGACCTGCATCTGTTTTTACCATGTACTGGAAACATAGTAATCCACAATCATCCGTCCTCATGGAGACTTTATTTGCACAGTATAATGCTTTCATGGCTGGTTTAATGTGGGCTAATTTATAGCAAGAATTGGCTGTAGTGTTGCACTCGAAACTCTCCACAAGATCACTATCACGTGGTAATTCGATGCGACATTCGCCGGCTATGCCATCTGTGCTAATTCTGAAATATGGTGCTTCAGGGGAAAGCAATAGCTAGAGAATAATAGAAGTGTTTAAATTCGTCGTGATAAATTATATTTTACTGGCTAACGGTAAAGTACAGTGGAAACTCGATTAACCGGACTAATTGCTGTCGTAAGTCATTCGAATAATCGAAAATCCGGATAATTAAGTGTATGAAGAAAAGCGGTTTTTGTATTACATACATATATATTAACTCTAGAAAGATAACCTACGCCGCCCGCGCATGGTTATCTTTTAGTTACGTTGTCATATGGTATCTTTCTAGGGAAACTGTCTAGCTAAAACAATAATGAAACAGGGCGAAGAAGAGATCGCGTGGGGCGCGGGCGGGTAGAGCCAGCGCAACATGTCCGTGCACGCACGGACTAGACTACAAAGATATTTGCTCGCAGTTAGTAATCCGGATAATCACGAATTCGTATAACTGAGGTCCGGATAATCGAGTCTCCACTGTAATAGGAATTTGGAAAAACCTCAATGAATTCACTTGTCCCATCGAGTTCAGCTAAAACATCCTTTAACAAATCTGTTTGCAGAACTATTTTGTTCAGTACATCCTCTGCATCGAGATGGAAATCAAGCAGTTCTCCTAATTCCTGAGTTTTTAAAGAACAATCTGTAATGATACCATTCTCTTCTATAAGCATAGTTACTGGGTGACCTGTGCCCTGGTGAAGAATTGATTGATATTGTCTTTGGGGTCCATAGAAAAATTAATAATTTAGAAGCAATTTGATATACCTTATAAAAGAGCTGTGCAGCTACTGAACTTGACTGACTGTTTATATCTGACCAGAACATGCACAGACATTCTACAAGGACATTCAGATTTATGCGAAATATTACTTCCTCCTTCAGTTTGAACTCTTGGAAGACATCAACTGGAATGTATGCACTGGCTTGCATACATTTTGCATCTTCAACTGTTATCTTAAGACCATTATCAGTTCCAAAACAAGTGGCTGTCTGCAATTATTTATAATATTATATATTTTTCCTTGTATCATGGCATTCATGTTATAGGATTATTTAATGCACCTCTTTGAAATTCACAGACTTGAGTAACTGAACTACAGTTCTAAGATTTCCCAATTTAGCTACAAATTTATAATCATTTGCATTTGGTATCATTGCAATTATATGAAGCTTGATATAGCAACAAATTTCGAAATTGTACTGATGTTACTTCTCTGTGGGTTAATTTTTTAGTGTCAAGTGATGCTAACCAAGCTGCTAAAATATGCTTGCACGTAAATGCAGAATGTTCAGTTAAAACTTGAAATCTGAAAACAAAAACATCAATCAGAATTTATCTATGAAACAAACTATCATAATAAATGAGAATATACCTAAAGGCTGCACAAGTACAAAAATGAACATCAGGAAATAAAGTGTATACTTTATTCGAAAATCCTTTAACTTCAATGAGCCACCTAGAACTTGCCACGTCTTTGGAAATTCCTGTTTTTATAGATTCCAAAGCTAAGATATGACTAATCCGTCCCAGTTCATACAATTCTAATGCTCGTTCAAATACTCCTCCAAATACATTATATAGCTTCACAAGGGTATCATCTGTAACTGTAACATAAATTAAAATAAATCAGTCTAAAAAATTCCTCGTTTAAAAAGAAATAAAAAAAATATTTATGATAAAAGTTATATCAACTATAATCTTATGGTAAATACATTTTTGTTCCTTCGCGAAAGTAACGGCAGCTTCTTTCAAAGTTTGCTTTGCAATATTCGTCAACTTTCTTTCATACTCTGTAGATAATTCAGGGGACATCTGTGCATTAGACACCATCATACAATATCATGTAACATCAGTAATACTTCCAACTAGCTAAATGGCCTACTTAAAAACTTCTCGTCAAAGTATATTTACTGAAACATAAGTACTAATTGAATCATAAAAATTATAGCAACCGTGCTTAGTACTTGCAATAAAGACATCCAACAACAGTAGAAAAATAATATCGTGTGTCCTAAACCTAAACGGTCAACCAATAAAATAGCATGTCTATGCTACATCCCGTTTTCTTCGACACGGTTCAATGTATAAATCATTTTAACTGTGCTATTAGCCAATCAGACACTTATGTTTTGAAGATAAACGGAGCTTATGCATAGAACGCGTTGAAGAAAACGGGCCTATAAGAATATAGATAATTTTATTGATTGAGCGTTCACCTTTGGGAAGAGAAATAGAATAAGTGCCAATACATTTGGATCAAATTTACGAACACTCGTTGGTACCATACGGTAAATCTAGGGAAATTTGTAAAAAGTCACTAGTATCTTTAAAGCGTTTTCTTTAACCTTTCCCAACCTCGCTTGTCGTCGACGAGGCATCTGGCTATTGGCAATCTCAACGTTTTACTTATATATTAACTCCTGGTAAAAATAATCTTTACGAAGGATAAATCCGAGTGAAAAATGGCTTCAAGAGGACAGCAACGATCCCGAATTCCGGAACCAGAGCCACGTATAGATTATGTGCAGTGCGATGGTTTAGCCGTCATGAAAATGGTTAAGCACTGTCATGAGGAATCAGCGGGTAACATGGAAGTGGCCCAAGGTGCTCTTCTTGGCTTGGTTGTACAGAGCAGATTGGAAATTACAAATTGCTTCCCATTTCCAAAAAACGATGAGATTATGGATGAAGAGGAATATCAACTGGCTATGATGCGTCGTCTACGCAGGTACTATAGTTCGGCTATAGTTTAATGCTTGTCATAGTAATAGTTATGATATTTAATAAATTATTTATTCTTAGGGTGAACGTTGATCACTTCCATGTTGGTTGGTACCAGAGTGCTGATGTAGGAAACTTCTTAAGTCTTCCATTACTCGAATCACAGTATCATTATCAGACTTCAATTGAAGAGTCTGTTGTTGTCATTTATGACACTGCTAAGTCTGCCAGAGGTTTCCTGACCCTCAAAGCATATCGTCTGACACCTCAGGCTATTCAGATGTATAAGGAGGGTGAATTTACACCTGAAGCACTGCGCACACTGAAGATTGGCTATGAAACTCTTTTTGTAGAAGTACCCATAGTCATCAAGAACAGCACTCTGACAAATATTATGATGTCCGAGCTAGAAGAGATGATCCCTGAAGAGCAAGGCACAAAGTACCTTGATTTGGGAACTGCTACTGTGCTTGAAAATCAATTACGCTGTTTGATGGACCGTGTGGATGAACTCAATCAGGAAGCAATTAAATTCAACAGATATCAGCACTTAGTGATTCGTCAGCAGCAAGACAAGAACAGACTTTTACAGAAACGTGCACAAGAAAATGCTGCAAGAGCTGCTAAGGATGAACCTCCACTACCCGATGATGATATTAACAAGCTCATGAGACCTCTGCCTGTTCCTCCAAGGTTGAACCCCATGATTGTTGCTGGACAAATCAATACATACAGCCAGCATATATCTCAGTTCTGTTCACAAAGCTTGGCTAAGTTGTATATCACACAGAGTCTGCAAAGTGCGAAGGAGGCCAAAACTTCCAACTGATTAAAATGGTAGAAAGCTTGTTCCTTATCAGTCAAATAGAACTGGATTTTATCCAAACGATATTGAACACGTTCTTTACCAGAACGTTATATATAAACAAAAATAAAACATTTCAATTGTCTATTCATCTTTATGAAAAATTCGTCTAATTTTAGATCTAAGAAACCTATTACCATTATAATATTGATAAGCTTAATTCATATGATGCATACATATATCAATTTTCCAAATACAAATATATGTATAAGTGCAACAATATATGAATGAGTAACATTTAATCGAAGCAGCTACAATCGAAACTCGAATATCGATACTGGTGAGCTTCCATGCCTTGAAGTATCCCCCACCTATCATTCCTGGAAATGTCAGTCGAGCTGTTGTTGGCATCTCTATACTAGCGAAGGTTTGTTCAGATTGGAGAGTGGGAGTGCGTGAGTCTAGATGCTGCGATGGATGAAGTAGCGACAAACGGTAGGTGTTTATATTTTATATCCTCTTAAAAATCATTTTAATATTCGATCGTAATAAGATTTATTAAGCTTTCCATGACTAGGATAATATTTAGAACACAGTAGTGTGGACTCGGTATGATTTCAATTCAATGAAAATCCTGTCACACAACGTCAGCCACAGCGTGTGGGCGTCCTGCTCTCTGGGTTGTCTTGTCCCACAGTTTGGCGTTCACGACTCTATTTACACGGTTACCCGAGTCATTTGCATACTGACACCTCCACGACTTCCTCGCTTCTGTAACGCTCTTCCTCAAGGCAAACTTCCCGATTCGCTATCCGGGTATCTTTACCGTTTTTGGGAAACCCTTCGTAATTTACGTTAACAGTATTGTCAGCCGTGAATCATGTAACTGACTATTCACTTTTTTTTCTATCTCTTGCAAGTCTCAATAATGATTTCTGAAGAGAGTAACGTCAGCATTGATTCAGAGTGATGTGTTTATAGAAACTTTTGATATCCCATAACACACTTTCATTGGAAATGATTCATGCGCTTACTTCTATTGCCATCAATGACCCTTAATAAACTTGCATCCTGTGTAGTTACTGGCATAATTCTGATCATGTTGATCATTGATAGTTCTACATAATATATTATTAGTATCACCTAGTTTGTAATTGCTAAATGAGCTGTGTTATTTACAGATCCTGGAGGTGGAGAGAGTGGCGGAATACTGGTATGTGCTGGATGTCTCAACGCCATTGATGATGATGAGTTCATCCAGGCTTTAAGTCAGGAGTGGCACATTGATTGCTTTCGGTAATAGTACATTAACTATAATCCTCTTGTATTGGCTGTACATCGTTTACTTGCATAGCCTACAATACAATTTTTTTCTGATCATTCTTAGATGCTCAGCATGTGATGCTGCTCTATCCTCATGGTACTTTGAGAAGGATGGACTCCTCTTCTGCAAGGATGATTACTGGGCCGCTTATGGTGAGGCCTGTCAGGGATGTGGTCAGGTCATTACTGGTCCAGTTATGTTGGCAGGCGATCATAAATTTCATCCAGAGTGCTTTGCCTGTACCTCCTGCGGCGCATTTATTGGCGATGGCGAGAGTTATGCCTTGGTCGAGCGTTCAAAATTATACTGTGGTGTTTGCTACAAGAGACAGATGCAGCCACTCAATAAGACTGCAAATTATCCCTTTGTTAGAAAGCCACATAGCATTAGACTTGTCGAAATTCCACCGAACACGAATGATCCGGAGAAGCAGAGAGGAATTAAACTTACTTTGGACACAACACCAAGTCCGCGCAGTTGCAGTAGCGCTCTGCTTCGAATATCCGAGTGAGTATTTATTTTAAGAGCAGTATTGTTATATAATATTTTTTCTTTTTCGTTACTTGCAATTATGAAAAAACCCTTTGCGTTTTTTATTTTTGAACGTTTTCTTTGAATTTATTCCATTTTTGACGCTTACTGTAAATATGGCATTATTGCCTTATACCGATCTTCTCACGGCACGTGTATATATCTTGTAAAAAAAATTTCCTGTAAAAACTGTTGTTTTCAGCAATATATTGCTTCAATGAACTCCCTAGCTGACATTGGTATTTTTGACGATATCCAATTACACTTCCGCTACAAGAAAATTACTGCATCATAGTAAATTTTTTAAACGAATACTTGAGCATCTCCCACGTTCAATCATAACGCACTTTCTTAAAATCAAATGTAATTTCTCAAAAGTCTAAGTAGAATTTACAGTTTTCATTCATGAAATAAAGTATTGCATGAAATAGTGGATAAAATTATGAGGAACTATATTATTAATCAGTATAAAATTAATTTTTAATTAATATCCCTCCCAAGACGTGAGTATAAGATCTACATGGATCTGAATACTAAAACAATAATCTGTAGACTAAAATTAAAATTTAATAAAGTAATATTTACTTCTATTGGGACAAATATACTTACATATCTCGAGAAGAAAAATACCCTTAAATGTCTTGAAAAGTGTTGTCACATTTTTAAAACCAGTGTCTCCTGCAGTTTAAAAACATTGCAATATTTTGCACATATTTGTATTGCAATTTAAGAAGACTCGAATCGCAGAAGAACACAGCCAGACATTTAAGGGTGAATTTGAGTAAACAAGTCGCTAATAACTCCAAACTAAAATGCAGGTTAATGAGAAATGTTCGTGGAAAGATCAGTAAGCTGGCAACCTCTGTGATGGAGGTTCTATTTAGGCTATGCTGCCACTTCTCTAATAATAGGTATTCCATAACAACTTAATAATATGCACTAAACAAAAAAGAGGTAAACCCTTGCATTCTTGCATCGTTGCGTCTTAAGTTGTGTGTCTCCATGCCAGTAGTCATATTGTTGCTAGTTCATCATACTACCTTGTCAATACTGCATTTTATCTAAAAAATTGTTTATCCACTAGCTTCATTATTATCAAAGTCAAATATGAACTTTCTTATAATTTCATGTTACATATCTTGCCGCATGACCGCACAAATCACAATGGTAAAGCTCATTATCTATGTAGTGATCTGATAATAAAGAAGGACATATTACATTATCCACTACCCTGAAAACTGAATCAGTGGGATGTATAGAAAGGTCAATCATATTTTCTGAGGTCACAGTGATTCGATAAAATTTAAACAATGGAACTGCATTTGATAATTAGCATAATGCATGTTTCTTAACTTGTGAATAGATAATTTCTTTTTAATTCTATTACGTAATTCAATTTTGCCTGGTGTACTGTAATCAATCTGTTATCCGTTTCTTTTTCTTTTGAATTTTAATAACAAAATTTGATGCTATTTAAGTCAAATATCGTGTATGAATCAGATTCGAGTTTATATTTATAGAGTATCAAACCGGTAAAAATTCTTGGTAAGAACTTTATCAATTATTAAAGAATTTCAGGATCACTATTTATTTTTATACTAGTAAGCCCATCCACAGTTCTGCTGCACTTGTCACGTCTATTGCATTTATAATATAAACAGCTTTTAGCGTAAACATTGTCACTGTCCGGTTACGTAACTGCCGTTATGTTCTTATTATCCGTAAATCTATACGTATTACATCAGTAATTAAATATCCACTGTATCGCGGAAAGTATATATTTATAATATTTAAATATTTAAGAAATTAAAATATACATACCTATTTTCCCCGATTGATTTGATTTGAAGAAAAGTGAGATTTATTTCAGTTACATATTCCGTTTCGTCGCGACTTTTCTCTACATTGTGGATATATTGCCAAATAGTCCAATTAGTCAAAGCCCCTCGGCAAAGTTTGCAAACCGATCGATTGGAAACCCTTCGAATGACTTCCCTAAACATTTCCAATACTCGTATTTCCTTTGGGGTAATCTTTCCTCTATTCCTGGGACAGTGCTGAAATGAGCTTCTCAGTGAACCGGTGACAGTTACTTCTTACAGGGACAATAGTTACTTGCATGTGAATCATAAAAAGTCTGCATGTATATTAACAGAATCACAGATGAATCGTCTCAAGCATTATATGCAGGATTTCTATGAGATTCTTGTAAAATGTTGCAGGCTGAACATGTCAAGCGATCTTATGTCACTACACATTGGAGATCGTATTCTAGAAGTGAATGGTACACCGGTGAAGGATCAGCCAATAGACAGTATAGAAAATCTTATTAGATATTCAGACACAGTATTGCAGGTACTTTCAATGAATCTCTTATTTAGTTAAATGTATATATTTTGTAATATTCATAATTAATTTATAAGGTTGATTATTTATTTCATTCTTTCTTTTTTTAGTTAACGATCGAACACGATCCTGACGCAGTTTCACGAAGACCTTCGTATCCAAGTGTTCCGTCAGCAGTGCTAACGACGACCCTGAGTCCGAAAACTAGCTCTGAGGGTAAAGAGAGGTTATTTAAGAGAAGAGATGAAGGATATATCAGCGGAACTAGAAGTAGACAGTTAAGAAGGACTAAAGATCCTACTCATAAAGAACGAAGTAGTTCAATGTCGCGATTGCTCGATGGGTAAACACTTGTTTTATTGAGTTCTTGTGCATTTATTAACAGCATTGTTGATTTATTAAATACATTTTAAAGTTACTTATTATTTATTTGTATTATATTTCAGATCACCTACGTCGAATCCCACCTGTGATTTAAGCCGCACCAGATCGTTCCGGGTGGAACCGAAGAACCAGAGAATTTTTCGTGCAAGTGATCTGGTTAAAGGAGAACTCCTGGGCAAAGGTTTCTTCGGGCAAGTTTACAAGGTCACACATAGGGATACAAACGAAATAATGGTATTGAAAGAACTGTATAGGGTTGATGAAGATGCGCAGAAGAATTTCCTAAAGGAGGTATACTTAAATTCTGTTCTTTTTTTTTCAATCATATTTTGGAACACTCTAGTTTAATATGATTCTACAGGTTGCCGTTTTACGTTCTCTACACCACAACAATGTACTTCGATTTATCGGGGTTCTCTACAAGGAAAAGAAATTACATCTAGTTACCGAGTACATCTCAGGTGGGACTCTGCGTGCGTTACTTCACGATACAAACGAACCTCTTCCATGGGAGCAGCGTACCTCCTTCGCAAAAGACATTGCCGCTGGGATGGCATATTTGCATTCCATGAATATCATCCACCGAGACTTGAACTCACATAATTGCCTAGTGCGGGAGGACAAGACCGTGGTGGTAGCAGATTTTGGTTTAGCTAGGATAATCCAAAATGGAAACTCTCCGGACAAACGAAAGTACAGCCGCCACTCAGATGGTGAAGTTAGAAGCTCGAAGAAGGAGCGCAAAAAGCGATACACAGTGGTGGGTAATCCTTATTGGATGGCGCCGGAGATGATGAAGGGTAACAAATATGACGAGAAGGTAGACATATTTAGTTTTGGTATAGTCGTGTGCGAAATCATTGGTCGCGTTCAGGCGGATCCAGATTATTTACCACGATCATCAGACTTTGGCCTGAATCAGAATGTGTTCAAGGAAAAGTTCTGCGCCAATTGTCCAGAAACTTTTTATATGATAGCCTTTCTATGCTGCGACTTGAATCCTGATAAAAGACCACCGTTTGAGGTCATGGAAGTCTGGCTTGAGGGTCTGGCTATGCACTTGTCTGTAGGAGTGCCGTTACCGTCCGATCTAGAATTTGATATTAGACATTATACCGGACCAAGTCCGAGCAGCAGCGAATCTACAACTCCAGAAACCCTAGCACCGCAACTGAAACCTATCAAAGAGGGTCAGATACATCAGGAAAAGAAACGATCTTGCGGATGCGATGACAGCACTTTGGAACGTGAACCAAGTCCTTTAGAAAGTAATTTCAAGACTCCGGATCCTATAAACAGTCTTGTACGGTACTCTAGGCAGAATAGTAAGTCTAATGAAAATAGTGGCAGCTTAGGTCGTTTCTCTAGACAGAATTCAAAGTCTAAGGAATCACTCCTTGAAAGAGAAAAATCCACTATTGTTATCTCACCAGATTCCAGCGGTTTCAGTGGAAGATATCTTAGGCAAAATAGCAAGAACAAAGACACTTCTACGGATTCTATAAAGAGCAACTCATACACAAAACAAAATAATAAAACTACTGTACAGAATGGTGACAAGGAAACCTACAACGAAAAAGAGAACAATGCATCTCCAAAAACACTGGATATCCTTCCTAAGCAAGTTGAGGAACTGCGAGATACTATGGTACTGACACCGCCCATACAAAAAATCAAGTACGTCGGTAGTGCTAACAGTGCTGTCAGTTCTGACACACCATCCGAGACATCTAGTATTGGCAATAAATTCTTGTACAAATTTAACTCACCAAAGTCTACTGAAAGATCAAGAGAAACTTCAAGACAAAATTCTCTGGAGAACGTTGCAAATAAAATAAAACTAGAAAACGTCTTTAAAATCCCCGATTCCAGTAGTTTGGTGGGAACATACTTAAGGCAAATCGGCAAAACAAAGACCTCACCGGAACAGGAAAACAAGTCGATCAGCAGACATAACAGTTCAAATTCAACAGGTAAACCTTCGTCGGAAGTTACAAAATCACCAGGTGGGTCATATTTGAGAAGAACAAAAATATCTCCTACGAAGGAGCAACCGAAAAATGCATTCTCCAAACAAGACAGCAACAGCTCTGAAAAATCATCGCCTGATATGCAGTCTAATATGTTCACATCAAACGTAACCTCCCACGGTGACGACAGTCATGAAAATAAACTATCAAAGTTCCCCAGACAGTGTAGTACTGCTTCCAGTATAGGAAGTATTTTGTCGCGTCACGGTAGTTTAGCCGTACAGAGCAGCTTGTCTAATCAGGATAAATCTAAGATATCGAATGACCTTGAAAATAATATAACTGGAAAGAAAGATGAACTCTCTAGACAGGACAGCTTTGGCTCAGACGCAAGTACTTTAAAAAAAACTGATTTGTATCGAACAGACAGTTTTTGCTCCAATGACAGTACATTGAAAAAGGACGATTTTTCAAGGTTCAAAACAATCGAGAGCGAGGATATTTGCGAGAATAAATGCACATGCGAGGAACCTGAGTGTTGCAAGTGCAGTCTTGAAAGAAGTGAAAGTATAACCCACCGCGATACCGTTGAGTCTTTAGGTGATAGTATGAGAAAATCCACCGATAAAAAATTTTTCAGCGACAGTGGTAATAAACTCTCTTCAGCGGCAATGCCTGATTATACAGGGTGTTATAAAAGTCTCGAATTACGTAGGCAAGATAGCTTCGGCACGGATAGTGCTGTAGGTACAATGAAGAGCGATTTCTTCGCTGATCTCGATCTCGTTAAGCTAAGAGGCGGCGGTGCTACACCGGAATTGTGCTGCACTCCTGAAAGATGCTGTACACCAGCTGATAGGCCGGCATCACCGATTGAAAGCACCGCTTTGTAACGAAACTCCCACGCAGATCTATACAGTATAGAAATGGTGAACGCGACCGAAAATAGATGTCGACCGTAGTTCCAGTCAAGTGGTGCGACCAATTTACTATGTTCTGTTGCGACCACGAATACGAACAAAGTTACGGAATTTTAAGGTCACACACATAAAGTCCACGCATAATTTTTACATTCTCCTAACTCCACATACGAACACCGTGTTTCCTGCATTTCGACTTTATAGAAAAATGAATCAAACGTCGTCGAATATCTGTGAAAATTCGTACTGGATTACCCTATGTTAGTGCAGAAGTCTCTGAATGATTTCTTTCTTTTTTTATATATTCATAAGCTTTTATGGTATATATCCAAAAGACGTTACGTACAATTATTAATGGATAATCGATACATTCCTAGGAAATCTTGCCGCAGTTGTATTATCGTATTAAAGGGAAACGTCATGTTCCCTCTGTAAACATTCCATCCGATACGTCAAAATAGATGTTCGTACGTGTTTCATGAGCGTTAGACTTTTCCTTCGTAACTGGATCTGTACTGGAAATACGTAATTTGTAATCTCTGTATAAGCAATGCGATACGAAAAAGACTCGAGATCAAGTCTGAAAGACGTAGAAGTTTATATAAAACAAAATGAATCTATTAAGCTTGTAAAGAAAAAAGAAGGGACAAGTTCTGTTGGAGGAATTTTACATTTTATTTTAATTTTAAAGATTGCTTGGTTTCCTGTTTCTCCAAGGTCAACATTTTTATTGCCACTTTGATATTCCTTCAGATTAGTTTGAAAAAGAGTCTCGCGCTCGAACTGTTCCATATTTATGTAAATCATGCTGTAATATAAGACACTTATATAAATTATGGTGCCCTCATTACGCGGAATGTTCTTGTAATGGCTATTTTCATTCTCAAGATCATCGAGATTGACGATGGCCACCATTTTATATATCTCTAAGATGCTATGCATCCATTTTGATGATTCATAGATACAAAAGTAAATACAGAAACAAGAACGACCCGTTTTTAGGCACTCTAATTTGTACATAGTACTGTACATATATTAAGATTTATGTGAGGTCATTGTAAAAAAACACTAATTCGATAATAATTGTACTAACAGCATTTCAACTTGGCAGACTTGCAAGGCGCGTTCCAAAAAAATTGTCTGCTCTCGTTATCACGCATATAACTTTACACTTCTACCAGCACAGTGCCTATAATTTTTCTTCCATCAAGTTGCGAATCGTGAAATGCTAAGAATGATCTTTATTAATTCTTTATTGCACTAAAAGACACAAATTTTCAGGACAAGGATCGGTAGCGGTCTATCGACTGATATTTTTCATATGCTTGAAGCATTATCTTTTTTTTCTAATGAATTACCATTCCTGTGTAGAAATGGATATCTGAACAAAAAAATTCCATAAGATTACCGGGAGTGCTTTTTCTCCCTTTCACGTTTATTAATTAACCTTCTATGTACTACCGCGGTCAGTGGACTCTCTTCGTTACCTTAATTTACAATCAAAATGTACTTAATCATTAATTTATCGTATGCAATTGAGTAGCAGTGTGACTGGTTGCAAGAGAGTGTTTATTTGGCGGCATTTTTAAAAGTTCATTAACGGTGCTCAGATTATTGAATATTTGTCAGATATAAAACTACAAATGAATTTATTTAATATATTTCTCGCGTGTGAATATAACGTGGCACCGTCTCACGAATGACTTTCGAAAATGCCTGCCCAGAGAATTGCATAAACGTTAATTGTCTGTGATAGAAAATGTTTTTTGAGAAGTATAAAAGAGCAAGGAGATAATAATAATATTAATACAAATAATAATAATGTCTCATAGCAACGTAAATAATAAGAGAAAAGAGAAAATGGCGTGTAAACGTTTGTAACTAATTGATAACGTTTAAGTTAAACAGTATAACGCATAGAATACTCATACGGTATACAATAATGTAGATTAAACAATCTGTTCGTCGCATGAACGAAGAAAAATCTCTAATTTCTAATTCTTTTTGGTGCAAAAAATATATATATACATATATGCATTTAACACTATACATAAACGCGCGTATATACCCAAAATATGTATTACCCCGAATGAAAAATCGACGTACCATATTATGATATACATATATTTCATAGAAGAACGACGAAAAAAACTGGCTAATCAAATACTTCGAATCGAACCACGATTTTTTATAACGATTTCTATTAGATCTCCGCCAAGCTCATTTGTATGGTTATAGATATTATCATCACTCTCTGTTATCACTGTGCCAATTTTTCGATATTATCATTCAAACACAAACAGATATATGTATATTTGCCTCACAAGGTAACCCCCCCAACCCGACCCCACCGACTTCAATAACTTTTTGATATGTTGCAGTACTCGACAAAATAAGAGACACGTATTTTTTTTTTGTGCTGACATCCACTTTAAAGGGGTGAAAACGACCCCTGAAATTCACCCCCGAAAATCGTTTTTTTAATATATCTCGACTTCTAATTAATATTTTTTAATAAAACCAAGTGGAAAATATTTGTCATAAGAAGTCGAAGATATGAGGTGTTTTTATGACCCAAGGGGTTGCAACCCTTATTTTATATTTTGAAAAAATGCAGAAAAAAGCATAAAAAATATAGTTTTTTTCAAAATATAAAATAAGGGTTGCAACCCCTTGGGTCATAAACACACCTCATATCTTTGACCTCTTATGACGAATATTTTCCACTTGGTTTTATTAAAAAATATTAATTAGAAGTCGAGATATGATAAAAAAACGATTTTCGGGGGTGAATTTCAGGGGTCGTTTTCACCCCTTTAAAGTGGATGTCAGCACAACAAAAAAATACGTGTCTCTTATTTTGTCGAGTACTACAACATATCAAAAAATTATTGAAATCAGTGGGGTCGGGTTGGGGGGGTTTCCTTGTCAGACTCTTGTACTAAGTACGGATAGTTGTTGCTCTGTCGGTAACAGTAGAACAGAAGTCAAATGTAATACTGATAGAGCAATAAAATAATTATTTTACAACTGCTGACAAAGAGTTATAATTATCTGCTGAACGTCGACGTATTTCTGATACGATGTACGTACGTGAATAAAGCATTCGATATCCTACTGTCGTTCACTGAACCTCGTGGTTTACGTAAAAAATACGCAGCAAAGACTTATAGAATAGATAAGACAAAGTTGATCGTAAAATTGGCACGGGTCATATATAATTTTATTAATATCTGTTGGTTCGATCAAAGTGTCACACGTCTGATCAAGAATGTCCTTTGAAAAGAACAGTATTAAACCCCTATATATGTTTATGTATGTGTGTGTGTGTATATATATATAGTATATGTATATATCTCTGACAATATGTGCGTGCGCGTGCGTTACTGTATGTGTTGCTTGGTCAAATCGTTCTTGTTTTAAGAAATGCCGAATAAATCTGTAAGAATCTCCGAACGCGTCATGATGCAAACGTAAAACGTCTGTACAAAAGCGAAGTGCACTAACGAATAATCTGTATCTATATATATATTTTGTAAAAGCGACGCCCAAGATAAATTTTGTGAATGACGGTGATCGAGGAAAAGAGATAAAGTGAGATTAGATGATTATTTTTTGTCTCAAAATTATCTAAACAGGAAAGTTTGAAGATTTTGTAGTCCTGTACAGCTCTAAAGGAATTTCTTGAAATTTGAACAAAAAAAGAGTGGAACTTTTTGATAATCATAAACGATTGATCTTGGCTACGTATGTATGTACACGTGGGCGTAGGTGCACCGAGAAGCTCAAATATTTGCTATTGAGACTGAGCAACACGCGTTGTTATGCACTTATCACATTTGTTGAGCACTGTATTGTCGAGGATCGCACTAATAACTCTTTAATCCTTGCCTAATAATCGGATACTTGTACAAGAGGTGCATGAGGGTGTCTCGATATGAAAAGAGAGGGAGAGAGAAAGAGAGAGATAACACAAAAACAAAAAAAGTGCCACGAGTTGTAATCATTCTTTAGTTTATAACTGATAGAGTTTATTGTTGGGCGGCAAATTCTCCTGTCGGATTTATCCTTTTTCCCCCCTTGTTTTTCCTTTTCTGGATCACGTTTCGACAAAATCCTGTACGACGATTTTCTAAACGGATGTTTTTGTACACGAAATAAGTTTGTATTCTGTGTCGGATAATGATGAGTATTGAAACATGTCGTTGGCATTGACCAACGGGATAAGGAGCCGCGTCAAAAACTAGCCTTTTGTACCGTTCTAGTAAAATTATACCTGCAAAAGCGATTTTTAAATAATCATTTTAACGCAAAGTTTTCAGTATAAGGGATCATATTGATGAGTTAACATTCCAATAATGCAGCAATAGCAGCAACAACATCAAAAATAACAAAATATGGAAAAATAAAGTGTTTGTTAATAATACCTATACAGAACCAATGATTATGCTGTTTATTCCCATAAGTATTAAATACAAGCTGTGAATATTTGATATTTCAGGAAATGAAATTTGATCCATAATCATCAGAAATGTTTTCAGAATTTAACGGAATAAAATATGAATATATGAGAATTTAGAATGAATATAACGATATCGCTCCACTTAAGCGTGTACAAACATGGGGGAAAGTGGACCTGCTATGTGCGTCTTATAAGCTGAATGATAAGAATGGAATTACGAAAACGGAAAGTTGGCTGATTACATTATTAATTATTATGATACGTGGCAGAATTTAAAATCAAAGTATGATATAGTCACAGGACCTCAATTCAATTTATGTATTTTTTAGAGTGACATGCCATATTTCTTCAGAGCATCAAAAAACGCGTTTCATCCAGTCTAATCGCTGTTATAACTGGAACTGCGACCATCCTGCGACTACAACTTAAAGAAGCGACGTGATTGGCTGAGCGCCGAAGGGAAGGGAACAGTTTGTTCGTATGTGGCAGTATTGGTGCGGCCAGCGCCGGTATCGTTAGTGGTGTCTAGCTGGCGCGTTGCGTAGTTGTGTCAATTTTCATCTGTCCATTATCAAGTAAAGGTCTAACGAATACAGTTCGAGTATTCACACTAAAACCAGCTCATTTATTGCACTTCGGTAAAAAGACTCCGGCTGGCTGGTGCGGCACGTAGACAGAGTCACTGGTCAAGATGGCTGAAAAGGGGGACACGTCGAGTAACTCCCAGGGGGTGGGACAGTTCCTGACAAATTTTGTTTCTGAGGTTGTACAAAGTCCCGTCAATGTTATTTTGGTCGGGGTGATTGCCTTCCTTGTTTATAAAATCGTCAAGAGCAAAACGAAGTCCGAGGAGCCTGTACCAGAAATCAAGGAGTTGCCCAAGTTGAGGCGAGATTTTACTGTTCAAGAACTCAAGGCGTACGATGGTCGCGGTCCTGATGGACGTGTTCTCATTGCCGTCAATGGTAGCGTTTATGATGTTACCAAGGGATCGAGATTCTATGGACCTGGTGAGTTTATTATGGATAATTGTTAACCTGGACATTTTGCATATCATTTGCTTCTGTGGAGGAAAGCCGATTTTGGTGACATCATTGCTAAGATCGTCGTAGGCTGTAGGTGAATGGAAATATGTGTAGTTAAAATCGTGGTGAAAAAGTTAATTGAGATAGGATGATATTCTTATTTGGTGTTGCACAATTATACTTCCTTATCTATGGTTATGAGGCACTCGATTGCTTCTTGGTCAAATAATGTTCTGTTCTGTTATCCTCTATATTATGCATTGTATTTCAACTAACTAACTTGTAACTACTCTTACATAAAAATATAAATGTCAATTCTGCTTACCATAATATGGATAATACATCGAATTAGATAAGTAATTGTTTCAGAAAATTGTATTGCACAGTAGATGATTCTTGTAAAATCTTGTATTTTTTCATGCTTACTACACTATTCAATTTCGTCAAACGATCTGATTGGAGTGTATCTGATACTCTGTTATGGTCATAATTATGTGCTGATAGCAAATACTATCAGATATGTATAAAACATCTATTAGATCAAAAAGACAAGATTATAATTATTTTTAATATCTATTTAATAATTCTATCTTTATGAATTTGGTATAAAAGATACCAGTTGCACGAAACATTGATAAGTTTTGATTGTGTAAACATAGACATGGTAATCATTGTTTGCTAAAGATGGGTATTATGAAAAGCATTACAGACCTATAAGCTTAAACTATAGTGTAAAAAGAATGATAAAAACATGAGTATTATAAAATATTATGGTATTTTATGGTAAAATATTATTTATAACATATGGTATTTTGCTGCATCAAACTATTGAAATATTATAAAAATAGCAGTATATATTTTGAAAATACATTTATTTTTTATTATAAAGGTGGGCCCTATGCAGAATTTGGAGGAAGGGATGCTAGCAGAGGTCTAGCAACATTCTCGGTGGGTCCTGGCAAGGATGAGTACGATGACTTGAGTGACTTGAACACAACAGAAATGAACTCTGTGAAAGAGTGGGAAGAGCAGTTTAAAGGTGCCATATTTACATGCATATTGTCAATATTTATAAGCAACACCATCTCTCATTCTCACATAATTACAAACATCTAATAGTACTCCAGGCATTTTAATAGTTATCATAGAATTCTAGTTGGTACAAGTCTAGAGAAGGAAATTGTTCAAAGGTCAGAACAATAAACTGAAACAAACGTCCAGTCATGCTTATTAAGTAAAAGAGTCGTCACATCAAAGCGATACATGAGCACTAGGTTACGTTTCCATGCTATGATTTAATATGACTCAGGAAAGCCAATTCATAAGAATTTATGTTATAAAGCAAAATGATTGCTTGAGATGATGTGGTATTAAAGTAACGTTAAATAATTTATATTATCATATATAACAACATAATAATTCCGACGTCTCGATATTATGAGATTAAGCAATATTACTATTGCTATACTTTCTTTAAAAGTCATGAATGCCTCAGGTTTTTATCGTGATCGCCGTCGTCATTGTCGCTGTTACGCTGTCTATAGCACACCGCCATATTATAAAGTATAATTCAAGAGATCAAGGTTCAAGGTCTGCATCGTAACAATGATGGCACTCACTCCTATATTTCTGGAAGTGAACGATAAAAAAATGTTCAGCATAAATCCTAGTAGTGTCGAGTGAAAGTCATAAATTAGAAATAAAAAGATACGTAAGCTTTCTATTGCTTATAAATAACATATGTATCCAGTGACTGTATTTCTTTTATCTGAAGTCATTCGCATGTAAGGCCTTGAATTTGCAGGCTCAATCGTCGCAGTAATCTCCCAGCCGCAATGATATAAATTTTCAATAATGGCCAATAGTGTCGATTGACCTGGAAAATGTAACTTCACGCGTTCAGACCTACATGCGTATGTTTTTGAGCAAATGGAATTATTTATTTTCAGAGAAGTACGATTACGTAGGAAAGCTGCTTAAACCAGGCGAGACACCTACAAGCTATTCCGACGAGGAGGATGAGGGAAGTCAGCAGGAAACCGAATCGAAATCGAAAAATGATTGACCACTTGAACGCAGGCCGAAGCAAGAACACCCTTACGTTGATAATACCGCGCAAACATCATCAATAGGCGTATACCAGAAAATAATTATCGCGGATTTACAGTTGGATGCTTCATTACGTGGTAACGATATCCAAGCAGCAGACAAGAAAATAATCTTTATTAATCGTGTCAGAAGTATATAAATGTTCAAGGCCGGTTTTGCACACCTGAGATGCGATCCGAGCATTCTTCGTTGTCTTTTTTTTTTTATAATCGAGAATTGATGATTGCAGGATACGTAGAAAAGAATGAAGAAGAGAGGGAGAAGTTATACAATGTTTAGAGAAACAATTTTGAAAAACTATTTTTCTTTTCTCTCCGGTGTATATCGCGAGGAATGTACAAAAAGCTCGAATCGCATTTCTGTTTCGTATGTGCAATCCCAAGTTGCGTAATACCGATTGTCTGAGTGTTTAAATTACTCCAAAATAGCGACGAAATGTACAAGATTTATTGCATTGGAAGACTTGCAGAGAATGACTTTTCACTGGCGTTAAAGACATTCTGACACTCGTTAGAGCACTCTATATACGTTTTCCGTGTAATCTATCTGAATGTTGAGTCATGTTAGCAAGTGCTTTTGAATTGCGTGATGGACACTCGTGTTTTCGATAAAGTCCACGAAATAACTTATACGCGGGGATTATGAAAACGATGAAGATGATAAAGAGTTCAACATAGCGAGTACATAAGTTCACTATTGGATAAACAAGGGGGAATGTGTGGCCGAACCGTATAAACCCACGTTATATTTCTACATTTAATATACAAGCTACGAATAATTCAATGAATAATTGTGGCTATAATAGCAGAGGCGCACGATAGAATCTTGCGTAATGAGTGCGCGCAAAGCTCATGCTTTGAAAGTTCCAGATAACAAAAAAGTAAGAAGAGGGTGAAGCGAGAAAAAACTACGAAATTAAAGACAATTAATATGGAACGCATTAATTAAATTATATGTCGTAGATTTTTTTAATGAATGATCGTCTTGCGACTAAGTCTAAAATTTCACAAGTTTAATCTAGAATATTTTTTTCTGCTTATATACTTATTTCACATACCCTAAGGAATTTTATATAATTTCAAATGCTGTGTCACTGTTGTTATACTTAAATTTCAAGAATGGTGGAGAATAATTATCTAATTTAACATTATTTCGTATTTTATGAACAGTAGATGTCAATGCTCTATACAAGGTTATTCAGTAAAAACGTATCAACTGAATTTGACTCTATCCTAGAAGTCAAATGGGCAAGTCAGCTTCAGGTGGCGCATTTGGCTTGTATAACCCTGTATACTTTGTTCTTGAATAATTTCCAGTTTAAAAATTTTGTCATGTTATAGGCAAGAAAGTTTAATTTGAGATAACTTCTCTAGACAGGAAAAGAAGCATATTCTATAATTTTATCAGAACATACATTCCCCACAAATTTCCAAAATTGTGTATCTGTACTGATATACGTTTTAGCTTGATGAAAACAAGAGGGGGAGAAAAAGTAATTGAAGAAGGGAAAAATATGAAACAAAGTTATTTTTACAACAAGTGTCATTTTTGTATATTTTAATTATTGTCGTGTTATATAGGTTGAATCACTTGAATCGAGCGCCGAGTTGGGCACGTAGAACTGCAATTAAGAAAAAAAAATTGTTAATTCTGTATCAAAGACAATATTAATTATTTACGAGAAATTTCATGTAAATTAATATACTGATAGGTATTTTTAATGAACAGATGGAATTATGATATACAGCCAAATGTAACGGATTACACAGGATGTGGAAGGGAAGTTCAGATCACTCTATAATTTCAACTAATTACTCTTTTTTCCTTTTGATTCTTAGAACCATCTCTTTTTTTAATTTATCATTTTCTTTCGATTCTGGTTTCTCAACATGAAAGATTTCTCCATCGAACCCCTTCAATCTCTGGGTTTGATGCAGAATCTAATGGAAGTATCTTTTTACACTCGAAGATAAAGAGAAAAAAAAAGAAAAAAGAAATTATCAAATACTTATAAAGCTATTGCTTTTAATGTGATTGATTCTAATTCCAATCACGTGTAACAGTGAGACCAACCATTTTTTAATGCTTTTTATGATTGACGTCTATTCAAATTTTATATATGTTGTACTTGCGATTGTTGAACTCAGGATAACTATATATTTTCAAAAGATTAATTGAAACGTACAAAAGTCAGTCGAATCGTAACTAATTAATACTTAGCTCCTGATGCTAATAATTATATGGGAATACAAAGGACAAAAAAACGTTCAATAAAACAAAAACGTGAAAAAGATCGGGGGAGGGGGGCAACTTCGTAGCGTGTACTTACCATAATAAAGTGCATTTCATTTTTTTTTTTTTTTTTTTTTTTTTTATTCCTGATATGGCATTCACTATCAATTTATGGGATAAAGACTGAAGTATTTCCAGAAAATGTTCTTTATCGCATTTCTTAACAGAGTGTTTTACATATTAATATTCCTTGTCGCCTAAATGGATGGCACAGCACCTGTTTACTTCACCAACACAAACATATCTTTGTTTACCTAGTAATACAAAATAGTACGTGCACACAGATCTGAGTATCGATTGCTGACATAACGTTTTAATTATGACTAAAATAATGTTCTTCGCGAAACATTGAGAGGTATACAGACACACACACACACACACACACTAAACACATGCACTCTCAAATTAATAATGCGTCTCAATATTAGAAACAACCTACACAATAATCCTTTCATTAATCACGCGATACGTCACATAGCGGGAGTTGCAATATTTTATATTTTAAAACGAAATAGAAAGAGAAATAAGCAAGTTGACAATTCATTTGTAAGGTGCAGGTACTGGGTTCTTGTTATTATTACCATATCAAAAGGATATTTTAATTTTTGTTAATTAAACAACTGTTCCTTTCGAAACAAATCTTCCGAATCAATTGCATTAATGCACCAATATCCTAAAACAATCCCTCTTAGCACATATATATGTTAGAAAAAAAGGATTTAGTTTGCATTTTTATTTTTTATTAAATTGAGAAACACGACGTCTTGCACAAATAAGCTGTCAACTTTTGATTGACTGATCAGACAAAAACCAATTCCTTAGATCTTTGAGGTACATATATTTGACGCGAATGCGGTAGAGATGCTCTTACGAATATGTTGATGCATACGAAAAGAACGAATATACCGATCAATTGAATGTCTTAGTCACTCTTCTTTGAATTGCTATAAATACTTTTCTTAATAGACCTAATCTTTAATTGGTTTAAAATTTCGCCACGATTCCATAGTGTTTTTAATTTGACTTTCGTGCAAAGACTGAAAATATTCATTAGGGTAAATTCACCAGTAAGTGACTACCTGAAGAACCACCTCTAATTAATGAACACCTATTTTACAATCACTATATATAGATATAATTTACGTGAACGCGTTCATTTATTGGGGTCTGTCCATTCACTGGTGGAGTCACCCTATATTGCTGGAACGCGGACTTTTAAAAATATAAAAACATGTTTAATAAATATCCGCGATTTTTTGGCTGATACAATGATTTATTAGGGTGTCTTAAAAAAATATATTCGACTTAAAATTGTACTCTGTGAAAATCTACAATTAAGCAACAGGAGTAAAGTGTTCCTTCTTGAATTCATCGTGTCTATCGAAGTATCGAGAAACGCAGTCTCATGCTTAAAAATCGTGTTTATTAATTTATAATTAAAAATATTTCATTTATGATAAGAAGATGAATCTCTTGCGGTAAGCTAATTACTTCCATATGCATTAAATAATCAATTTTTACTTAAGAAAGACTGGAGTTTGAAAAAAAATTAGAATGCTACAGAATGTAATAAATTCAAGATTTATGATATAGTTAGTTACTGTTAGTTTAACGGAACTAGTGAATCATATTTGCAGTAAGTTTGTAGCCATCACTATATTAGCTATCCCCTAGTAGAAATGCCCTGTGAGATTCGAATGGTGGGAGAAGCGGCACGCGACCAAGCGTCGACTTCCGAGACACGTAGCCACATAACCTTTTCTAAATCCCACCACCAGACTCCTGTGTTTCTACTCTCTCGCATCGGGTCCGTAAAGTCTTCGATTGCTTGTAACTACGGACGACGCTACGCCATGTAAATACATCTATGAGCGACAGAATATCGAGAGTGCGGGCCAACGCCCGTAACATACTCACGCCATGTTTAACATTCGTAATTTTTCTATTGTGCTTAAAAAGAAAAGATGGACACAGAAAATCAATAACGTTTTACGAGGTTAACCACAATATACGATAGTAGCTGGGATTCTAAACAATCCTCAAATAAGGCTCGTACCTTTCGTAGTTGCCATATTGTTTCTGCATCAAAAGGTGGTATATTGTCGTGTATAGAAACACGTAATGGAGTATATGAATGCGCGAGCGTGGGATGGAAATAGAAAGGTGTGATTGGTTTTCTTTTACAGTCGATGCTAGCAGGTAAGGGTACATGAATTTATCGGACGAGCACTGGTGGAATCTAGAAAGGTGGAACTGGAAACCGAAAAGCTACTCGGATTTCTCTCTTTGTCGACTTACAACCACGGTAGAAGCGACGGTGTACACGCGCAAGTCTTTGTCGTGGTGCTGAAAGAGGAGAATGGCGATCGATCAGGTGTCATCCCTGCCCAGGGGCGATGCACGATTTTAGAAAGATGGTGTAAGGATCGAAGGTTACGCAATTCCTTTCTTCGCTTTTGTTAATTTGATCGGTAATCGAATTTATGGTATATTTTCAGAACATGTCATTTTTGAGAATTTATTCTTTTCACATTGAAGCCTTCGATATCACTGTTATTTCATAGCAGAATGAATCACATTTTTTTATTTCACAAAGTAAACACATTGCACCGCCAATAATTTTCACTTGATACCAGACCTATTGGTTAGACGTTCCTGGCTACTTCTGGAGTGTCAGTGGTTGACCAGCTCAAATTGTACTTGCAAGCGGTGCAACCGGTTTTCAAAACAAGCTGCCTATTAGGACGAGCATTGTTCCTTTAGGAGTTTTGAACGAAATAAGTACAAGATAATGAAAATCATTTATCATACATGAGGATAACCGACATCTAAATAGATGCTGGAAACACGAAAGGCGTTTGGAGATATGTAGACTGCTAAGGGAACTTTTCTTCGACATGCATCCTAACGCTACGATCATCGATGAAGATTTGGTTAATGGCGACTGACAAATGAGCGGCAAAGTAGTATAAAAGTAAAATTTAGAGAGTACTTAGAGCCACGTGATGAAGCGCGCAATTTATTATTTCGTTAAATGCGATCTTACATAACTGTACTTCAGTCTCGCCTACGTACATAACATCGATGTGCGTTATACATCGTTATGCGAGGATTTTCGCCTCGACAGCAAATTCGAGGCGCGCGGTATAGGTATTATTAAACTCGACTAGACGTTTTTAAATTGGGTCAGTGCTGCGTGACTAGCGCATAGAGTTCTAGATGGTACCGCGAGATAAAATTGTTTCGTACACATTATCGTCACGGTTAACCCCTTAGCCGAAAACACTGTAACTGGGTGTAACAGTTTAAGCAGTACGTTCACCTATCCGACGCGTAAATATCTTGGGTCATTACGCAAGAACGTCATAAGTTTTGTAGATGATATCAGAGATAGAGATTCAGTCTTCCGTAATTGCACATAATCATAATTTAATCATTTTTATTGTTATTACCGATCGAGTATGTTACAATTTCTTCGATTTCGTATAGTATAAGCACGAGCAGCTCTCTGATTTCAAACGCATGGGTCTGTAACATTTATTCTCATGTCTAATTCCTTTTTTTTGTAATCGAGTGACAGTCTAATTTTAGATTGACCTTGCATCTTTAATCTGGCATACCTAATTACACCTAAGCGTATACGTAGAGACATTGATACGGAAGAGTCCCGCGACTGGAGAACATAGCGATAACTTATTCTTGTTATAATCATGAAGGGGTAAGAAAAGACAATGGAAAACATTTTTTGGTTAACAAACATAACATGGCATAACCGACGGAACAAAAGGAATTTCTTTGACATCATCATCAGAGTGATAAGAATCTGCAGTATCCTTAGTACCAGTGATAACCACAGAGAATACTCCTTTGTGTAGTAACGCCAAGAATGAAGAAATAAAAAAGTGCAAACTTAAACCATTCAATGATTTAAAGTGTCAGTTCTCCCGCTTAACCATCAGATCAAGTTGGTAAGAAAGAAACTGTATACGCGAAGATCTCATACATGCTTGTATTCTCAACGCTGTTCCACGAGAAGCCTTCTATAATTCAAGACTTGGAATCATGAATGAAAGTCCCCGATGAGACAGAAGCGTGCCAGCACGAGGAGTCGTGATGGCCCCGCTATCCATTTCGTAGGACGTGCACATAGCGCAAGGCGTATACACCAAGGAAGACAGTTCTCTCACAAAGAGCCGCTGTCACCGAGGCGGCTGGCTGGCTGCTACCACGGCGTCATCCAATTCCCGTTCCATTCCTATATTGCCAGATACTTCTCGCACGGCCACCGCCGGCTCGCGTCTCGCGTCAGACTTGACACGAGCAGCCCGGTACGTATGTAGGCGTATTATGTGGACCGGCGTTCAGATGAAGAGCAGTTTACGCACAATGCGTAAGAGTCGCGTGCCATGTACCATCTATTCTGAAGAGAAAACCTTGTCTTGTAGAAGATGCTCACTTGGTTGAAGTGGACAGCATTCAGCGTGATTCTTTATACCTCTGATCACACAAAGCTCATAATTTTTGAATGATATTAATGCTACACGAGAAAAATTATGTTAGGATTTTTTGTTTCCGAATTATTCTGCGGAAAATAAAAGAATTGATATTTTACGAAGACTTTGTGTCTGTGTCAATTAATTTCTTGGATAGGTCCAGTGGCGCATTATAAAGTAAGAGATCGCTGATTGACGCTTGAGGTCCTTTGTTTTAGCCACCTTGCGCTGGGATACCGTACTTAAGTACTAAGAGAACCCCACCATTGCGCTTCTCTGGCATAAGTCGACTCGATTATTAAGTTATATATGTCTTTTCTTTGTCCTCGATGGATACCTTGTTGCGAGAGTTGAGAGCTAGAACACTCGAACGGTTTTAGTATGGTTAATTCCCTTGGTTGAGATGCCTCTTGTATTTCTGGCTTGCATGGATTTATTTATGCTGAGTTGTATCTTGTCTAGGATGGTAATTACGCATCGATGATTTTCTTCATGGATGTTTAGGGTAGGAAACTAAATACTTGAATCTGGCAGATCGAGATACCGGGATTTTCGGATTATATGGGATTGAGTGTATAAAACGTTTGTAATAGGAAATAAGTTATTTAGGACATTTTTATTTGTCATTAATTTTTCAGACGGAAACGTTACGTATTTCATAAGCGGCCACTTAATATTTTACATTATTAGATTAGTCTAAACCAAATATTTATGCGAGAATAAACAATAATTATCTGATGTTTCATCATTTATGTGTCAATTTTTTCTCATATGTTTCCTTGATGTTAGTTGACAGTGAGACAACATAGACGAATTAAGTAGCACAAGAAAGCCAAGAGATTACAATATGCTTACGATATTATGCGGTGTAAATATTACGTGTAAAAAATAGCACGGTATAGAAGAATTTGTTGGTTGCATAGGATTGTGTATCGGAGATGAAAATCTGTGATGGTTAAGGACTTCCAGGGAAAACAAATACCATGGAGAGGACCGATATCCATTATGGAAGAATTATTATCGTTCGATTATAAGTATCAAAGAAGGAATATTACTGATTCTATGAAGAATTTCGTTGCGTAGCTGATTAAATTACGAAAGGCACGCGCGATGAAAGAACCGAGAGCAGGCGGCCATGATCGTCTTACAATAGGATGAGCGGGAATAAGCAGGGTGATGAGCGCTGTTTCGCCGGCGGCGTGAGAGTAGTCATGGCGTTCGTGGCCTCGCTGCCTGCCTACCAATCCGGTACGTCCATACGGTCACGTGACAGTGTCAGCCAATAGGAACGGAGAGCTAAACTCACGGCCGCCGTACCGAGCCAGTCGGACATTTTCTGACAAGCGTAGAAAAACTTCTCATCAACAGCAGCCGCCATTTTACGTGAGCCGATACTCGTGCGGTGCGGAACCCTCGCGATCGCTTCTCGGGCGAATTTCGGTGGCGCGCGGTGGCCGGCCTGGGCCCGATTAATTCGATCGTCTTCGGCGCTTCGCGTCCGGTTTTGTTCGAATGTGCGGGGAAAGCGGGCGGAATTCGCGGTGATTTCGCGCGCCCGTCGCAGTGCCAAAGCGAGAAGAGGAAGATGGTGCCAGCGGGCCTCGAGAGTGATATCGTCGCTGCGAGCTAGCGCCGTGCGCGCAGCCAGTCTGCCACTCGAGTTTGACGAGTCGTGTCCAGCTAGTTTAGTGCGAGCCTCGCGCTCCTGCAACACCTCCACGTCTTTGCTGTCGCTGTCGCTGCGTACTCCAACCACTACTTAGGCGGTCACAGTGCTCGTGAAATAGTGTGAGGATCATCCTCTCGGGGGTTATACCCCGACGATGCCCAATGGTTGATCGTATTTCAAAGCGTGTTCGGGGACGCTCCACGCGCCGCGGTTCTCATTGTTATTATTATGCTCGCGACTACGCGAGAAAATTGCTAAATTTTCGCGACTCCCTCGAGGAAGAAGCGGTTTAGTGTTGTCGAGGTGCGTGTCCTGTGGCCCTGTGTGTCGCGGTGCGTGCCTCTCGCGTGCTGCTTTCCTGCTGCCGCGAGCTGAGAGTAAACACCCGGAGAAAAGCCAATCCGCGGAGACATGGCCGACCACCTAGTGGACGGCCCGCCGAATAAGCGGCCCAAACTCGCGGATCCTTTTCAAGGACCCTCGGATTCCTCAGGTAAGCTTTTTCCAGTCAGTTTGTTCATCCAATTCTTACTCCTTGTTCTCGTCAATGACTTTATCCCGACAGTCGGGGCTCCAACGCCAGACTAACCTAGAGAACCAGCACTGGGCCTGATCCTCTAGCGTGCACCACCTACGTTTATCCACTCTCTCGTCGTTGTCGCGACCTGGCAGAATCGGAGCCCCCTTCTGCCACCTTCATTTTCACTCGACCACCGAGCAAAATACCGCCGAAATACGCCGCCGCCAATGTCGTTATCACCATCACCACAGCCGTTCTAGCTTTTCTTTTGACGCCTTTTCTTATAATTTTTTCATATTTCGACTACTCTGTTTCCCATCATCACAATTCTCAGCACTCACTTCTTATTGCTTCTTCTTAGTGTCATATTATTCCTCATTTAGAGTTGTTACGGTTGCTTACAGATTTATGTCTGTCTTCATTTTTACGTGTATATCGTCTTTCACGAAAATACGCAATTTCACGGCATCTACGAAAGAAATCCCGCGGTTTTTCATCACCCGATTTTCCTTAGATTTACCGATGTTTTTTTATTTATCTCAAAGCTAACCTAGAGACGTTGCAGTTAGAGGTGCATAAATAATACTGGATATTCGACTGTTTTACATTGAACATAGTTATTTTCAGTGTAACTCATTGACACTGTGTCACTTGTTATACATTGTTTTATCAATCTAACTATACCAATATATGTGATGTATTTTCACGTCTGTCGTTTCATTCACTCCCCAAAAATTCTGTTATATAGATGTAAATGATAAAAAGCCTTTTTTTCACTATGTAAAACACATATGACATTTTAGGTTATGCTGACATGTAACTTATCACATGGAAGTCTAGGATATGGTATTTGAATTTTGCTCGGTGGTTAAGGATATGTTTAATGATAAAATGTCTTCGTGATTGTCCAGTCTATCCTATGATATATATTATCTTACCTGAATTCTTCTTGCATGTGTCTCTTATATCTAAAGTTGTTCAAATCATATATCTTTTCTGTAGATTTTATATTAGTGGTGCACGTCAAATAGCACGAGCATTTTGAAATCATTGGCAACAATACTTTGCTCGCATGCGCTATGCACTAACTATCCTCTATATACTTTTTATTTCTTAAACCCTTCAATGGCATCTACCTAATCAACTTAACAGTCATAAAATTTCTACAATACACCTTTATTCATTATTGTCTGTCAATGAGATCTTACTTTACAACAGAGGTATTTGGTACTCTTTTGTATTTACTACCAACAGATTTACAAATATTACTTAAAACAAAGTTACACGCAACCAAGTTGCAGAAACAACCTGTCTTCCTTCTCCCATAGTCTTTATTCTTTCTGTTTCTCTGTCTGCATATTTCTGTTTTTGAAATCAAAGTCAAAATTTGATCCGTGTTTGGATTCTTTGTGTGACTGTCACATCGCAAGGGAGTTCAATATGGAGATAAAAGAAAAAGAACATATTTAGTTTTATCTCAATGGCGGAAGAACTAAAAGGTTTAGATCTTCAATATGGGCTTTGCGTAGCTTTTTGGATGGGCTGTTTCTGCGACTTAGCTGTTACATTTCGTGAAAGGCATAGGAAGTTCTTCCGCAGTCTTAAATCATAAACTATGATATATGTAGTGGGTATGGCGCCTCTAATGATGCACCATGCTTATACAAACTACGGGGGAGGTGGCAGTGGTAACATGCAACAAATGCAGGGCCCGCCACAACAACTACATCTGCAACAGCATCAGCTGCAGCCACATTGGAACAACCATACCGCCCAGAAAAGAAGTAAATATTATTAAAAAAAAAAATCCCAGCGAAAAGCGATGTAATTGAAAAGAAAATTGTTTAAAGTACAGTATATCAGAAAATAGAAAAATCCGCAGATGCCAAAAATCTTTATGTCCGACCGTCCATATATTTACATATATTTACACGCGAAAACACTTTATCACCATTTAGTATTCTCTTCACACAGAATGTGAAACGCGTCGCCATTAAGCCCTTTATTGTATTATTCCTAGAATCCATTACTTATCCGTGCAATATTCATAATCTTCGTATAAGCAATGTCTGGAGAATTTAAATTTACTGATTACAACTTTAAAAAGAAAAGAATCACCCCAAAGCGTGTCATCAAAATAAACAAAATATCTTCCCTCGCGATTCTTCATTTACTAAAGAAATAATTACGTACTTGACGATTGAATATCAACATTCGAACGATCAATTCATGAAATGCATTTCAGACTCTGAAAGGTTGCAAACATTTTTCCTGTATTGTAGAAAACTGATAGACATGCGACACACATGCACAGAGCTCCCCCGCCCCCTGAACCTCCCCCTCGTCAAGTATTAACGGTATGAGAATTGTACCGAAGTTATTGCACTGAACAACCAAGAGAGAACGCAAACCTTTGAACAATGAGCTTAGAAAAAACGATTCCTCTTCTTCTTTCTCTTCTGTTAATCCTCAACACATTCGGACAATCAAACTCAACTCGTGGCGCGCATTTCGAAATTCCTACCGCGAGAGGTTATAGTTCAACAATTCAGTGTCGAGAAGAGTTTATTCCGCAAGCGCAAGAGTTTAGATTTAAAGTCGAAGGGCTGCAAAATCTGTTTCCACGTGAAATTTATATATGTGCAACGTCACTACAATTACTGGGACACGAAAAGTTTCATTTTTCTTTCTTTCCTCGATGGATGCACTTCATATGGCGCGTTCCTCAATCAAATGTATTTAGCCGGTGTATGAGACTCTCATCGCGCTGTCAGTTACATGTCAAAATTTTGTCGACCGTTTATAATTCTTCGGTGTAGTGTCAGTTTTTCTTTTCTTTTTTATTATTTTCCCTCTCTCTTTCTTCCTCTCATCGGCACGCGTATCCGATGCACCCCGATGAATTAAAAAAAAATTCATCGCCAAACATAACCTAACAACATTTTCATATGACAAAACGCGACTTTACACGAGGAAACGTTTGACGCTCCTGTTCGAGGAATGAGACTTGTGTCTTTGATATTCTCTTATGCAGTGTAATATTGTAGAATTTTCTACGCATGCCTCTATACGGTTTGCCATCAAAGTAGCTTTGCCGCTTTTGTAGCTGAGCACGAGTTTACTGTAAAACGACATTCCTCTATTTCTTTAATTGTATTACTATTATTAGTATACTTATTATTTATGTTCAGCTCTATATATTTTTCTATCCGCCCCCTTTTTATTCTATCTTTATCTACGATTTTCATGCGTTCATTCCGCTGTAGCGTAAGATCCTCCCTTAAGATTAAAAAAAATGTTTAATTTTTTTTATTTTTCTGCAATATTGCTCATGCAGTGTATGTCTCATGTCTTATTTATTTATGCGTTCATTTGTTTAATCGTAATATAAACGTAGAACAGCGATCGTGTGCGTTTTGTCCCACCTCGATGTTTTTCATGCCCAATTTTCATAACATTTGTTTCATTGAATTCTGCAACACGACGACGGGTAAACGGTTTTTCTTTCTTTTGGGCGCAGGTCGTCAGTCGAAAGTTCTTCAGCCAAATGATTATTCTTGCAAATAGTTTTGACGATAGAATTGCACGAATACACAAGGAGGAAGAGAAGGCAGATACCAAAATGTTAAAAAAGAAAAAAGTATCTCCAACTAGCGATGGTAGTTCGAGTGAGAAAGTAAAGTCAAAATTTTCAATAGAATCAAGAGAAATGATAGAAAAGATAAAAAAAGAAGCAATAATAAAAAAAAAGTAAAAAAACAGCTATGGTGACGGTACTAATTTCTACCTTCATGAAGATACTAACCGTAATTATTTATTTTTTTTGGTATCTTTGGTATATTCACACATTATCATGACGATCGCCGTAGAATGATTTTCCTTAAGAAATATTCTTCGTGTATAATATATTCACGCTATGAGGAGCTGCTGCTCGACAAATGTAAAAAGGGCCGCAAAGTTCAAATATAACAAACGTATATAGTGAAATTAGCAAAGTAACACAGTCGAATGATGTATTTTCCTGTAGCGAGCATCGGTTTACTCCAAGTATAAAGTTTTCTCTTTCTTACAGTCGCCCATTAGAAAAAAAAAAATTGTTATTGATGATCCAGGCTCGAGCATTAACCAGCTTTTATGTCCATAGATTACATAACAAACACAGATATGTTTGACCTCGAAAACGACCTACCCGACGACCTTTTATCGTCCGGATCGTGGGCATCCGCGACGGAGAGCGCCAAACCTCCGGCCACGGGTCCTGGGCCGGGACAACAAAATGGTGCCCTCGACTCGGAACTTCGTCAACACGTACAACAGCAGCAGCAACAGCTTTCCCATCATCTAATTCAGCAACAGGTATTAACCGGAGATTAATTTGTCCTGGGAGGAGTCACTTCTTAGGGCCTGTGGACTATTTTGATTGACTCTGAATGACGATTAACGAGGGGAGTCATGTCGCAGTCTTATAATAATTTCCTTCGTTCGATATTCTAACAGGGCAACAAGAACTTAGTCGCGAATTCACTAGTGATGGCTGCCGGCACTCTGGGTAGCAAGAGTCCAAATATGCAATCGCCGCCCAATGTATCAGTATCCAAAGGTGTCGTCGATCCTCAGATGGTGGTCAGCCTAGGCAACCTGCCTAGTAGCATAGCCAGCTCCTTGGCGAACAACCAAATGTCCATAGCAAACTCGATGGGTGGACTTCAGTCATCCATGAGTATGGCGGGGAGTAATCCCACCATGTCTATGCCCGGTGGGATGAACTCTGGCCTTGTGATGACCAGTAGTGCTACGGGAAACAATAATATGGGAGGAATGGCGGGTGGTGGTTTAATCGTCGCCAATAGTCTGAATAAGCAACCCTTAAATACAGTAAGTTTGACTCGTTATACATATACTTTGTTGACAATTCTATCGTTTTCTGGAGGTTATATTGTTGTATAGTTGGAGACAGTGCTGTGATATTGGTCCTTATTGTTGTGCCTTAGGTAACCATGATGGGACCTAATTCCCAGGGAATACATCATCCCAGTGGACCTCACGGGGTAGCTCCAATGCAAAACGGCCCTGGGATGATGAACGCCAGAGCTGTTGCAATGCAACAGCAACAGCAACAGGCTCACATGGCGGGTCCTGCGCGAGGACAAAGTCCACATCAACAAGTTCATCAAGTCAGTATCGTGGGCCCCGGACAAGTTGGGCCCAGAATGCAAGCTCCTCCTAATATGGGGAATATGCCGAATATGGGACAGATGGGTGCTTCTAGCCCCTACGGATATGGTAAGTTAACTAAAAGTAGCGTAACGTGTCACAACTGTTTCTACTGTTAAATTCTTATTAGATATTTTATGGTGTTTAAAATTGTTTTTCGAATATGGGAATCTGTGTTATAGGTTCTCCAGGGGGTGGACCAGGTCCTGGGGTTAGTGCGGGCTCAAATAATCCTGTTGGTGTCGTAGCGCCACAACAACGAGGCGTAGGAACAAATATGGCTGCCATGCAAGTTAACAGATTCGGTGGTCCCGGTGGGACTATTGGATCCAGCAATGTTGTCGGTGGTCAGGAGGGTGGTATGGCACAACAGGCACAACCTCCTGCACCAAGTCCAGCTCAACCTCAATCTGGTGCACCGAGTGGAGGCCAACCAGGACCTCAGCAAGCAACACAAGGTCAAATGCCAGGTACCGGTGCTCAACCAGGTTAATATTTATTGATTACTAACCTCCATTATTTATACACAATTAAAACTCTCTGATTTCATACACAGTTTAAATGTAAACGTGTAGAATCCATATAGTATAGTGTCTGTTATAGATCATATATAAAAGTTGCTACTCGTTTTCTAGTATAATATGAAAGACCCGAATTTCCGTTGCTCCTGAAACCTTATCCTCGAAGTTGTGGTGCACGAAGATCATCCCTGTAACAGGAAATCCCAATGTACAGGTGCTCCTCCATCGAGTGCGGATCCCGAAAAGCGTAAACTGATTCAACAACAGCTGGTACTCCTTCTACACGCGCATAAATGTCAGAGGCGCGAGAGTCAAGCGAACGGAGAAGTCTGGCAATGCACGTTGCCGCATTGTAAAACTATGAAAAACGTCCTGAATCACATGACGACGTGTCAAATGGGCAAGAATTGCGTGGTGCCGCATTGTAGCTCATCCCGACAAATCATCAGTCATTGGAAGCATTGCACGCGGAGCGACTGTCCGGTTTGTTTGCCGCTTAAGCAAGCTGACAAAAATCGAACGAATAATTCAACTGGAGGTAATTATTGGCTCCGGTTGTTACATCAGGGTAAACGGAATGTTATCATTGGAACGTCTTTTCCTGTAGCACCAACAACTCAACCAAATAGTCAACCCAATCCAAGTGCATCAGACATGAGAAGAGCATACGATGCATTAGGTATTCAGTGTCCAACAACGACACCTGGTCTACTACCTGGACAAGGTGTCGGTCGAGGTGTACGGATGCCAGGTCCAGGCATGCAAGCACCTCCTGGTGCCATGGCGAGCGTCAGATTAACACAACCTCAATCTCAAAGTAAGGAGACTATATATAATGCATTGCTGCAATTGTAAAGTAATCCTAGTGCCGGAATTTTATATATTCTTTTTTTTCCAGCTGGACCAGGACAACCTGTAGTTGGTGCCAGTCAACAAGTTGTTGCTCCCAATGTTTCTCTCCCATTGAGCTCTGATCCAACTGCAGTAGCTGCGGCTGCTAGTCAAGCTGCGCCAACGACTGGACCCACTGCAGCTGCAGCAGCGACTGCTGCGAACATCCAACAGTCGGTGAACATGCAGCAGCTATTTGGCCTCAACGATTCGGGTCAGCCGGGTATTCTAGGAGAGAGTAGATTGGCTAGCCTGCAACTTCCCGGTGGGTTACAGCCGGGCCAAGTAACGGCAACGCCTGTACAGGGAACAAAGGAATGGCATCAGTCGGTCACGCCAGATCTCAGGAACCATCTTGTACACAAGCTGTAAGTAGAGTGATCACTTTCAAAATGGTTAGCTAAACCAAAGTATCCAAGATCATTATATTATGAATATTTTTCTTTTTTATTTAAGGGTCCAAGCAATATTTCCAACGCCTGACCCACAAGCCATGCTCGACAAAAGAATGCACAACCTGGTTGCCTATGCGAGAAAAGTTGAGGGTGATATGTATGAGATGGCCAATTCCAGGTCGGAGTATTATCACCTTCTTGCCGAGAAGATTTATAAAATACAGAAAGAGCTCGGTAAGTTAATCCACATTCTTTTCGTGATTATCTTTATATTTTGATTTGTTTTCTTTTGTGACTTTAAAATTTGGATTCGGACTATCACGATTTTGTAAATTTATATAATATTTGACGTAAAACAGAGGAAAAACGTCAGAAACGCAAGGAACAGCAAATGCAAGCTCAGCAGCAACAACAACCTCCAGGTGCTCCCAGTGCTGGGTTGAGACCTTGTGCACCATCTAACGTGGGTGCGACAGTCCAACCACCGAGACCTGTTGGTACGGTACCTCCAAATTTAAGAAGTCACTCGCCTGGTATGGCTCAACTTGCTTCGCTGTCGGGTATGGGGATGCAGCACAATCGAATGCAGTTTCCCCAACAGCAGCAGCAACAGCAACAACAGCAACAGCAACAAGCTCAACAGCAACAAGCTCAGCAACAAGCCCAACAACAGCAGCAACAAGCTCAGCAGCAGCAGCAGCAGCAGCAAGCTCAACAGGCTCAACAGCAAATGCAACAACAGCAGCAAGCTCAGCAGCAGCAGCAGCAGCAACAACAACAACAGCAACAACAGCAAGGGATGCTCGTTGGACCTCCCGGTCCAAGTCCAAACGGACAGCCAACGTCTAATCCCAATATGGTACCAAACCCTGGTCTCAGTCCATTTGGACAACCACAAATGTCGCAGGCTAATTTAACTACAACAACCGCGTCCGCGACAACTAGTCAATTCCCAACGTCCAACGGCACCTCGGGTCTCCCGAACAGTTCTCCTGTACAAAATCAACATCAATTCCCCGATATTCTCAAGGTTCGATTGGCTGCTGCCCAGGCTGCTCAACAACAGCAACAGCAACAGCAGCAGCAACAACAACAACAGCAATCTCAACAGCAGCCACAGCCGACGAGTACTCCGAATCCAGATACCGCAATCACGACGATGCCACAGGGTCCAGCTTCGTTTAATAGTATACAGCAACAAAATAATCAGCAGCAGAATCAGGCCTTCCCAAATAGTCGACCCTTGTCTGCTTCGACTCCTGGTGATAGTGGTATCTCAGCATCTACACCTCAGACGATACCTCCACCCGCGTCGAGCGGTCCTAGCCCTGGTCCAGGACCGATGACGAACGGGCCCCAATCCGTGACTTCCACACCCAGCACGCCATTAGTTAATTCCCTGATGACTCCCAATCAGACAGTATCTTCCGCGAATCAGACTCCACCACATCCGGGAACAACGCCGTCTCCTGCCGGTCTTGCCGGTCTGGGTAAGGGTATGACCTCGCAAGAAAGAGCCGCTCTGAATGCCCCTAGGACTTCGTCGATGTCCTCGCAGATGGCTGCCATCACGGCTGCTCTGGATCGCGACAATTCACCCAGTCCGCCAACGAACAACAACAAAGGAAAGCTCGACTCCATCAAGGAGGAAAATATCAAAATGGATATCAAGCAAGAAGACGCGACCGAGAATCACAGGATGGATGGTGGTAAAAATGTGAATAATGACGTGGTCATTAAATCCGAGAGCAAGACAGAACCTATGGAGGAGGCATCTGGTGACAACGCTGTCAAGGAGGAGTCATCTGGTATCAAAGATGAATCGGTCACGCCAATGTTTAGTCAGGATGCATCCACGTCTGACATAAAACCCATGGTTCCTGAACCGATACAACCAAGTGGCACCTCCACCGACAAGAAACGCTTGTGTCTCTTTAAACCTGATGAGCTGCGGCAGGCACTTATGCCCACCCTGGAGAAGCTCTATTGTCAGGATCCCGAGTCCCTACCATTCAGACAGCCAGTTGATCCCCAGGCCTTAAGTATTCCTGACTATTTTGACATTGTCAAGAAACCCATGGACCTGTCAACTATCAAGAGAAAATTGGATACAGGGCAGTACAGTGATCCGTGGGAATATGTTGACGATGTTTGGATGATGTTCGACAATGCTTGGCTATACAATCGGAAGACTTCACGTGTCTACAGATATTGTACTAAGGTAAGATATATCACACGTTAATACTACATTTTTACGATACTTTATTTGCGTTTCTGGTCTTTTTTTTTTTGTATTAGTGGCTAATTGTAAGTTTTATCTTTCTTTACAGCTATCGGAGGTCTTTGAACAAGAAATTGATCCTGTCATGCAAGCACTGGGCTATTGTTGTGGCAGAAAATACACATTCAATCCACAAGTTCTCTGTTGCTACGGGAAGCAGCTTTGCACGATACCAAGAGACGCCAAGTACTACTCTTATCAAAACAGGTCAGTATATATGTCCTATGTGACTTTTAGTAGCCACGAAACCCGTCAATGGATTTTAAGTTAATTCTTCGATTACAGTAATAGTCTGCATGCGTGGGAATATACATACAAGGTGTAACTGTGGTGACCAAATATTCTTAAGAAATTATGCGGGATATTCAGGAATATTCGGAAGCATTGCTCCAACTTTAACTCATGTTAATTTCTATGGTTTAACCATCTTCGGGTGATGCAATACTTCTGAGTAGCTGAATTCATACTGCTGGAGATATAGAAGTCCAGTACGGGTCATAATATTTTTCTAAAAAATCTTTTTTTGTAATTAGTCCATTTTTTAAGGATTTTTGTATACCTTGTCTGTATATTTTGATAGAACTTTTTTTTTTTATCTCTTGTAGTAACAAACTGTATCGATTATTGGAGCTTTTTCAACTTAGTATCAGTATTCCTTATTATATATATTTTTTTAGATCCCATAGACCAGTAATAAACCTCTTGCCATATCTGCCAATATAATATATTAGTTTGTGTAGTAAAGTCTTGTATCTGATTTCTCATTTAAAGATACATTTATGAAAAACGCATGTGCCAATATAAAAAGAAAATTCGTGTCGCATTTCTTTCTTAATTAGAATATCAACAGTGTCCATAGAAATTGCCTATGGTGTATGTTAATAGGGTGGGACATTTATAATATAGCTAATTCATTGCTCCTGGATATACATGATAACGTAATTTCAATGTACATACTTATAAACTATCGTTTCTAACAATGGCACTGTTTTCTTCTTCTTTGTATGTTACCTTCGCTCTACCATGGGTTGCGCACGAACACACAAATCCTTGTTTGCTGCTTGCTTCTTGTGTTGCTTCTTTCCGACTCTACCGGCTTCGCAACATCGAAAATTGGTTGTTGGAAAACGTTGGATCGATCGAAACTTTGGGAATTCGACAATTCCGGAACAAATACAATACTCGTGACAATAATACAAAAATATATATGTATTAAATACAACACGGTCATTGGCAACAAATCGATCAAAACGCGTGACAATGAAATAATAAAAATCTACGAGCGGAAACTATTAATCGGCAATAAATAAAACTATGACAAAAAAACACACGATTGTTCGAGTTTCGATAAAAATAATATACGGACAAAATACGTATGCCAATTTGAAATGAAAACTGAAATCATGTGTTGCATGCGTAAAATTCATGACAAAAAAAAAACCGCTATTTTCATAACTGGATGATCGACAATATGTGGATACGCCCGTTGGATCATTGAAAATTGGGCACGTCGCACCGAACATGTGTACGATGCACGCATGACATTGGCCAATTGAAATTCGGAACTCTATATGCTATTGGAAATAATAGTCTAAAGGCATATGGTCTTGTTTCCGACAGATACACCTTCTGTCAGAAATGTTTCAACGACATTCCTGGTGACACCGTGACGTTGGGAGACGATCCGTCACAGCAGCAAACGTGAGTTGTAATAAAAATACTTCTGACAACAATAACTAAAATAAATACGTCCATGTAATACCTAACATTTTCTTTTAGTGCCATCAAGAAGGAACAGTTTCAGGAGATGAAGAACGATCACCTGGAGTTGGAACCTTTTGTCGTTTGCACGGATTGCGGTAGGAAGGTTCACCAGATTTGTGTATTGCACATGGAAACGATCTGGCCTTTAGGGTGAGCGGAAAAGCTTCATAAAAATTTACACAATAATAATCGAACAAAAAGTTTTACGTGATACGTCTGTTTCCTGGTAGATTTACCTGTGATAACTGTCTAAAGAAGAAGGGCCAGAAGCGCAAGGAGAATAAGTTCAATGCGAAGAGATTGCCGGTAACAAAACTCGGGACTTACATTGAGACTCGGGTTAATAACTTCTTGAAGAAGAAGGAAGCGGGTGCTGGAGAAGTCGCCATCAGGGTGGTAGCTTCTAGCGACAAAGTGGTCGAGGTCAAACCAGGAATGAGAAGTCGATTCGTGGAGAACGGCGATATGCCCGGCGAATTTCCTTACCGGGCGAAGGCCCTCTTTGCCTTTGAAGAAGTTGATGGGACCGACGTTTGTTTTTTCGGCATGCATGTACAGGAATATGGAAGCGAGTGCACGCCGCCGAACACGAGGCGGGTCTATATCGCCTACCTCGACTCCGTGCATTTCTTCAGGCCTAGACAGTTTAGGACGGCAGTTTACCACGAGATACTTCTTGGTTATCTCGACTATGCCAAACAACTTGGGTGAGTTTCTTCTGGAATTTATACACATTTGTTGAATGGGTGATGGTCTCTATTATGATTAATAATGTAGGGAGATGGTATGCTTGATAATTCATTAGTAATGAGATGTTTTAAACGGTTGTTTCTTTTATGCCAGATACACGATGGCGCATATTTGGGCGTGTCCGCCGTCGGAAGGTGACGATTATATTTTCCACTGCCATCCTCAGGAACAGAAAATACCCAAGCCTAAGAGGTTACAGGAGTGGTACAAAAAGATGTTGGACAAGGGAATGGTTGAAAGAATAGTTCTCGATTATAAAGTGAGTTTCGTTTCTTTTGTTCTCTTAACTTTACTTTGTCTTTTACGAGATTAGTCCCCAGTGTTACCGGTATGTAATTTTGTAACTCTCTGGTGTCAAGTGGGACTTACAGTAATGTCTGACAAAGCTAATGTTCCTATTTTTCTTTAAAATTTGAACATAGGATGTTAAGACGACAATTTGTTTTTCTGTTTTTAGCATACCAATCATTGTTTGTCAGAATGACAACTATGAGAATGTAATTAAACTGATTTTTTCTTCTCTTAGGATATCCTCAAACAAGCCATGGAGGATAAATTATCCTCAGCTGCAGATCTCCCGTACTTTGAGGGTGATTTTTGGCCTAACGTATTAGAAGAAAGTATAAAGGAACTGGACCAAGAGGAAGAGGAAAAGCGAAAGCAGGCAGAAGCTGCGGAGGCTGCTGCAGCTGCTGCAAATGCGGTAAGTCTCAGATACAATCTTGTATATTGTTATTGTTACGTGAACAAAGGATTTGCAAATGTCTTATGCGAAGCTGCACTCTTCTCTTCAGATATTCTCGTTATCCGAAGACTCGGAAACGGGTCCAGACGGTAAAAAGAAAGGCCAAAAGAAGGCGAAAAAGTCGAACAAATCAAAGGCAAATCAGCGAAAGAACAGTAAAAAGTCGAATACACCACAAACCGGAAATGACCTTTCTGCCAAGATTTTTGCTACCATGGAGAAGCACAAAGAAGTCTTCTTCGTCATTAGGTTGCACAGCGCACAAAGTGCAGCCAGTTTGGCAGTGCGTATTAATTCTAGCCAGTTAAAAGTGAATTGTATTTCTTTATATCATTATTAAACTAAACATTGATGGACTTTTTCTCTTATAGCCTATCCAAGATCCTGATCCAGTTATAAACTGTGATCTTATGGATGGTCGCGATGCCTTCCTCACAATGGCCAGGGAGAGACATTACGAGTTTTCATCTTTGAGGCGAGCAAAGTTCAGTTCTATGTCTATGTTGTACGAATTACACAATCAAGGCCAAGACAAGTTTGTTTACACGTGCAACAACTGCAAGAGTCATGTGGAAACGAGATACCATTGTACTGTGTGTGATGTAAGTATTCACATAAGTGCGAAACTTAAAGTTCTTACATTTTCCTACAGCATCACTGTAATCATCATGTTTTTCCTTTGTATTCGCAGGACTTTGATTTATGTATAAGTTGTAAAGAGAAAGACGGTCATCCTCATCACATGGAGAAGCTTGGTTTAGATTTGGACGATGGTTCATCGCCGGCCGATGCCAAACAAACAAATCCTCAGGTAATAATTTTTATTTGTAATTATATTTTTACAACTAATAGTTTTATTAAAGAATAAGATAATAACATAGACTTTATTTTTATTTGTAAAATAGGAGGCGCGCAAATTATCGATACAGAGGTGTATCCAGTCGTTAGTGCACGCATGTCAATGTAGGGATGCCAATTGCCGACTGCCCAGCTGTCAGAAGATGAAACGAGTAGTGACGCACACAAAGATCTGCAAGAGGAAAACAAACGGAGGCTGTCCTATTTGTAAGCAGTTAATAGCCTTGTGCTGTTATCACGCTAAACACTGCCAGGAGACCAAGTGTCTCGTACCGTTCTGCTCCAATATCAAGCACAAGCTGAAGCAGCAGCAACTCCAACAACGATTGCAACAAGCGCAACTGCTTAGGTAAGTCTCGTTTTGTAATATTTTGATAATTATGATTACATTCAAAGATTCGGTTGTGAACGGTTTTTTTTTTTCAATAGGAGAAGAATGGCTGTGATGAACACGAGGCCAACAGTAAACTGTAGCCTTTCAACAACACCCGTGGGTGTGATGCAAGGTGGACAACAGAGCTCGAATGCTGCCATGGCAGGAGTCACTATGAAACCTGGTGTTAGTCCAACGAATCTGCCATCACCACATCAAGGCATCGGTCTTAAGCCTGGTACTCAGGCGCCTCCAGCTCATGTACTCCAAGTAGTTAAACAAGTTCAGGAAGAAGCCGCAAGACAGCAAGCACCTCACGTCGGTTATGGTAAAGTAACACCTGGTGGAAGCGTCGGAGTTGCTGTTGGCGTGGGAGGTCAAGGAAGTGGTGTAATGCCACCGCCTCCAATGCAAAGGCCGATGCCCGTTCAAATGCCTAATCCAAGTGGTACTCATCTCATCTCCATGGACCAATGGACACCTAGGTAAGAGATCGTGTAACTTTAAATGCGTACATAACTTTAATGAGTCAAAATTATAACGAGCTCGTTAAATAATTTTGTTTGACCAGGTATCAGCCGAATGCGGTGATGCAACAGAATCCTGGACTGCGACAACAAACGCCACAACAACTGATGCAACAACAGCAGCAACAACATCAAGGACAGCCAGGAATGACGATGGCTGGTCAAATGCCTCGACAACCTGGTGTTATTGGTGGATCATTCAGTCAGGTGCTGCCTCAGAAGCACGCGTTGCAGCAGCTCATGGCGACTCTAAAGAGTCCAAATACGCCTGAACAGCAACAGCAAATACTCCACATACTCAAGACCAATCCTCCGTTGATGGCTGCATTTATTAAACAGCGTCAGGTACATGAGGCTATAATGAAATTGTTATTGTTGCTGTTATTCTATGAATATGACAACTAATGTATCTCTATGGCCAACAGCAAACTGGTCAACACGGAGGAGGCGTTGGTCCATTGGGTCCTAGTCAGCCGCAACAGCAGCAGCCGGGCTTGCAGCACATGATGTCCCAGCAGCAACAACAGCAGCAGCAACAACAACAACAGCAACATCAACAGCAGCAACAGCAACAGGGCAGAATGCAGATACAAGCGATGCTCACTCAGCAGCAACAGCAACAGCCTGGTCAAGGCCCTAGTGTGCAACAACAACAGCAGTGGTACAAGCAACAGATGCTAGTGATGCAGCGTCAGCAGGCGGTACAGCAGCAACAGCAGCAGCAGCAACAACAACAGCAGCAGCAGCAGCAACAACAACAACAACCTTTTACGCAACCCCCTGCACCACCCTATGGTCAACAGAGGCCCATAAGGCCGCCTCTCCTTGGTAAATACCTCTCTTTACAATAACTTCAGAAAATATTTTATGAATCCTGTGAAAACCTAACCTAACTCTTCAATTTTTCCATCATCTAACATAGGTTACGGCAACTTCAATGAGCAAGGTTACGGTCAACCAGCTTTGAAGCCCACGCCACCGCCTGTACCCTCGCCGCAAGGCGTAATGGGACCTCCTGCTATCTCGGTGCAACAGCAGCTGATGCAGTCGGTCCGATCACCACCGCCAATACGTTCGCCCCAACCAAATCCATCGCCGCGGCCTGTTCCGTCGCCGCGAAATCAGCCTGTTCCGTCTCCACGGGCAGGACCCGTACCGTCCCCTCATCATCATCCATCCCACGGGACGCCGACGCACTCGCCGGCCCATGAGTTAGGTGGCCCTAGCGAGATGATGTTGTCGCAACTTAGTGGTAGTACCGGTGGTCAATCGGGTCATCCACCCGGTATGTCCCATCATCCATCACCAGCGCCGCCGCCTACCAGTGGTACGGACTCGAGTGAAGTGACACCAATGACGCCGCAAGATCAACTCTCGCAGTTCGTCGAAAGGTTGTAGTGACTGTTAGTAGTGTCGAGATTGGTCGATGACTATAATGACTTGAATGTGGTGTACTTTGGTGTACTCTACTTGTTGGGTGTATGGGACGGGATGCTTCTCTCTTTGCGGTTGGCGACGTTGTTGCCGCGTTATACCAATATGAAAGACGGTCTTGCGTACGATTATTATAATTGTCCTGATAATGATGACAATGATCGTGCTACGTGACCGCGTTATGCACCCCCTCCGTTCCTAGTTTTCCTGGTGGGGATTGGGTATTCGTTGAGTCTGCGTTACGGCTATAAGCAGATTTTTCATTGGGAGATGCAGGGAGAGTGAGATATAGTGCACTGTCGTGAAAGTTCGCGACTAAACAAATGGTTCCCAGAAGAGGATGAGGACGACGAAGAGGATCTCTGTTGTGAGGGAGATCATTTCCGAATTAGATAATAAAACAAGAAACCTCGTTTAGCTACGTAAAGCCGTGAAAACATTAGCGATACACTCGCTCGGCGTTATTGTTAAATAAAAGTACTGGTGGAGGAACTTGAAGTTCCTGCATAAATAAAGTCTCCTAGGTTTCACCTTCTTTTAATTCTCTTTGTCCGTGATTATTAGTGTCTTTTCTTCCTCCTTATCGATTCTCATTCTCTTTTTTATCTCAAATTCAATTAATTCTCGCTCCTCCTTCGCCTCATTTTCTCTCTATTTTACTCTCCCTCGTCTCTCATATTGTGTTTGTCTCTTGTGGCCTTCTCATCGAAACTCATTCTCTGACCTCGATTAACGTAAAAGAAACGAAAGAATGAGAAAAGAGACAAAAAAGAAAGATAAAACTCAAAGACTACGAATGAAATTTCAAAGACTATTTCCCCTTCCTCGCTGCTGTTCGCGCAGGCTGAGTGAAATCGTACAAATGTGTTGTGTATACTTAACGTTAATTAATATTAATAGTTAAAAAGATAAATTACTACCGTAGCGAGTATACAGTTATTACCACTATTATTATTATCATTATTATTATTAATTATTAATTATTATTATCAACGTGACGATACGCAAAGATATAACAAAGAACTCTTGTATGAAAGGATGAAAGTGAAAGGGATGATTATAAATGCCGAAAACTTTGTAATGTAATAATTAAGGTGATAAACGTAAACGACAACAACAAAAATACATGCAGAATTTTTGGGGAGAGAAAGTTATTTAACGTTAACTTAAGATCAATTTTTTTAAGGGATGATGATAAATGAAAAAAAAAAGGCAGATACGGCCGGCAAGGCTGTACTTATTATATAGAGCGACGAGAATTTACTGATTGATGAGATCACTCGATGACAAAAATTGAGAGAACGGGAGAGAAACAGAAACCGTGAGAGAGAATGAGAACGAGATTGAGAGAACGCCGCGTGGCTGTGTGCGTGTGTAACTGTGACTGTGAGTTTGTGCTTGCGCACGCATGTTGTGCGCACAAAGCAAAGAATTTGTTTGCATGAGCCAAGTCGATGAGAGAAAAATTCCCTTATACAACATAGCGAAATAAAAACGGATAAGACAAGTAAACAAAAAAAAAAATGAAAATATAGTGTCGCAACCAAAAATTAGAAATTTCACGACAGGCTGCTATTCGCTAATACGGGAGGATTTATAAATCGTGTTAATTTTGAAGAGTTTTTTGAAACGAGGGACCCGGCAGTGTACAGTCCAATCAAAAAGAAAAAGAAATGTAAGCTACGTCAAAATACGTAGCTGAAGAAAGATAAACGGGCCCTTCCGTAAACCGCTGTGTACATATTATACTATTATTATTACGATAATTATTAATTAATATTATTATTATTATTAATTTACCTGCCTATTATAAATTTATTGATTATTATTGCTATAAAAAACAAAACATAGAATATTGTAATATTTGAAGAAAAAAATACGAGAAAAAGGAATCCACACGCGTCACACATGCTACATCTACGATTACACTACGTGACTATGCCAGTGCTGTATCATAGTAAACTCTAAATGTAATTTCTCTCCCTTTTTTCTTGACTACCTATTTAAACGACTAGCTGTAGAGAATCAAAGGAATGAAAGGGAAACGTAGTTTTGCGCGAGGTGTGCTTTCAAAAGTCGGTTCCTGTAAAGGGTCGGATAAACTTTTGAACAGCACAATTGTACGTAGTAGAGCCACATCTAAGTAAGCTAGCCGATTAGACGTAATCAGGAAGATACTAACACACCAGCATAACTAACGTTAAATTAGAAATCGTAAAGAGGCGTTTTTTCGACGTAAACGTTGCCGATATTGAATGACATCGACACCAGCATATGTAATCTAGAATACACTTGTACATACGCGTATACGCGCGCGCGCGAACACGTACAACTTATACACACACGTCTACGTACATAAAGATACATTTTGACATACATAGATACACATACGATCTCCACACAGTTTATCTACATGTTTTTGCATTGTGATATATACATGCAGATCGATACAGAAGCCCGCGAAATACACGGATATGTACATTATCGGTCACGTGACTTGCGATTTAAATTTGTCGACGCACGGGAAAAATTTGTGACTCGAGACGATTTCGCGCTTTGAATAAATGAAGGAGGCGAAGAAAAAATCGGTACGTACGAGAGTGATAAACGCGTAAAATACACCTACTTTTTTTGGTGTTCTCGTTCACTGTGCGGGGAACAAGCGTAAGAATATTTACGTGTATGCGCTTTATTCTTTGAAAAAAAAAATTCGTGCGCGGGCGCGAACTCGTCTCTGGAAGTGTGTTCTTTTTTCGGTACGTCGAGTGGAAATTTCGCAGCTGCGTTGCGAGTGTTTATTACGTCGCTATAAATAAGATTACTGCTGACGAGAAGGACGAGCGGTAAACGAATGTAGATTAATAAATGATTTTACTGGTAAAGAAAAGAAAAGAAAAAAAATGATAAATGGTGGAAAGGCGAACGATGATATAATGACAAAAGAACCCAAAAGTATTTGGTTTAGTATGGCTGTGTTTTAGGGCAGTGGTGTAAATCTGCAAGTGGATGTACCTCTTGTTGTAGATCAGTTTTTTCTTTAAAGTAATTAACGAATGAATACGCTGAAGGCGCGGAGCTTCGAGTGCGAAGGCGTACCAATGATGCTAGTCTGGGTTAGTTCGGCAATTGCTCACTGGCGGCGCGACGAATCTTATGGTTTTGCTGTCAGGGTTGGGGGCTGTCACGAGAAAGGCATATACAAACGATAAGGGGGCATTACGGGAATAATGATTTGAAACAATTGGGATAATCCTGATCCAAGCTATTTGAGTATTACGTTGCTTCAGAATACCTTTAACTTACTTGTAATAGCTTTGATATTAATGTTCGGTGCACAAGAAAAGATACACGAGGGTTGGAAAATGGTCGATCGATAACGTGGCTAAACGACGCCATGTCGAGTTGCATTTTGTTTTACGAAATTAGCGGAATACGGAACTTGCATGTGTAGTAATAGTATAGCCTTAAAAATTTATTTTTTAAATCATTCTCGAGGATATTAAATTCTTTTTTTTTACTTGAGTTTCGTTGAACACAATCTTTTTTTCATTATATGCTTGGTGGGTTTTTGTCAATGTCTTGCATCATTCTTTTAAGAAATTCCACGGGGGTTATTAGGATTGTTCGGGTCTTAATGTTAAAAATAAATAAATATCCTGACGAATGCATGAAATAATAAATTTATTGTACAGCGCGATAGTACGCGAAACTTGTTAATCAAGGTGGGATTTTACGTTGCCGAATTGAAAAAAGCCTGGGTTACGCGTTGTTACGCGAAAGTTCTCGAAGCGATTTACTCCTGTAACGAGAGGCGAATGATACAACGTTATAATTATATGATTCGTTTCTTTGGTTTTTTTTTATATTATCGAACATATTAATATAGATCGAAATTATGGTCTATGTTACAAAGTAACGTTGAATTTTATTATTAATGAATTATTCGATAAATATCGCAGACAAAGCTATGGAATATAATAATTATCATTACGATTATTACTGAGATACCGAATATAGAAATACTACTTTTTATCATAAATTTTCGTAAATAGTGATTTAATTATCTAATTAAAGATTAATGAGATGCAAATGTGAACGTTTATCCTCAAAACGATTTCCCATCATGAATTCATGGTCGCACATCATAACCTCAAAATCATGATCTCGAGCACTGTCATTCTCATTAACACCCCTTTCACTGCATTGGTTATGATAAATGTTTTTCGATAACGATGTGTCTGTTCCTTTAATTATATTTTGTAATCATTTTTAATCACTTTTCTTGTATCGTTTTCACAAGTAAAGATATTTATACTTCATATAATAATATTATGATGCGTACTCCTTGCACTTTTGAAATTCAAAATTGTCACGTTATTACTAGCCACTGTAATATATCCTGGGGTTGACAACACGTGTACATACAGTCCAAATGGATTTAAAAATTCTATATTCTTCGATACTCCTATATTACTGCATTTCTTTTAATATCATAATAATTTTCTTCCATTGATTCGCGTCTATTTTTTACACATTGCGTATGATCGGGACTTCGTAATAGCTTCCTTCCGACTAGAAATTAAAATGCGAAATGGCCTTTCCTCATCAAATAAAGCTCTAACTTTTTACGACCGTTACGATTCATGACGTTCAATACTTGTATGGACGACAGGTTAACTTCCAGGACTCGTGACCTTTTTACAGTTATCATTATCATCCTATATTGGCTACATTGCGTACATATTATCCGACTCTTACTGTGCGCCTTTAAACACGAATTGGACTAATGCGGTATCGTCGATATACGTTTTGAATTCCTAAAGACATTAGATGACGAATGACCTAATTTAATCGAATAGAATAATATAAATGAGATATGGAAGTAATATATATATATATATATATATAAACATGTATATTATATAAATATAAACATGTACATATTTATATATACATAGATACATGCGAATTTGACGAAAATAAAATGTTTTACGTATAATTATTTGAAATTTCAAACGTTACGAGTAATCAGGCGTCTGATTGGCCGCTTGTACAGCACGTAACCATAGACACCACTAAACATGTATATTATATAAATATAAACATACTAATGCGGTATCGTCGATATACGTTTTGAATTCCTAAAGACATTAGATGACGAATGACCTAATTTAATCGAATAGAATAATATAAATGAGATATGGAAGTAATATATATATATATATATATATAAACATGTATATTATATAAATATAAACATGTACATATTTATATATACATAGATACATGCGAATTTGACGAAAATAAAATGTTTTACGTATAATTATTTGAAATTTCAAACGTTACGAGTAATCAGGCGTCTGATTGGCCGCTTGTACAGCACGTAACCATAGACACCACGTGTCACGTGGTATAAACAATAACGATTCTTTTTCAACAATGGCCGCGACTTAAGTGAACTTTGCTATCCAGGAAATCGTCGAAAATTCTTATTCTACCTAAAGTAACAAATCGCAGGCATCTGTGTCGACATTTCAATCCGATAAACGAAAGCGCGCGATTACACTTGTAGTGTCTGAATTTACAATGTAAATGCCATTAACGTAGAGTTTTCTGACTCTGACGGAGCGCTCAATGTACAGATGTATAGACACTTAATCGTAATAGATTTTAGGAAGTAATGGAAGGGGTTGTTACGTCCCATAGTTATGTACATGAATATATATATATATACATACAGACTGTATCATGTTATACGGATATACTTCATGGAACAAATTTCCAGTTGGAAACTATATACAGGGTTAGTCAGTAGAAACACACCAGCAGAAGTTGGCCGCAAGTGGCCGACACGGCAGTGTGGCGTCTTCAAAACATGACATGTGACTGTGACTGATTCCCATAAGCGCAAACTGACAGTTCAACAGTTAGGTTACTGAAATAATTCATTAATATTGTAATGACAAAATGTAATATCAGTTAAGATTTATTTTCACAACAGATTGCAATTAAAACAATGTAAAGTTTAAAATATTCACAATTTTGATATTTCCAAGTAATGATCACAACTGCAATTCTGCAATTAATTTAAAAATCAATTAATTGAAATGTTTTTATAGCAAAAAAGTGCAGGAAAAAATCTGTTGTGAAAATAAATCTAAACTGACATTACATTTTGTCATTACAATATTAATTAATTATTTCAGTAATCTAATTATTGAAATATTTCAAAAACTATTGCTATTCAAACTGTCAGTTTTCGCTTATAAAAATCGGCCTCAGTCACATTTATTTTTTGAAGAGGCCACACTGCCGTATCGGCCAACTTCTGCTGGTGCGTTTCTACTGACTAACCCTGTATACGATACATGACGGTTTCTCACTGGATAATTTTTGTCTCTAATCAATATATCCCATTGATATGATATACACTGTATACTAAATAGATAGTTGTAACGTTATATAGACGATTGACAGCTAGTTCTCTGTACACGAACTTATAATAACACATGCGCTCGGTTTGTTGTTGGGGAAACTCGGTGACAGATGTCTTCTCATACGATCAAACAGTGTTTAGTTGTTTGCTGGTTTGACAAGCTACTGTCACGCCACCATTTACTAGTCAGTCTATTTACGTATACTGTACAGGCAGCGTATTACCAACCGTACCGTTTATTCGTTCGCGGACATTATGGAATTTGACAGTCGCTGTCAATCGCCGTTGACATATATTATATAGATAGATACTCCGATTGGAATATATGAATTTTCCACCCAGTGTATAGTCAGGTAGTGTAGAGAAGACCGAAGGACATTGATTGATAATATAATAATACGTATTGATAAATACGATATAATACCGTCACACACCGAACTCTCAAAGTGATAATCATATCCGAGTGATTATATTTTAAAAGAAAAGAATCAAATTTGTCTATTACGATAAAAGGCTAATGGAACAATAGGAAATGATTGGGATGACCCATTAAACAGATAACGAAGAAGAATCGTCATTTTAGTTTTTATTATCGTAACGTCGTGTACGAAATGGCCTCCGGCTCTATGCGCATGCGCGCCATCAATTTGTATATGAGGATCCTTTGTCGAGGCGTCGTGCTTGTGTCCTAAGGGATGAAAGAATTACGTTGTCTTTGCGTGTCTCGTGCCGTTATAAGATTTTATACGTACTTGTCTATTTCTGGAGGATTCTTTTCTGGGTACGGGATTATTATTATTACGACTATTATAAATGAAAGCGCGTTTCAGCCAGGCTGGTTTCCGAAGAGCTACTCTTGCCCTCGGCCATTTTAGTACGAAAGGATCGAATGATTCACAATTCTGTAAATACTGATTATTGCCGATTTCTTCTTCGGGTATGTTTCTCTTATTACTCGTGGGGTCTCGTGATTGAAGAGAATTTTTTACGTGATATATATATATATATATCAGCGTCGACATGGGGAATTTATTATTATAGGCGGAGATCGTCATTTGGTCGACACTGAGCCTTCTTTATAGTATCTGCGAGACTGCATGAGAAATATTGTGAGATTTTAGTGACAGTACCTTCGTACACGGGGATTTTCCTTTTTCTTTACGGGTTATTCGATTTGTAGATATAATCAGGAGGTTCTTTGGAAATCGCCATTTTTATGAGATTGCTCCCGCTTCCTTCTGTACCTCAGGGTGAGAAGGAATGGGGATAACAAGAAAAATGCCCAAGCCCATTTCGTACGAACACCAGAATGGATGAGATATAGAGATATAAAGATTGCAGATAACTATATTATTACGCTGTAGTAATATTAGACATTTCTATATATATACATATATATATATAGAAAGTATAAGGTGAACGTTATAATTGTGTATAAGAAATGAATACGCCGCTGGCCAAAGCTGCGAATCCATTAGATGATTATGATGATGAGGATGTGTAATAATGATAACAAGACAACACAATAATATTAACGATAGTCATACTGAATTATTATTAACAATTATTACTGTACAATTTACAAGAATCACTAATCAATAGCTGTCTTCTTGTAGTATTATTGCCAAGGCATTTATTGATTTTATATAATAAACGGTGCAAAATTAACGTCGTTGGATGATAATGCTTTTATTCATCTCATTCCAACAAAGATTGTATTTCTAATTAACAATTACAACGTATGATTGTACTGCTGGTAATCTTGCATCAGTATTCAGTCTCATTATTGCTGCGTCTATTACAGTTTTCGTTGCCAATTAACCGATTTTCATTGTCCAAGTTTTATTTCGGCATCAAAGCGCCACCTGAGCGGAGAGCTGTCGAACCAATCTCACATTTCTGATTGGCCGAGTAGATGTAGTATACTACGCATGATATTCGTGAGCTCCGTGAGACGCATGGATTTATACCGGGTGGCACTCTGAAGCGTATGTATTTTCGGATCGACGCGCCACCTGGATGGAGGACCCTGGAACCAGTCCCACGTTTGTGATTCGTCGAATGATATCTTAAGCAAACCCCAATCATGGATAATACGAGATATATAAATTTCTCGATTTTTTTTTTACCACGATAACTGAACAGCACACGTGCATGGTGTTTTGGTAGCGCATGAGCAGTCTCGGCTTCGAGACTCAGTCATCAACTTTTTTTTTTATATTGATTTGCTCACTATGCTCATTGGTTTTATTAATTACCCTAGGATTGAATAAATACATGAGTATATTTTAGTATTTACATTTTATTATACTATTTACATAAAATAAATACATAAATCAGCGAGCGTTTCTTCTTACCGAAAGCCCGTGAGTAACAAACCGAGCAGATGGAACATAAGCACAAGCAGGAAACGAAAATTTACATGGAAAACGCACTGGCCTGTGCGGGCACGTGGGCCCTCGCAGCCATCAGGTACCGGGTTCGCGGCCGGGTATTATTTTTGTTTTTCTTTAATCAGGCCATGCTGCGACCACGGACACATTGAAAACAAAATTATTGGAGAACTGTATGTACGTCAGTAACGCAGAAACACCCTCTCATCAGGCGGCATGTCGACGCCGAAATAAGACTTGGATCATGAAAATCAGCTCATTGGTAAACTGTGGCTTTATGGAACTCCGGTGCAGTACTGTCAGTTACTGAATCTGATTTTTCTTTTATATGGCCGTAGCGTACCCTAAAAAGGCTCAAACCCCTGCCGGGACACCCATAAGGTTCTGTTGCGGTCACAACTTGTGCCCGACCCACTGAGCAAACTCAGCGGATGAAGCGGAAGGGCAATACCTGACACCATGGTGTATACGTATGGCTACTCTAACAAGGTGACTGCCCTTATGACTACCCGAATGAATAATGTCAACCTGACCAAAGGAATAGGACAAGTAAGACAAGCACAATGGAAAATGAGGGGGAACAGAGAGAAACGAAAAGACAGAAAAAAGAAGTCAAGAAGTAGAAAATGAAGGAAGATAAGTTTAAAAGTAGAGAAAAAATAATGAAAAAGATAACTAAAAAGTCAAGAATGAAAGATAAAGAAATAAGGAAATAAAGAAAAAATCAATATAGAAAGATAAGAGGGGTACTTCCAAGAGATCAGTATAGGAGATTGAGCACTCCGAGAACGGGTACTGCCTTGATCGCTCTCCCCACTGCCGATTCCTGCGTTATCAATTTGCGCGCACACATTTTTGAGCAACTTCCAGTACTTCTAAGTATTTTTGCAACTGATTTGTTTCCTTCTTCTTGCAGGTTATCCAGCTATTCGTGAATCGCAAAGGTTAGAATATTTGTTCTACTAGTAGCGGCAGAGATGAATAGAGAGGTTGCCAATGAGCCAATTTTCATGGTGCAAGTTTTATTTCGGCATGGACGCGTCACCTGACTAGTGGACGTTTCTGCATTACTGACATATATATAATTCTCCAATAATTTTTTTTTTCAATACGTCCGTGGTCGCAGCATGGCCTGATTAAAGAAAAACAAAAATAATACCCGCCCTCGAACCTAGTACCTCATGCCTGTGAGAGCTCACGTGCTTGCACAGGTCAGTGCGTTTTCTACGTAAATACTCGTTCGCTACTTCTACTTATATTCATCTGCCCGTTTTGTCACTCACGGGCTCTCGGGAAAAACAAATGCTCGCTGATTTATATATCTATTGTACGTATACAATGTAATATAATCATGTCTTTAATAAATCTTAAGGCAATTAATAAAACTAATAAGCAAAGGTTATGAAAAAAAAATAATAAAAAAAAGATTGAGGCTCCAGGAAGAAGAAACGCATGCTGATTTATATATTTATTGCATGTAAATTATATAACAAAATGTACATAGTAAAATATACTCATGTATTTATTCAATCCTAAGTTAATTAATGAAATCAATAAGCACAGTGGGCAAATCAGTATAAAAATAAAAATAATGATGGAGTCTCGCACCCGAGACTCCTGCGCGCTAACCAAAGCACAACGCATGTGTGCTGTTCAGTCACGATGATAAAAATATCGGGAAACTTTTATTTCCCTTATTACCCAGGTTTGGGGTTTGCTTAGGGTATACGTTCTACTAATCAAAAATGTGAGACTGGTTCGAGGGCCTTCTGCTGAAATAGCGCGTCGACGCCGAAATTAATCTTGGACCATGGAAATCGGCTCATCGGCAATCACCTTACTCATCTCTGGTATCTATGTATGTATAATATTTTGAGAAATCAATTACGAGTAGAAAAGATAGAGCGGATTTTGATTTTTCGGCTAGAAGATAGAGCAAAGATCAGAGATCAGAGTATGGTTTAAGATGTCAGTTATAGGAGACCTTCAACGAGTAGGTTGTTCTTGAGAAAGATGATTGAGCGTTACTTTGTTATCATCCATTGTATTTGAAAATCAGCAATTTACTTTTTACTCTTTCAGAAGGACTAATTGTAAGAGTGGCATCACTTTCAATGATGACAAGTCTGCCAGCACAGCCTGTAAAAAAAAGTATTTATATGAGGTACTGAGTAGATTCATAATTACTGAATATTTGGTTTATTAATAATTATTGTACCTCTACATTGTGTAAAGTATTGACTTGCAAGAGATTCTCTTTTCTAAAACTGAGAATAGTCACAGCGAGCAACGGTACAATCTCTAATGAATCGTATCCCAAAATTAGGTCCCATAAGTATAGCAACTGTTCCGGTGGTAAGTGCCCACTGAATCCTCTCATTAACCATTTGAACACAACTTTTACTCTATTAACGTATTAATTGTATAAATATATTACTGTAGAAATATGCACTTGGAAAAAGATTTATAAGCAAGTACTTACGGTTGAATATGTATATTTCTAAAGTGAGCCCATAGCTGTGGTTCATGACATTGCAATAATCTTTCAAATAATAAGCACAGAGCAACTATACCTTGCTCGTGACTGGATACAGTATGTAGTCTGAACCAATAGCGTAAATAAAACGCACGAAATGCGTAATACATAGAGCAGGGATCGTCATATAAATAACAAAATGGTGTAGCTGAAAGATATCGAAAGTTCAAAAATCTGATCCAAGTGCGCGAGGCGTTTACTGAGTGTCTTCTTACCGTACATAGTAAAACCGTGAAACGGTATTACACCACTTGGTGGAAAAACCAGAGTATTTTCCAAGGTAGCTAATTTACCTTGGAGAACCGCATGAATAACTTGGCCACCAGCACTTCTGTCAGTTGTTACAGGTGCCAGGACTTCTGAATCTCGTGAAAAGCACAGCATTGTTTTGTACAGGACATCTTCAAATACGAAATACTGGTCATCGTTACTAGCTGTCAATTGCACGTCCTATACAGAGATTTGCTCTGCAATAATTTACTGTAGGGATCATATGGATTTTTTCAGGAATTACCTTGATTATTAATTTATCAACCATGATATCATACTGTAGAACCATTCCTTTTAATTCTTCATAATATTCAGCATCCTAAATAGAAGCATAGATAGTTTTTTAAACTAGCAATTGTATCAAATTTGAAGTAATATATACGTACGCTATCTTTAATAACGGTACCGAGGACAAGAGACCATAATCTGCCTCTGAGTTCTCTTGGTGATCCACGTTTTAAAAATTCTTGAGCGATTGGTGCATGATTTGAGGCCAAAACCTTTTCTCCAAGATGCGTTCGTTCTACTTCTAAGTTTGAATAATTACCAAGCACTATCATACTGGGGTTAACGCCTAGCAACGGCACTCCTTGAGATAGTTCAGCGTAAAAGGATCTCTGTTTTTTAAAGAGGGAAAATTTGAACGAGATAGACACATGAGTAATTATTAGCGAATGGAAAAGGTTTGCCTTAAAAGGTTTTACCAATTGCATCAACGTCTTTACACGAATTTGTATATGGCCAAATTCCCATCCAGGCTCTCCTCTGAAATATTTTTTATAAATATTAGCAAAAAAAAGTAATAATATAAAATATCTATATTTACTGTTTGATAGAAAGGAATGTTTATTGCTACGTACGGTTGTTTCCTGTAAGTTGGGTCTCGGACAGCAAATAAAACATCTAGAAAATCTTTTGGTGCATACAGTGGTCTATACTGTGATAGATCTGTATAAAAAATACATCAAATGAGATTAATGAGCAGATATAAAGATTTTAATACCAGATGAAATATTCATTACCAATGTCATAGGTGCTTAGTTCATTCCATTTATCAGCTAATTCATCTCTATCTGCACTAGGCCGTATTCTAGCCAATGGAACATTCAATTCATTACACATAGAATTCAGAGACTTCTGTATTCTGCGCTCCCATTGAATTTGTGCCTTTCGCAAATATGCAAGATCAGCTTCTGTGGTAGAAGCTGGATACTCTGTGCTTGTCAGTGCTGAGCTCTGTCATAAAGAATATTAATAGATAAGAATACTGACACGTTTCATTGAATAGTATGACTAACATGTGATCTTGCCAAATGAAACACTGTGTTACGCAGCTCTGTTTCCAAACCATTATTTTTTAATGCATCGATAAGAGTGTTTTTGAAGTCTTCTCTTTTTACAACTGGAGATGCAACAAGTCTCTAAAAAGTAACAGCAATGAATAATTATGAAGTAAACTATCAAGCTTGTTTATTCCTACCTGCACTTGATTATAAAAATTTTTATAATTGGTCATATTTCTTATATCGTTAGTTAATTTCAATGCGGCTTTATTAGCCGCGCTTTCCTTTGAATCTGCCATTTCCTCGGTCTACCCTGTAATTTCACGTGAAACGATGTTACCCAAAAGGAATGAAATAATAGGAAGTGGGAAGCCATTTGTAAACAAATTAAATCCCCCTGTGGTTTGACTAGTTGACAATTTATCGCTGGTATTGACCATTGTCATTAGGGGACGTGAAATCTTTCTAGTCGATTAGACTGCTATCTAGTTGCTGTGACAATAACAATTTTACAGCTCAAAAGATTACCGACAATTTAACTTTTTTTTTTTTAAACTGTAAGACGTAAAAGAATTTGGAAAGAAAAATTGTTTAGTATCAATGAACATCCTTACAAATGCGCCTTTTGCTTAGAGTTTAAAATATAAAACGGAATATTATTCACTTGTGTTATAATACCTAGCGAGAGCTAAGACCAACCGAGCTTTTGCTAGCAAGTAGCTTTAAAAAATTCTCACAATTCTTCGCGTTCGAAATAAACAACATGGCTGTTGCCGGGGGTATAAGTGTTTAAGTTGAGTAGGTCTCTGCGATAAATCAATATTACTGTGATGGATCACTGTCTCATCGCGATATAGCACAAGGAAATGTAATTTTGTGTATCAATATATCTCAGCCATGCTCAGCTCTTGATACGTGTTAAAAAATGGCATCTGATAAGGTGGGTTTTATGTTTTGACAGCTAAAAAGTATTCTTACTTATAATTGTAAAATAAGTATTTATTATTATTTACTTTATATTTGTCTATATATTTGCATTTAAAATAGGTTTTGTACCATTTGGAGCAACCACATGGATATGGCAATGTCTATGTTGCGTGGCGCCCTGGTAACAGTACGCACTTGGCCACAACAGGTTGTGACTCTACTGTTGCCATTTTTGATAGACAAGGCGATTTGCAAGAGCGGTTCCAGCTTCCTGGCTTATGTACAGGATTTGGCTGGGATGCGGATGGGGATATATTGGCTATAATATCCAGTGGTTCATCAGCAATAATTTTATGGGATGCTACTACAGGAAAGAAGTCGCAAGTTGATGCAGGTCTTAGAGATGGACTTACATGTATGATTTGGGCAAAAAGAAGTTCTCTTTTAGCAGTTGGAACTCAGAAAGGAAACCTGGCCTTATACGATCACATAAATGCCAAGTATGAATATATTATATATGATGACCATATCAGCATGCATCTTTGTATCTTTCAATTTTATTAATTCAGGCGTATTCCTATACTGGGAAAACATAAAAAGCGCATAATATGTGGTGCTTGGTCTTTAGAGGGTCTCCTTGCTCTAGGAAGCGAAGACAAAGTTCTAACAATCAGTACAAGCGAAGGTGATACTCGTAGAGAGATACAATTACAAGGAGATCCTTCTAATGTACAATTTAGTGAAATGAAAATGGATCATCGAATAGGTGGTGAAAATACGGTATAATAAATAAGAACACGTCTAACTTATTAATATACAATATTATGTAACTCAATATTTTCCATAACATTTTAGGTCTCCCTCGTTGTGGGTAGATCAACTTTATTTTTGTATAACGTTCTGGATCCAGATAATCCAATCGAGCTAGCTTTTCAGAAACGCTATGGTCCAATTGTGACGTATAAATGGTTTGTCAATCTATATATTAAAAATAATTAACGTCTAAATATTACTAACAATAACTAATACTGCAGGTACGGGGATGGTTATATTTTGGTAGGCTTCGAAGCGGGTTACTTTGTAGCAATATCCACACATATAAAAGAAGTAGGTCAAGAATTATTTCAAGTAAAGAATCACAGGGATTCTCTTAATGATATCGCGCTCAGTCAAATTACGGGAAAAGTCGTAACATGTGGCGATAATACGTTGAAAGTTCATAATTTGCACAATTTGGAAGAAACCGACAAAGTGATAACACTAACTGGAGAGACTGGAATAAATAAAGTTGAATGGTCTGCGGATGGCACAATGTTGGCGGCTGTAACGCATAGTGGCAATGTCTTGATTTATCTTGCAGAATTGCCCAAATTAACCAGCGTTTGCGGTAACAGAATAGCATTATTGGCTAGTCTCACCGAGGTGATAGTACATATGTACACTTTGGATAAGGTAGATATATAACATAATTTCAAAAAAGAAGTTGAGGAATAATATATTTCATTATTTTAGAATAAACCTGCTCCTCAAGTAATTAATACTATCATCGAACCATCTGTAGTGGCAATTGGACCAATGCATTTAGCGGTGGCTTTGAACAACCGTGCCTTATTTTGGGACTTATCCACTGTACAATATGACACGCCAATGTATTTCGAGAGAGATTATTTGGCCACGGTGGAAAGCATGTGTTTAAACGAAATTTACATTTCCGTATTATTTGATGGAAAGTTACAGTTACACGCGGTATCAAATATTTCATGTTGAACCTTATAATATCTATTTAAAAAAAATGTTATCTTACTCACAACATATTACAGATAAAAATTGACCAGGCTGCGAATAACGATGGGAAGGAATCCAAAATATTTCCACAATCTAGTGCCTTAGATGCGAAGATAACGTGCCATGCTTTGTCGCCAGAATTTTTAGTGTACGGCAACGATGTAAGTTCATTCGAATGCTTCTTTCAAAATAGTTTCTTTCAAAGCCATGCAAAAAAATAAAAATAAATATTTAACAGATGGGCCGCCTTACTTATTTTTACTTGGAAACATTCAATGAGTCGACTGAATTGTCTCATAACAATGGCATTAAGCAAATTTTTCTGGATGCTAATGGAACACATCTATGTTTTATAGATGATAAATCAGATGTATATGTATACGATCCTATAAACGAAAGTGTTATACAAGTACCAGATTGTCCTGATAACGTAGCGGGCATCATATGGGACCAGAATATATTTGAACGTTCGATATTCGCGATATTCAATAAGAATATCATTGTTACATATATCTTTGTACAATATTACATAGAAGGTATATTCTCAGAAAATCTTACTGTTCATTTGTCTAATAGGTATAAGATAATATGTAAACTGTTATTGAACAGGTATGAAAGTGATAAAAGTGGGTACAACTAAATTACCCACGGAAACGATTCCTTTGCTTATGTATTCGGGGGAGGTAACTCTGAGTACTGCAGGCAATAAATTGACACAAATGACTCTAAAGACTCATGAAGAAGTTGGAAACATTGTAGAGCCTAAGAAAATAATGGAAATACTTGATAATCAAATAATGTGTAGAAGATTCGAGCACGCTTTGGATTCTTGTGAAAAATTGAACGATCCAGATGCTTGGATAAAACTTGGACAAAGTGCAATGGCTAATTTAGACATAGATTTTGGTATGACCAGAAATGTATTTCTTTTTTATTTATAACATTTTATGATATTAATCTAACAGTATTTTACAGCCGTACGTGTCTATCGACGCATGGAGGACGCTTCGATGGTTTGGGCTCTGAAAAAACTGAATAACGTTGACGAGTTATCATTGTTGTCTGGACACGTTTGTGCGTTACTCGGTGAATACAATCAAGCTGAAAAACTTTTTTTGTCATCTTCACAACCAGTACAGGCACTTTACCTGAGGCGGGACTTGATGCAATGGGAACAAGCGCTTAGTTTAGCTCAGAAATTAAAACCTGAAGAGATTCCATTTATAGCACGAGAATATGCACAGCAGTTAGAGTTTACGTGAGTTGTTAATTAATAATTTTTATGTTATTCCATAACAGAATATTTATAAATATTTCTTTATTATATTCTTAGTGGGAACTATCCTAAAGCTTTGATCAATTATGAGCGTGGTCTTGTTGATACTAACGTACCGTCCAGCTTGGCATCCCAAAGTCCTAGCCATCGTTTGCAATGTCTTGCGGGAGTAGCAAGAATGTCTATAAGATGTGGAGATAGTCGAAGAGGAGTAGGCATAGCAATGGATAGCGAAAGTACAAGATTATTACGCAAGGAGTGTGCAGAAATTTTGGAAATAATGAAGGTACACTTTGGAAATTAATGCTAGAATGATATATGTAAATTTTTTTATTCAACGCTTTACAAGTTTATTGGGTATCGTAGCAATTTAACGAGGCAGCCATGTTGTATGAAAAAGCTGAATATTTTGACAAAGCAGCATCAGCGTATATAAAATTAAAAAATTGGCACAAAGTGGGGCAACTACTACCGCAGATATCATCGCCAAAAATAAATATACAGTATGCCAAAGCCAAAGAGGCTGAGGGTAAATATGAGGAAGCTGCAAAAGCCTACGAAACCGCTAAGGATTATGATAACATTATCAGGATCAATCTTGAGCATTTAAATAATCCTGGTAAGTATTGTGATATTGAAGGGGTATATAGAATTCATTGTATTACATTATTGGTGAAAGGTTCTGGGAATATTTGTATAATTGAATTTTAGCACGCAGTGTGGAAGTAGTACAACAGACAAAGAGTATAGAAGGGGCGAAGATGGTCGCCAGGTTCTTTCAGAAAATGAACGATTACAATTCAGCCATTAAATTCTTGATACTATCTAATTGCCATGATGAAGCGTTTCAACTTGCCAATCAACATGGAAAGATGGAATTGTATGGCGAAATTTTGGTTAATACTCTGGATGATGATAATGTCAGAACTGAAGATTTTAAGAGTTTGGCAATTCACTTTGAGTCTCAAAAAAATCATTTGCTCGCTGGAAAATATTATTTTCATGCAAAGGAATTCCATAAGGTGACATAAACATGAAATTGTTTGGATATAATAAAATTAAGTGGTATCTGACTGTGTCTTTTCAGGCTCTCAAACATTTATTAAAGGCTGCTCAATTAGCAGCGGATGACGATGCAGCATTAACGTTAGCTATTGACACAGTGGCATCATCAAAAGATGAAAAATTGGCTAATCAATTAATAGATTTCTTATTGGGTGGTGATAATTTACCAAAGGTACGATTGACCGACTGGTAATAATATTTTATGAATGTTATTCGATGAACTATATGTATCATATTTTAAAAAATATTTGTATAGGATCCAAAATATTTGTTCCGATTATACATGGCAAGAAAACAGTACAGGGAAGCCGCGAAAACCGCTGTGATAATAGCGAATGAAGAACAAATTAATGGTTAATATAAATGTATATATATTTTTATTATTATACAGTCGCAAGTTCTTAATATTATTTATTCTCACAGGTAATTACAGAAACGCACATGACGTGCTGTTTAGTATGTATCAGGAATTGAAAAGAAACAAAATTACAACTCCTTTGGAGATGCAAAACAATTTAAGACTTTTACACTCATACATTTTGGTTCGTCTGCACGTAAAAAGAAATGATCATCTTCGAGGTGCGAGAATGTTAATAAGAGTCGCCAATAATATTTCCAAATTCCCTTCTCGTAAGTATGTTGACATATTATTTTAATGAATAAGGCAATAAAAAGAACTGCAAAAACTGTAATATAAATTATTTTAGACATAGTTCCAATATTAACATCAACAGTGATCGAATGTCACAGAGCAGGTTTAAAGAATGCAGCATTCAATTTTGCTGCAATGTTGATGCGTCCAGAACATAGATCGCATATTGATACAAAATACAGTAAAAAGATTGAAGCTATAGTAAGAAAACCTCCTAGATCAAAAGATCATGATGTGGAGGATGAGCCATTGACGCCGTGTCCTTATTGCAAAAATAAAGTCCCTGAAACTGAAGTTACTTGCGAGAAGTGCAAGAATACAATACCATTTTGTATAGCAACGGTAACAAATTTATATTTTCTTGTATTTGTACCCTTTTAATTAAGAGTTTTGATATAAAGATAAATTAAATTTTTCATATCTAGGGACGTCATATCATCGAAAACGACTTTACAGTATGCCCTAAGTGTGATTTTCCTGCAATTAAATCTGAATTTCTACGGTAACTTTCTAATAAAGTGTATTAATCTTTATATTTCTATAGATATATTCTAATATCTTTCTTTGTCAGGATCATTGAGACTGAAGAAACATGCCCAATGTGCTCAGAGCATGTGGATCTCAATACAGTGCCTTCGAATGTGAATATTCGTCCGTACCTTAATCTTCAAGAAGAAAAAAATAAAACATAAGGATAGTTACTTTGAGTAAATACTTTATGTAGAGATAACTTCTATATACATATCGACCAATTCTTCACTACCCCAATAGAGACTGTTTATGCGTGAGCACTGGATGATCTTTGTTTTTAACGATTCACAAAAATTCGCTAATGCGCAAAATATTTCTATAGAACTTTTGTACAGGGGAACTTAATGTTTAAGATCCCATGATTTCATGCCATAACGATCCGTCCAATTTTCAGTACAACGCACGCGAGTACAATCAAAATGTACCGAATTGTTTACATAAATAAATATACTGCACTCATTTTCAACGAGCCCTTACACTTTCTGATATGATTTCAAATTATCCTATTGAATTAAGAACAATTACATTTTTATAACAATTAGAAAAACATGTACCAACTTTCAAAAATTATAAATCTAATAACGTCAAATTAAGGGTATATTTCGTAATTGAATCACGATTGCGGTTATTAAATTTCAGCCAATTGCATCGATTGATTTCGACTGCTGACAAAAATCAATCGATGTCATTGGCTGAAATTTAATAACTACAACTGTGATTCAATTACGGAATATACCCTAAATTTGAATGAATTTCTTGCAATGAGTTATCATAGATTGATAACCAATCATTACCATAACAAATATGAGACAAATCCATGACAAATCCCATATAATTGTTCAGCTAGTTGCCGTCAGATGGCAGCGCTCCATATATTTGAGTTTCTCTACCCGTCATGGTGAGGGGATACTTATTGTGCTTGAAAACAGAGTCATGTAATTCGAATGATTTTTCGAAGCTTACAATGATTCATAAGGAAATCAACAGGACTTCCAGCCGTCACTTGTGAGTTTTTAACAGATTTCTTTTTATATTTCTCATGCTTCCGTACTTATTACGGCTGTACAACATGCAGTTAAGAACGTGCCTAGACTTGTTTTCGCGAGTCTCGACTTTGTTCAGGAACCGTCGAAAAGTCTCACGTTCTTCCTTTACGATGTTGTCTCGAAACCTGCTTGATATTGCGGATTGAAATCTTACCGTAATACGATGGAGAACTGTGATACTCACGAAAGAGAATGCAAGGAATCTTCGTAATCAGGTCTATCAGTTACTTTTTCTACCGTATCAGGATAACTAATGAAGATATTGATTTCTGCTTTATGCTATTTTAGTATGTCTTGTCTTGTTATAATGACGACATAAAGTAGAATTTGACGATCGAACAGAAAAATCCAGTAGAACTATTATTCTGTAGATACTATATCGCACGTTACTATAAGACTTCCAAAATATTTAACCCTTCGGATTTGAGTAATGAAATCCTTTAAGAGCATAATAAAATGTCACTTGTTAAATATAACTCAATGTTCCTTTCTTCTTTTGAATAAATGCGATTGCTTCAGTCTAAGCTAATTTTTTTCGCGTAGGCACGGACGCACCTCAAATTCTGTACATCATGGAACGTCGTAGACGCGGCATAATTTTACCGAAAGGAATAATGGCTTGAAGTGTGGAAATTTATGGCTCGGTATGTCGACGGAAACCTTAAATTTTAACGTGGTTCGCGGTCGGGAACGTCGCGCACGTTAGAAACCGGAGAAAAGGCAGAGAGGAAAGGTAACGCGTCGACTGTAATAGAGAAAGAGAGAGCAAGAATCAGAGAGAGGAAAAGGCAGAGGGTCAGAAAGAGGGAAAGCCCGAGAGGGAGTTTGAGAGAGATATATTTCTCTCTCTCTTTCTCTCTATACTTAATATATATATATATATAGACGGTAGTATAGAGGGCAAAAAGAGGGAGAGAAGGAACGTAGGAACGAAGCATAACACAGCTCGGCAGAAACGCGTCTGAATAAAATGATAATAAAGCGTGCGGTACGAAGCTCCCAGTGTTCAGCGGGTTCGCGTTTCGCATTCGAAACGAAATGCGCGAACGGAGCCACTGCCAAATATATCTCGTGAGTCGGGACAGACGTGGCACAGTCTACCCATAAGGTACTGCCGACTACCGAGCCAACCCTGCTATAATTGAGCCGTGCTAAGCACGTAGGCAACTGTGCTAGTAACATTTCATTATATTTTTGTACCCCCTAAAAAATATCAAAATTCGAGGCGCGCACTGCGGTGCGCTTTTGAGCTGCGCCGAATGACAATCATATAAAATATTGAGGATACCTTAAGAAATAATAAGGCTGGAGCGTAATTTTTTGCAAATATTCAGAAATCATTGGAGTGAGATTTTGTATTTTTCAAGTAAGAATCATGAAATCATTATGCGGTCTCCGTGTAGCAGCCCGATACCAAGAATCTTGAACGTATATAAAACGTTCAGCTATCTCATCTCTCTAGCATCCGCGGCGCGTATCGTTTCGCGATAATACCATTATGCGAATTCACGATTTGCATATTTCAGAAAGCGCCGTGCTAGCAGGAAAACATAAACAACTCTGGCAACTGGGCTCCCTCGGGAGATGAGTTAGCCACCCGAAAGATTTACGAAAGTACCGGGGACTCTCCTGTCGACTTTAACCATCCTACCGATGATAGTTAGACACTGGGATTTCTTCTGGCTGTCTACCGCATAGCAGCTTTCATCATCGGCTAGTGACTTCCTACCTGACGCTGATCGATTTCCGAATTGATCTCTTGGAGTGACTCATCGTATCCGGTAAGTAGTTAATGAGACTATCCACCATTTTCTATATACCTCCAACGTTATTTCAGAGATGAAATGTTAATCTTCGTGAAGCAAGTGGGTCCTATCTGCTTCCGACGGGACTCAATACTCATACCCGGACGTACCTGGTGCATCTACCACGTGAAGGATAGCGTCGTCTGGCAAGTGAGATTTCAGATATGGGAATGCACGTCTTAGGCAAAGAAGAGTCGGAAGACGCGCTCCGAGAATATTTACGAATTTGTAGAATGTCCTGGGCCTTGTGACTCTTTGGAATCGGGGCCTCGAATGACTAGATGGATGACGGGGTCTAAGCGAGGTGGCAGTTGATGGGTGTAAACGCAAGATAGGATCTCGTGTCGTCTCTCTACTAGATCTACCGACTTGGGTACCGCAGGATGCTTTTTGGGTTCTCTATTTTCTCTTTTCTTCTTCTATGGGTCATGGACATTATCGGGATACGGGGGACTTTTAATTATCCTACCATAGTCGCGGCACAAAGGTCCCTTTTATACCTTTATGGGTACCGGGTGACGTTATGACGTGTCACTGACGTGTCTTTCTTCAGAATTCTTCACCATAGACCCATGTAACTTCTCCAATCTGGAATACCTCATGGTTCTAATGATCCTTATAGGGATATCGTTTCGATTCTCAACTTAAATTTATGGAGCATTTCTCGCACTGTACTATGGGAACACAAACCATGGTTTTCATATTAACCACGGTGGTCACCATAAAATTGGTGGATCAGCTCATTCTCGCTGATCGTTAACGTACTGGATAACTTTTTGTTTTATCTTTCTCAAGAGTGTTTATTGATTTTGTTCCTGAGAATTCCAACTTTTCCTATGGGTCTTTTGGGGACATTAAAATTCCCATTAATTCTATAAGGATTCCATAGCCTCACAGGATTTTGTTCTACTCTCCAAATGAAATCTTCGACGCGTGGAATTCAGGAGACAATTTCGAATTTCGTTTCTCGTCAGCCAAGATACGACAATTAAGATTATTTAAAATGGGACTTTTTGGTATGGTGGAAAAGTCATTGGGCGAGAAAGAAATGTGTTTTCGCCCATTGTCTCTGGTACCTAAGCACGTCCAGAAGGAGAACTCGTTTGTGCCAGATTCAAAAGGACCGCTATCTCCGTCATCAGTGTCCCGATACCAGGCTCAGGTGACATTCGTGCGACGTTTCGGGTAGACCTTAAGGTGCACCCTTATTAAGGTACGGATAGAGGTGCTCTTGACAGGCCGCACCGATGACAGCAAATATTTACAACGTCATGCTACCTAGACTGGGCGGATTCGTGCGTGTCCTCCTGGCGCCGCGACGTTTCTCAAAGCTCTTCGCATCCCTAATGGCTGATTTCCCCGCAAGTACATGCCTGCCTGGCTAAGAAAAATGAACGGAGTAACCGAGTCAGCGGTTTTTATAATACACTATGCTTGGAGCATCCCTTGGCACACCCAGCAGCTATGAGATGGTACAAAATATTGAAGGAAAAAAGAAAGCGGACGACAGCTAGAAAATTGGTAAGATCTGGTGAAAAGCCACCTGTCAAAATTTTCTAAACCATAGACAGTACAGAATATAGATAATCGTGATCCTGAGTATCGAATTCCAGGTTAATCTGGCACGAGGATTAAAATTGCAGTGAGAAACAATTGGACACAATGGATAGTTCAAGTAAATGAAGTCCTGTAAATCCTGTTCTACGGGATAAGCCCATTCAAGGTAATTTTGGTTGTAATTGCTCAAGGAATATGAAAGAATTGAGAAGAGCCGTCAGTCAGGTAACCGGGTGTAAATAGACTAAGAAAGGAAGGAAGGATCAGTTACACGTCGATTCAAAGTTTACCCAATTATCCTGTTTGGTATTCTCTAACGAGTGCAAATAGCAAAAGGACATTTTAAGCGGTTGGTGAATCCTTCTTGGTCAGGATATTCCATCCCTTTAGGAATCGTAAAACGTGCTTATAGGTTCGGGTGCGACCCCCTGCCGAGGTATCGGTTACGCTTAAACCGCGTTTAAAAGTTTCGAACCGTCTTTAGTCCCGCTCCGATGGGACTTACGGGTCCTGGATGGGCCTCACGGTGGCGCCAAGGAGATCCGTATCTTGGCGCGAGTGCCTGAAGAGGGCCCTCTGTATACCGTAGGGCCCGAGGAGCCCGAAGCTCGCCTCGTCACAGATAACATCTAATTCCGAATCGGCCGTTCCTGGGCCTCCTCGTGCCGGGGTCCGTGTATACTCGCGTGTATCTGCCCTGTTTTCTCGGGCCTTATTTCTTGTTCGGTTGGATGTCCTTCTAGGATTATACCACTATATGATACCACATGACACGATATCTGAGTAGCATCGGTTTCCAAAAGTCCTAGATTCTATTCGATTGGGATTTACTACTCCTGTTTTCTCAGTCCAGTGTCGTTTTTTATATTTATTTTCATACTTTCATCTCTAACCACGATTGATCCTCTACCCATTCGTCTATTCATAAATCGTAAAATCGATCTTTTGAAAAAGGGCCTCGTTATTCCCCTCTCGCTGGCTGGGCCTCACAACCAGAGCGAATAGTTCAGAATTGTTAGAAGACTCGAGCGCCAGTCAAAATCAAGCATTTGTATTCCGCGGAGATTTTTCAACAGCGACTGGACAGTTTTCTCATTTCGTTTATGGCTGGCCATAACATAACTCTAACCCTACTACCACCACTAAGCGTACACCAGCACGAGGAGCACGCAGCATCAGTGCCACGAACATCATCCTCAAGAAGAAGCACCACCTACTTTGCAAGAGGATCCTGAGGGTGGTCCAACTCCTCGCGCAGGAAACTTACTCCTACGGACGTTTCTTCTATCTATTCCTTATTCTCTTACTTTTCTTGTATTCCCCTCCTCCTTATTTCTCTCAAAGTTTCTCTTGTACTTCTCTGATTCTCAACCTTATTCTTTTTCTATACTCAATTATTCCTCTGATGACTTTTACATTTTTTACTCATTTCCTACACTGCGAGAAACTCTCACGGAATAGCAGGCATAAACCGTGTAGTGTGTATATGCAGTACTCTGTAATAATTTCGACTGGTCGAAATATTTGATTTTGAAAATTAAGAAGCAGTTCTCCAGCCCAAGCCAGACAGGTTCACGCTAAATGGCGGTCAGACGAGGCATGTCGCGCGCCACGGGGCGTCCAGGCAAAAGAGCCGACGTCTTCGAATCTTCTCCTTCAGCCTCACTACCACCTCCGCCTCATCTTTAGCCATCTTGTACTACTTTTTTTTTGTTTTCACTATCTGAGCCTCCACTTTATTCGGTTAGGTATGCGCCTGATATTCTAATGGCGTCACCCTCTACATAATCCATAATCATTCCGAGTAGTGACTAATATCTGCGGATTGATTATATATTTCACTTAAGTATATACACACGACACCTATAGTCGATCCACGAGTTTACTGTGTTCTCTTGATAGTCCACGAAGACCGCAACACTTAACAAATGGCAAGTAGGTTTTTATAAAAATCTTGAAATATACACTAAAATAGAAAAATAAAATATAATTCATTGCAAAACCAGGCAAATGCATATTTTGTAAGGAAAATTCTATGAAGAGTCACGTGGAGCTTGCTAGAGACATCATTGTTTTCAAACTGTCAGAAAATCACATCGAACTCATGGACCAACTATAATTATCTTTAAGTACACGAAATTGTATTATGACGTCAGCTCATTTTTCAACGATAGTTTCCTGCACGGTTTCTCATACAATGTAGTCCCCCTAAATACAATACTTAACGTTTTTTTACAATTTCAAATACAAAAAATAATGTTGAGTCTGACATGGATTTGAAAATATTTTTCACGTTTCCTATGTGTATAATAAGCGTATGGCGTAAGGTTCGTTTCCGGAGTTCTCGTTTGTACGAGTGATTTATAAATTGGCTTCCGTTCCAGCCGTTCGAAAGATCAGGGTCCTGAAATGATTGGGGTATTGTTTACTGCGCGAGCACACGGTCGCTTCTGTCGGTCGCGTTCGGGACCGACACGCTATAAAAATCGGTATTTTTCGAACGGACCCAGACACTCGCTCGTTGAGGAACATATGGTTAGCTGAAATTTTTTGAGTGCGCCTATTAACATAAGGCAGCGGACTCCACCTGCCTTTCGAACTGGGCGAAAATAAAAGAAAGGAAAAGCAATGAAAGAAAATTTTTAAAAATTGTATTGAGGTTTCCATTAAAATTTTCACAGTTTTTACAATTGGAACGACGTATACCGTTACTAATTTATTTTTGGTACTACCAATTTTTTTTATTACAAATCCGAAGTCTCAAAATTGTATTAAAAAACATCAGATGTACCAGTTGAGTCGTCCTCGTAGCCAAAGGAAAATCCATCCATTTCGGCCCTAGTAGAACCATCGTCGTCCATAAATACAGGGAGATTAATACTCGGCCACAAATCCCAAACAGTCACAGTTTATTGTCTGATATCTACACGGGGAAACCATAGGATATGTAATAAAACGAGGAGGATTCATAGGGTCGCCGGACGCATATCGCTCGTCTCACCGAATCGAATGTGACAGACTGCCGGCAATATTCTGCATTCCTATCTATATGAATTTTCTCGTACCGTAACCCAGGCCTTACGTAATCTCGATGCGAATACAAAAATTCCTGGGGATTTCATGGTGGCCACCGAATTATCCGTAGCCAATTGGCCACCGTAGGGTACCACAGTATATGAGGAAAACAGTGTGTGTTTATGAATTCCGAATAAATTTGACGCAAACAAATCCTCAAGCAAATGTCACCAGGCATATACGTAATATTTGTCTGTCCACAGATACAATATTGTGGGAAATATAGAGTGCAAGAATGAAGCGCTGAATAACAGTACCAGCAAGTATACGTACTGTAGCAATGCAACTAGATTTAAGTACTATAAAGTTCTTACTTCAAGCTCGTTAACAGGACTCGTGCTTGACTCGGCGCCCTTTGGCGTAGGCAGGTACGTGCGTAAGAATACTTTCAGCAAGTACCCAGCAGTTCTTCATACTTTTTCTTTTATTGTTCATCAAGTATCTTTTCCCTTTCTAGTGTCTCCGGTTGTCCGCACGTGCTCAAGAATAGACGGAGGAGGCAAGGGAGCAGAAGAGCAAAGCAGAGAGCAAAGGAGAGAGGCGGGTAGGTACCTGGGCAAGTACGACCCTTTATGGTTGCGTGTACAGTACCTAGAAGGAAAAGATATTCGGTGACCAGAGTACCCAACTACACGATAATGGTTTGAGTAGCAGGTAATTAGGCGATCGAAGGAAGAAAATCGAAGTAGTAACTCGCCAAGGAAGAATGCCAGTGGAGGAAGCTCGGTGGCGCCTTCGAACGACCAATATAAGAGAAGCAAGGGTCTCATCGCGTTCCTGGTAGGTGGACGAGGCCTCCCTCTTAGGGCCGTCATCACGCGAGCAGCCTCTGATTTACTGCTAGTTTACTCACCCACGAAGCGTCCGTCTAATTACATGGTCCGTGCCCTGGAAGAAAATATTCTCTGACCCTCCTGGTGGCTCCCAGCATCGACCATCATCTTCCAACCCGTACCAGCATCCTGAACGAGTCGACCTGGTTTCACTCATGCTCGGAGTCACATCGGTAATGTTGGATGGATGGATGCTAACCTGATCTAATGAGTATCTGCAAGACAGCGAAAGATCGTGCCTGACTAAGGTGAACTTCGAAAGTCCTGCAGTCATGAAGACTTCATGAAGAAGCTAGTTGATAACCGTACCTACGTGTGTTGTACGTTGCTGGTTGTCAGTACTTATGTATGTATCCAAAGATCATCCTCAGGTTGATCCTCTGGAGTCGCGTGGGCGTGTAGAAGAATCGTGCGAATACCCTCAAGCCCAGGGAACGATTATCCTGTCGACACTATCTGTATCTTCTCTTTCTCATAGTGTCCAACATATCTGCCTGTATATAGGTATACGTAGTATATATACATATATGTATATATATACAACCTGCCATTGCCTGAAGCCTCGTGCCTTCTCAGTGCGTTAAAATCATTTGTGTATACGTGGGCATATAGGTAAGTGTGGCTCTTTGGGGGCGTGGCGGCTCCCTGGTGGTCTGCCACTGGCGTAGACAAAGAATCCTTTAAACACTTTACCATGTACTATTGACATTATATATCATACACAAAGCATAAGGATATACATGAGGCATTATAAATTATGATGGAGTCTTAAACATCCGGTATCATTTTAGTTACAGCAACTTCAGCCGAGTACAGATGATCTCTATCGAACGCGGCCCAATTTCACTCTGTGTCGCTGAACGATGTAAAATAGCAGTTTAATTATTATTTTTTTAAGTATCCCATCACTTCAGATTCTTTCAACGATCAAGCATGGTTCTCTGGGATAGTAGGTGTCTACGCCATTGATCAGGTAACTACCGCGTAACGAGCCCACTCGCGCACTCGGCCCGTTCTACTTCCACCGTGGAAGTCTTCTCGTGGCCAGAAACGTCTGGTCACGAACAACGGACCCCACATCGTCACGTAAGATGCTCACCCTGCTGTATTATTGGCCGAGTCGGCTCTCTGTTGCAATTTAACCAATGGCCTCGCTTCGTGACACGTCTTCATACCTTTTCGCACTGGGTAAGTTGTCCGAGGATGCTGGATGCACTCTCTTCTGGGTCACTATGGGGGTGCGATGAAGTCGTTAGACTGTTCCGTTCTATTAGCTTCTTTCACTTGATTTGCTCGGATGGATTAATTTGTATATTTAATCTTGGTGTCTGGTATATTTATTATATCCGATAGTCAAATTGTCGGTGTTGAGATCTTTTCTGGGAAAGGAGAGGAAGATCATATTTATTTATATATTTATTTATTGATTCTCACGGGGGACATGCCGTTGAGAGCTTTTACGATCGCGAAGCCCCTGTTACTTAGTTTGCTAACGTTCAAGTTCTTCAAGGAGTCGTTAAGAGACCCTCATTCAGAGAAGTATGTCCAGTCGATGTCTCAGGCATGTCCCATAAACGTTCCTTTCGAAATCTGCTGTTTACAAGGCTTTTTTCTTCGAAGAGACTTTTTCTGGCTGGTTTATTAATTTTGAGGTATTTGGAGGTAAGAGGGTCCTAAATGAAATTTAACATAGACGTGATGTTTGAATAAATTTATTTTTTTTCTGATACATATAGTTCCATACTTTCTTGGGTATCTAAATGAAAATTCCTCATGGATGTTTTTAAGATGTATAAAGTGTATTAATTTTGTACCCTGAAATTTACAGGAGTCTGATTCAAGCTTGTTTCTGGGTCTTTGGGTCGAAGGTGGAGACTGGCGTTAATTCTCCGTCGAAAATCATAAAATGCAAATGAATGATCCGGGGCCCGATTGGCAAATTGCGCGAGCTGGGTCCCAAGCTTATGAGACGGTCGTGGAGGCGCCCAAGGTGGTCGGGTAATTTCGTGCTGGCAAAAGGAGCATCGAGAATGGGCCCGAAGAGCGTGCTTCACTCTGGCTGGCCATTGAGAAAGAAGTTTGGCTGCGGGATATAAAAATGTGTTGATTATACGTTACGTACGGCGGATCGGACCCAGCGTGTCCCAGGGTGTCGTTAAGAAAACACACTAAGCTGCCATGGTATCACGAGGACATTGGGTCCTTGGGCCTATGGATGCCCCAGGTCGTTAAACCAGTCGAGCACCACTTCCTTTTCGCGAATCGCGAATTTGACCAATTGATTATTTGTATTTTCGGAAGCAGGAAAGATTTTTTTTCAATTTATCAACCTAATTGGCTGCGTATCTCTGATTGGAGTTGTGAATGAAAAATCGTGAAGATAAACGTCAAGAGCAAAATATAAAAATGGTACAAAGGGAGAAAGAGGAAGGACGCGGAACGGGTAAGCCAATAAATCGGCGAGAATGATCGCGAGTTTTGAGCGTTAATCGTCGCGGAGGAATAAAACTAATGAATCGGGAGTCTGTGGTGGACCCTGGGGCCCGGATGTAGCCTCCGTAAGGCCTGTCTGTGTGGCTACGGGGGAAGATTAAAAATAAATAAAAGGCAATAAGTGCGGGGCCCCGTGCGAAACCCGTCATTACGCGAGGCGGACCCACCTTGTTAGGGCCCAGGAGGGCTCCACTCATTGAGTACCTCAGTCAGTCCTGGCGCCTGCGCCGTTAAAATTGCCGAAATTTCGAAGAATTCTCCGGCACCCTTAACAGGATCTTGCCGATGTCCGAGTCTTCGTGGAATATACGGGAGATTCTGTCAACACCTTACTTCGACCCACGTTCTTCCTCCTCCGGAAGATCTTCCTCCAAAAATCAGCTCTCACCTCATCCTATACTTAACCAAATAATCGCAGACATGTGGCACGTACCCAAAATTCCACCGGAAGTCTTGATCCATCGGACTTCCTACCGATCCCCGCTTACGCAACTCCCACCAACAGCGTAGGAGTCTCCTACTGTCATCACTAATGACTAATGACACGTAATTGGACAAAGCAGCCGCAAAGTGGACCACCGTGCAAGAGGTCATCGGGTCGCCGGACGCTAATCGTCATTACGTCTATTTGCATCTGCCGATATCTCCTTCGTCTCCCTGACGCAATATTCGAGCATATAACGAAACGACGTAGAAGATGCAGCATCTCCTACGTTTCACTCTACAGGAGATACCAGCACAGTCCATCACTGTACAAACCTCAGATACGCCGTACCACATCGACAGTGTCACCCTGTGCCAAAATAATTAAATTATCACCTAATCAGCCTTTAAAACCGTAAATAAAGATGTCACCAGGGCTCTGGTATATCAAAGAGAAGAATTTCCTTCACCGGAACCCAAAGCAGCTACTCGTGGACACGCGACGCCTCTGCTACACTAACCCCGAGCCATCCTGGACCCATCCCTAGTCCAACGGTAGCCAAGATGCTGCGTCGAGATGAACGTCGAGTCGGGTTCCGGGACTAATTACGGTAATGAGCCGACTTAGAGTGGTCTACCCGGCAGCAAGACTAGCACTTTGAAGCCGACCTCGATCTGATAAGCTCGAACTCTCTGTGCTCCACCCTGACCAAGCCTGGAAGACGTTACCGTTTCGGAGTGTCGCTACTTGTGCCGATTCCACGAGAAGATACTATGATCTATGACACACGGCTGGCTACTGTGATACATATGTCTACCTCGCTCTACCCGACTTCTACACGCTGTGCATATCTCAGCGTATGTAGTCTGCATTCCATATATACACTGCGTTCATCTAAACTCTCCAAGTCACCCTATACACAACGTAACCCATACGTAACGTTCAATAGATGAATTTCTATAGGTACCAGCCCATAGTCAATTCCTGTCAATATACCATTGACGATCCTGGTCCCAACTCCCGTAGGTACACGGGGGGAGGACATAAACAGTATCCTACCGAACAATATCTCCCGGATATCTCAGAGATACTATAAGAAAATCGATCCAAGTCCCAATCCATAGATCCGACCATCCAGAGACTCCCAAGTTCTTTTCTGTAAGCCTGCCATGCATCAAGTAATAATGTCTTATGGGGGTTAACTCATATCGACATCAACGCGAAGTTCTACCGCGGGAGAATCCAAAAGAGCCAGAGGAGGTTGAGGAGGATCGGGAGGGCGATTGTGTAACGGGAGTTATACGTATAGCTTCGCTATGCAACCAAGCGATATTTAGTCAAGTAAGTAATCTCTTAGCCGTCACGCCATGGGACCCTTAGTCGTTCGATGGAAATATCCTGATTGGTTTTCGCCCTGTCGCTCCCCTTCTTTTATACATTGACGAGATTTCTTTATCCCATTGGCTACGCCCGCCAGCCCATTAGCTGTATTAACGCTAATCATCCAGCGTTAAGCTGTTGCACCAGGCACTATACCTATACTTGGTTATAATTACGATTTCGTATAACTTCTGTCTGGTTACCCGGTTATGTTCTTTTTTTTTTATTTTCATCATTAAAAAAAATCTTGCGTGCGTCAGGCACGCACTGCACAAGTGCGTAACGCGTAACGAGCGTGTTTAATACGGTAACGTTTGCGCTCTGGCTGTCGGGCGGCTCTCGATCAAACGCACGTCTCTCCTACGCACTCGGCATCGCGTAGATAGTTGCCCGATGGCGCGTGATAAGCATTAAGCCGATTGCATTATACCCTAGTCGCGCTGCCGGATAAAGAGTGTAGAAATAAGATAGCGTAGGATATGAGATTGGAATTGGTAGAGTATATCAGGTTATCGTTTGGACGTAGCATACGTGTACTTATGTAAATACATGGTCGTACCGAATGTATCGGTGTATCTGAATTTCGTGATCTGACTAAAAAGTGACTTTTTACAGTCACACGTGTGTAATAGAGGAACCGAACGATTAGGAGTGGATCGTCGAATATCGATGATGAATTCGAACGATTTTAAAGAAGGTGGAAATAATTTTTCTTGCTGCAGTCTATGTGTCCGGAGTCGTGTGTGGTCCGCGGATTTAAATTATCATTATTCATGAGTAGGCCATGTGCGGTACGAGTGTTAAGGGATGGCTTGCAGGGACTAGCAGGTCTGACGTGAGCTAAGAATTTAGTCAGGGTATATCCATGAAGTACTCCTCTCGATTTCATAAGCGTTTGTGCTGGCCGCACATCCGGCTGCCGTTCCTACGGATCCGGTAGGACAATGCGTGTTGTTTCTGCAAGGTTTTCACCTCCCCTCGCACTCCCTGTCACCGTCTCCTCATCTTCCTCTCGGTACACTCTTCTCTATACCGTCATCGCTTTATATCCTCCCTCCTGGTCATGGGATACGACGACTACGACGCCGCGCTCAAACTGCGCGCCCGGGACAAACAGAAGTATGATCCAAGATGAAAGGCGCCGA